TTGATACATTTTTCAATAATATTTAACGTTAAACATTATTGAAAAATCGTCAATAATTTACGATAAAATTTAGCGTTAATTTACCTGTAAATTTGAAATTTTTTTCCCAACAAACGTTTACGTTTTTATTTCGTTTTTTTTGTTAATTATTAACGAAAATCAATAAAGTTTGACTTGAATTTTTGTTAACAAAAGTGCGAAAAAATTAATGAAAAAATAAAAATATTTACGTGGAAATATTTTAGCGGGTTATGAACCCATTACAAAAATTTACTATCAAAAAAAATGTCATCAGCATCATACAGAGATTTGATTCCCTACGGACCATTCCGAGCAAGAAGAGTTGATACACCAATTGCCACACGTAATGAAAACGGAGCCACAAACTCTCATTCCTCCTCCTCATCATCTTCACCATCATTAGAATCGAATTTAATGGAAAAGAAATTGGCTCTTGTTGAATTTAAAATTGAAATGTTGAGTTTGGATGAAGAGGAAAAACTCAAGTACTATACAGAAAAGTTTAATGAAACGAGAACAGTTCTTTTGGATCAGTTCAAATTGGTTGACTTTGTAAAGTTGGTTGAGAATGAAGGGAGACTTGATGAGTTACACAAATTGAAAGTCTCAATTATTGATAATTAATTTGTTACTGTAATATATTGCATTATTAATTTTAAATAATATTAAATAATATTTAATTTATTAAAAATTATTAAAAAAAATGAGTCAAAAAGCCTTGAATACATCTGTTGATTTTTTGAGTAATTTAAAAAAGCGAGTTGATCAACAAGAAAACTTTGATATTGGTTTGCTTCTTTCGATCGGGTACAAACAAGAGGAAGAAGATCAAGAAATTCTTCATCATACTATTTCTCTCATATCTTCTCTCGAATCGGAAAAGGCTAAAAGTTCCTTCTCTAATGTATCATCGGAGTGGTTTCAAAAACAAGTACAAATTCTTCAACAATCATTGCCATCTAATGTGAGGATTTCTGGTTTTTATTTGAAGGATTTTTCGTATAATGTAAAGGAAAGATTGAGTGATGTGATTGCTCTTTATGTGAGAAGCATTGAAAGTATACAATCTGAGGAAGGTTCTCAAATTTATTTTGTCAATTTGCAAAAGGATGAAGCAAGTGGACTTGTCCCTCAGGGATTTGTGTTTGAAAACGGAAAACAAAGACAAGATTTGACAGTTTCTTTCACTGAAAAGTCAGCAATATCATCAAACAGTTTAAAGGAATATTTGTGTGTCCTTCCATATCACGTCAAGCTGAAAGTTGGTAAAAACATTGATTCTTTGATTGATGAGCTTGAAAATACATTGGAAAAATCATTTGAAAAGAATTATATTTGGAAAGTGAATAGAAAGGAAAAGAGAGTGAAATGTTTTTTAAATACCAATATTGAACTACAACTTGAGGAAAAGAAAGTACAAGATGAATCTGAACTTATGGAAATTGTTTTGAGTGGTGTTATTAGTGGTGTCGTTCAAACAATAGAGTCTGTTAAAAATTCTGATGAATTTATTATTGAACTTGTCAAGAAGAATATTATTGAAGGATTAGTGACACGTATTGCCTATGAAGATGAAGCCATTCTCAAAGCTTCCAGTAAGAAATTGTTGAGACGATTCTACATTGTCGATAGTGAATCCAATTTAATCTACTCGGACTATTGTGAAAATGTAAAGAGTATTGGTATTGTTGATGCTATACCTTCTCTATTATCCAATAGCAGTCAATTTGAAGTTATTGATTCTGAAAATATTGAAGGACATATTAACAGAATCTCAGTTGATAGAGATGTTATTGAAGTGCCAGAGTTCATTAAGAAGAAGAAACAAGCCAAGAAGGATCAAACACTCCAACAACAAGACACCTCAACACCACAACAACAAGATGCATTTGCTTGGTTCTTTGCTTTCATTGCCTTCGTAATGTCTCTTCTTGGTCTTGGAAAGAAGGAACAGGTTAAACAATAAATCGTTAGAGTTTACAATCCATTATTTTAGAGAAAAAAATGCAACAAGATGAAACCTTCATGATGTCTGATAATGATTCCGAAATGGCTGACGATCAACTAGTCTATTCATCACCCAGTAGCAATAGTTTTAATAATAATGGCATCAAGAGACGAAGGGAGATGGAACATGATGATTTGGATGAAATTTGGATTTCCGATCAAAAGGACTCGAAAATTGTCAAGGCTAATACAATTTTTAATGACTCGAATGAACCAAGTGTTGAGGAGTCTCTGGCAAAACGTAAAATTATTTCAAATATTTTAGCACAGAAGAGAAATGATTCTCATTGTAAAAGAAAACCATTGCCAGCTAATGAAATTTATTCGGAAATCAAAAAGGATATTCATCTCATTGGTGATGAGGCAATACAAAAACAATTCATCACAAAACTCGAAATTATTTATTCGAAAATTGAAGTGCCAAACAAGGATAGCTTTGAGTCCATCATTGGAATTTTGAAATATATTATGGACAGCACCAATAATTACCAGCTACATGTGGTAGTCCAAAAACTCTTGTCCAAAATCACCTCTTAGTTTTACCACTCGCACAGAAGGTTCATTAGATTATGAACTTGGTTCTAATGAAGAGTTCTTTCCCATCTTTAAAGAGTCCACTACTATTTCACTGTTAAGACGAGATTGTTCCAATAATTCACAATCCAACACTACTTGTCCTAATTTCCCAGTTCTAAACCAAAACAAAAGATGAGAGAGTGCCTTATTGAGATCTGGTTCTCCTCCAGAAGTGAACATTTTCCATTTTTTACACGCTGCCAATAGCAAGTCATCAATATTCTTTGTTGGTCCTTTCAATCCTAAAATTTCAACATAATCATAACATTCATTTCTATTCAATTGAAAAAGCATATAATCAATGAGAGGTGTCAAATCTGTTGCATTACCTCCAGCTGCACTATCTCCACCAAATAAATGATCTGGAAGTGCATTAATTAGTGAAAGCTTAAATCCTTGTTCATTTGTTTCAATATCAGGTTGGAAAATACCTGGTGTATCCAATAAAAGACAATTTTCTCTTGTTTTCATTGGGAAGAAACCCATTCCTCTTGTCACACCTGGAAGTGCACCTTCCTTAGCCTTCTTTTTTTCAATCAACTTGTTAATAATACTCGATTTACCAACATTAGGAACACCAGCAATTAAAAAAGTATATGGAATGGTTTTAAACTTTTTCGGAGCCACTTCAATATTCTTATTGTGTAAACATTCTTGTACAATCTTATTTACATTGAGTCCTTGTTTTGCACTGGTGAATAAAGTTCCCAATACTTTCGGTCCTTCAATTGTTGCACTGGAACTTTCACTAGAAAAATACTTTTTAATTTGTTCCTGATGCTCCTTGGAAATCAAGTCACACTTATTAAAGAGAATTAATCGTTTTTTGTGAATAAATATTTCATTGATGGTCTTGTTTTTTGATGATATCGGAACACGAGCATCTCTCACTTCAATAACAAAATCAATGTATTTTAATTTTTCCTTGATTTGTTTGGTTGCTTTGGCCATGTGACCAGGAAACCAATTGATAATTTTCCTATCATTGAAACGAGCGAATTGAAGGTCTGGAATAAAGTTGGGAAATTTGGGCATATTTTTTAAATAATTAAATAAATTTATTATTTAATTTTGATTGAATTAGAAATCATTTTCACAGAATTGATAATTTTAGTTCAAAATATATTTAGAACATTGTTCAAATTTATTGAGCAGAACTGCAAGTCATGAAATTAATTTCAAAAATGTTAATTAGTAAAATTACAATGTCAAAATTGTTAAATTCCTAGTAAACTTACGAAATTCTGTTAAAGTAATAATGGTTAAATTCAAATTTTGTTATGTTAAAAAAACTTACTGATAGATCTTGAAACCCCACCAAATAGACCAGAACCAACCAATCAAGAAGGAGGTCAAGACGAATTGGAGAATACCGACAATCAAAGTTGGCATCATCTTTTCCTTTTCAGCAGTGAGCTGTTTTGTGTATTAAGCAAAAAAAAATAATTGAGATTAAAAAGTTAATAACATTCTTAAAAAACACGTACGATAGCAGCAATAACTGTACCCCAACCTGGGAATAAAATGTTGAGGATGAGGACAATCAAACCCATGCTTCCTTCAACCTTAGGAGTGGAATTATTAATAAGATCCATTTTTTAGTGTGTGTTGTTTTTTTTTTGAAACGAAAAAAGCCTTAGTTGTGTTTGTTGCCGTTGTTTAAAAAAATACCAAGTCAACCCGCCTTTTTCTCTGCTGTCTATCATCATGGTTGCTACTACAATGTCGCACCAAACACCGAACCGATTTGTTGGGACCAAATCAGCAGCAGCAACAACAACCAACCAATTCACCGATATTGAAGAGGCCAGGTTTGTTGAAATGTTGTCTGCTATGGAGGTTGGTGTGTTTACAGCTGTGCAGGAATTTGTAGCATCACCACAAGAGTGGTGGTCTGCACAAGAGGAGATTTGTGAGGAAATGTTGGAATTTTGCAATGGTTTGATGATTCGTTCAGGTTTAGTGGAGGAGAATGAGGAGATTGCACCATCGTATGAAAGGATTGAGTTTGGACGTGTGGAGAGAAACAAATTAATACGGAGATTGTTGGATTGTTTAATTGTTGTAAATAATGGTAGTGTTTTGCAGCCACCTGATGCTGTTCGTGTGAAAATATTGCAAGTGATAAATGTTCTGATGGATTTGCATTGCAGATGCGCAAATCAAATTGGAATCAATGACAATTTTGAAGATGTGGAGAAGGAGTTGGCCATTGTAAATACATTAATTACTATAGATTTCTATCTGATTGTTGGAGTGGGAATTCAAAGACAAGATCTATTGAGGGAGATATTTATCAATATCCTATATTGTGTGAAATCTGTGCAAGATTTTGAAAAGTTTACACACCCTCAAATCAAACAATTTATTAAGCGAGTAGTGTCCAACTTGTTGGATGAAATAATAATGAGATCAATCAAAGAATCACCCTCGTTGAGAGGAATCGTTGCCTCCACTCTGCAGTGTATTATCAACTGCACAACAGTAAGCTCGTTATTCAGAAGCGAATTGATACAATGCCATTTTGGAAGAATTGTAAATCTGTTGGCATTACCATTTGATTTCGGACGATCCAATATTTTCGGAGAATATATGATAAATACCCACATTGGAATTTTGAGCCTCTTTTACAAGCTATTAAGCTACTGCTTGATTAACTATCCAGACTTGCTGATACCCTTAGTAGATGCGAATTATTTGGCAGAAATGACTGACGTTTTACTTGCTTATTGTTGCAATAATTGTGATGGTAGTAGCAATCATTCATTCACCACTACAACTACTCCTACCATTGATGAAATATTGTTGGATCCTCTTGTATTATTGTACACTCTTTCTACACACGGATACAATGTTCTCTTTACTCCCAAGCGCTCAAAAGAATACATTTCAACTATTAAGGTCCTAATACATTCCAAGTACATATCTGCCTCCTCCAAAGCTAACATCATTTCAATTATAAGAAAATGGATGGAAATTTATTCCAATCATATGACCAACAATTCAAATATTACTCACTTGGTTGAGGAAATTCTCTCTCAAAACCTTCCACTTGCAATATTTTGTCAATTGACTAACTCTTCACCTCCTCTCACGTTGAGAATTAACAACTTTCTCTCTTGGATGATATCCGCATTGAATAGCAACGACATTACTCAAATCCACAAATTTTCCGAGTATCTCGCCTTAAATGTGATTGGTCCATTTGCCTCTTGCTCCTTGACCGATTCTTCTTCACCCCTCCAATCAATTCTCGATAAACTATTACAAGAACCAAGATTGATTACAACACTCACCGAAAATAAGATACTGTCCCTCATTGACGAGAAATCTCTCAATATTGATGCAAACATGAGAAAACTCATGTTAGAAACTGAAAAAGAGCAAGATAAATTTACCTCAATGCTCAAAGCCCTTCCACCTCAAGACAAAAAGCTGCTACAAATCACAGAGGGAAATCTATTTATCAAGAAACTACAATAAATTTATTATTTGTAGTGTGTAATAAGTTAGTAAAGTGACACTCATCACTTATCATCTTCAAAGTAACCATAACAAATATCAGTATCCAAATACCCACGCCCTGATAAATGTGGAATTAAATCTTTCATATAATTAGGTATGGAGCTATCTTCTCCTTCATAGTCGGAATTATCAGAATCTGAATCACAATCATCATCGTCATCATCTTGTTGACATGGTGTATACATGAATTGACTGTCATTCGGACTGCCTGCAATTTCTTTACATTTACAATTAAACTTTTGGAGACTTCTATTAAGCAAGTCTGCATATCCAATCTCTTCGCTTTTATCTACAAGGGAACTTTCATAATGATATTCTTCAGAGGTTCCATATATTGGAAACGAGTAAAGCCAACTAGATTTTAGGTATTCAGATTTATCTGGAAAATCTTCTGACTTTCTCTTTCTAAACTTCCTAGGTAATCCTTCATTATCATAATGTGTTTCCACATATACTGTTTTTAATTTTCGATGAACAGCTCCATACTGTAAATTAGATGTCCTTTCATAAATATCAACAATATCAAATGTTCGAACAGAATTGTCAATATTAAATAAATCATTACTCATTATAGCTCTGCATATTTTACCAATAAATTGAATAGGAAGTCTACTATTTGCTCCTCTTCCAGCATTCAATCTAAAGAAATTACAATATAATTGAAGGACTCGAGAGACATGACACGGTTCCTCAATACCAAACCAGAATTGATTTGAGTTTTCTTCATCCTCTTCGTCTTGCTCATCATCTTCGGAACCAGCATCGAAATAGTCATCGTCATCATCTTCCTCGGCTTCATCGTCTTCCTCTTCTTCATCTTCCTCTTCATCCTCTTCGTCTTCCTCTTCTTCATCAGAATTATCAGAGGTTTCTTCCGATTCCAAGTCTTCCTCATTACAAGGGTCAAAGTAATTAGAATCTCCCGAGAGTGCTGTTGTATCATCTTCGTCAGAAGAACTATTACTAGTTGAACGTTGTTGTACAATTTTAAGGTTTGATTCACTACAAGTAGAATCATTCATTCTTCTTTGTTTAATAGAATTACTATTATTAATATTACTATTATTATTATTACAAGGTTTGTTGTTAGTATTATTATTATTACTAGTAATATTACTAGTCATTGTTGAAAACGAGGATTTAATCACAATACTTGTTGCTGTTGTTGGTGAATACAACAATTTTCCATTCTCTAGTAACATATTTGTGGTTGGAGAGTCGACACTTTCATGTAATTTAAATACGGAATAGTAAAGTGTTGGTTGTTGATTCTTTTGATTATTATTAGTAGAACCAAGAATACCAGCAATGGCCCTATCACTATTATCCTCCTTACGAGCAGCAATATCTATTGTTGATGTAGTGTTGGTAGTTTGTGAGGATTGCTTGTTATTGCTTGTCAATAAAGATGATGCATCAACAACAGGAGAAACCAATTTTGCACAACACACTGTTTGTGGAGCAGTAGTAGTTTGAATGGGATTGAGAGAATTTGTTGAATGGCTTGTGGTGTGTCTATTATTAATTGAATTAACATTCCCACAGCTATAACAAGAGGCATTACTTGAAGTGCTTGTAGAAGAGGAAGCCTTGTTGTTGTTGTTGTTGGATAATGAGACTTTCATATTTACGGAAAGAAACTAAAATTAAATAATACTACTAAAGCAATTGTGGATTGGATAACAACGTTTAAAACAAGTAATTGTTTGTTTCTTCTTGTTGATTAAAAAGCGAATTTCTTCTTGTTGCAAAGGATGTTGTTGTTGTTGACGAAGGATAATAGTGGAAAGCAAAACAATGCATGGAAATATTCTTTTTTTAAGTAGCGCACGTTCTTTTCGCTTATTTGCTGCTGTGATAAAACCAATCAACAAACACGCCAATCATCAAGTGAAAATGTTGAATTGAGAGAAATGATGATACACACAACAACGGAATTGAATAACATGTATTGAATAATATCTACATTATGCAAAAAGACAAGTATTGAAATATGTTGAAGCGATAAAAATTCACAAGTGGTACCACTTTCGCTTTTTACCACAATCAATACTATTATTAGCATCATTCAAATTACTCATGTAATTTTCATCACAATCCACAACAGTACATCATCTTGTGTGAGGATTATTGTGTAGTACCCTTAATCAGTCGGCTATGATGAGCCAACTCTTAGGAGTACCACTTTTAGATACCCTTATAAAACTGAATTTTAACTGAGTGAAGTGATGTCCCCATATTCTCTCTTCCTTAATGATTATTCATCAATATAATGAGACCATTTGATCCATATTGTAGCCCAAACAGAAAGGAAGAAAACACATCCTAAATGAGACTCCAATGCAACAACAATCCTTACATGGGAAGAGTTGTTCTCTAAATGACCAAACAAAATTTCAGTTTGAGAAGTTCAAAACTTCTTAATATGGGCCATTCAGCTTGCCACAACATTGTTGCTTGTTTGTCACTGAATGTCGTTGTGAAATTGGCTCTTCTCTAGCCATCGCAATAATTAACAAACATTGAAAAAATGTCCACAATAACAAACATTAGCTTCTTACTTGTATTCATCATGTTGGTTGTTTTTTTCAGCCCTACTACATGCAAGGGAAGAGTGTTGAGTGTGAACCCAGTTGAGGATGTACTCTATGAAGCTTGTAATCATCAAATAACGATACCCTCTGAAAGGATATCAAGACTTTTAACAAAATTTGAAAAGGTTCAGAGTCAAGAGTTGAGGGATAAGCTGTTGAATTCATTCATGTATGATGAACAAGCTCTGATACATTGGTCAGACATACTTACCATACTTTCCTCATTTGACTATTTAGAATATAAGGAAAAGTGGAGAAATCAACTCATCAATAGAATGGCCAGAATACATGTGGATGATGTTCCAGAATTTATCAACAAATTGACAGAAAAAAGTGAAGAAAAGATGGCGCTCTTGAGTCAAATCAAGCAGAAAATTAACAATTTGACACGAGAGAGGAGACACAGTATTTCTCTCAAGATATTTGGAATTGATGCAAGACTTGCTAGAAAGGCATCTCTCTTGTTGGATAGCTTTGTTCCAGATTGTGTCTATGAAGATTTGGATGAAGATGTCGTTGTTTTGGCCATTGGTAATGAGCACGTTGAATCTCCAAAACCATTGAGCAAGTATTCCAACACTTCTAGCTTTGAAGCACTCAAGCTGGCCACAATCCATGCCTTGAGAAGATTGAAATCTCATCAAAAGTTTGGCTTGGTTTTCCTTACTTCCAAATTTGACAGTGTTTTTGGACAACAACTCGTTCAAGCAACAAGTGAAAATATTAGGAAGGCATTGGTTGCAATTGATTCTCTTGAATATGAACAGGCTTCTACAGTAGACTTTATGGAAAATCTGATTGACATGTTTCAACAAGATGCCAATCCAAAGAGTGCTCTCTATTTGGTTGGTAAGGTTACTGAGGTAGAGGTTCCTGCATTCAATGTTGGATCACAGCTTGGTAGATTTAAGAGAAATATGATTGTTGTGCCAAAGATTCACACTGTTGGTTTCTTTGTGAATGATTCTGATTCGTTGGAGTATTTGAGTACAATTTCGAGAGTTTATAATCAATATTCTATGAATACGGGTGGAAAGTGTATCAGATTATACACTCCACAAATTTAATGTAAATAATAAATCAACTTTTTATTTTATATGAATTCAATTATTTGAAATAAGTTTATTTACAAATTAGGAAATGTTTAAAAATCTAATATTCAGTCTCATTAAACAACTTATTAAACACTGTATCTTCAAGTGTAATGCCACCCCATCCAATATTATTATCACCTTTCAATCTTTCCTGTTTCAAGTTGGATTCTTCCCACATTTTCTGTTGAGATTCCACTTGTTCTCCCACAAGTGGAACATTCTTCAATGTGCTTGTGAGTGTTTCCCCAATATTTCCCCACAAACTTTGAGATTGTTTCATTCGACGAAGTTCTCTCTTTGTGGTGGGGTGGAAAACATGATCTGTTGGTGCATGTTTCTTATCGTAGTCATCAATGTATTTAATGTGATCTGTCTTGACCATTTTAATTTGATTTTTGGAGTTTTTTATAAAGTAAAGTGGCAGTGTATTGGAAATTTGAATGGAAATTTATAGGGGTGGAATGGAAATTGTCTATTTTGGAAATTTGGATGGTTTGGTAAATTTCCAAATATAGAGTATATTACAAGAATGATTATTGGCCTCTGAGAATTGATTCATATGAGACTTTGTGAGCATTGCTAATGGTCGAATAGTAATATTCAACAACAATATTAAAATCAGATGGATTGAGATGATTGGATCCCAAATCAGAATTTGATTGAACTGAATAGAACCAATAGGATGGAATAAAGAGACAATCACCTTCACTCAATTGGGTTTTGAGAGGTCGTGCAAATCGAGAGAGAGGGTACTTCTTCTCATCTGGACTGTATGGATTGAATCGGACATGATTAGGATAACTTTCATGTGGATAAAGTCTTGTTAATAATTTGTTGTGTGAAATTCTAGTTGAAATTCTACTTACAAATCAACTTGGAATGGATCGAATAAAAGTAGTTCAGACTTTCCAACGATTTGGCATTGAATAGTTTCGTAATTATCTATTAAAATTGATTCAATAATTTGGAGTAGAAAGATTACTTACTCGATTTTAACAATCTAGTTGTTTTTCCAGTGGTAATGAGAGAATGAGTGGAGATGTGAGTGTAGAAACCATTTGAAACAACAGTTGGCCATTTTGGAATGTCATGCTGTAAATGTGGTAACTTTGAAAGGTCAACCGAGAGAAGCAACTTGTATTTGACTGATTGTTCCACAAATTTTTTGAAATTCTTTCATCGTTTCAGTAAATTCAATCTTGTGATTTCCAACTTACCATCATTTCAAATTTAGCATTCTCAATATTCAATTCATGGAAAATTCCATTCTTGTTCTTTTCTACACTGTACATTTCCTCCTGTTTGTAACTCTTCAAATAGTCAACCTTGTACCATTCTCTTTTAGCTCTCCAACCAATTCCAAACTCTTTCAAAACAACTGGCTTACTTTTCAATGTAAAATTCTTAAATAATAGTGATGGTTCAATATCCTTAATTGATTTCACAGATGTATCAAAAACATCCAAATGTCCGCCTTCATAATTCAACAAATGTCTCGAATAGGACAAGTAAAAATGTCTCAACAGGTCAAAATTATCCTGTGTCGTTTTCTTTTCATCAAATCCATCAGGTAAAGGAAATGAAAGAGTATTTTTCATTCTGGCATCTGTCAAATCCTCCTCAACTCTTGTGTCATGACTCAAAAAGAAGAATCCAATTAATATTCCAAATAAAAAACACAAAACTGCCAATTTCCACTTTTTCCACACAATCTCCAACAAGTCCTTTCTTGAAAATTCGCCAGCAAATTCAATAAATTCTTTCGATTTTCGAATAAATTTCCTCGTCCTTTCGTTTTGTATTATTGTTCTCTGAAGATGTTTTGTGCAAGATGTGAATTTTCCTTTCACAATGGCCAGCACTGATTTTCTGGTCATTGCATTAGGATCGGGAAGAGATCCTAGGAATGTGGAGGCTGCTTGAGTTGAAGAAGGAGAAGAGATAGAGGGAATGTCCATGTCTTGGTCTAGATGCATTTTTTTTGACTAAAGTCACATGTCATCTTTCAAAGAAGAATAAGAAACACAAGGAAAAATCATTACAATTTAATTGAGATATTTATTGAATTTTCTAATCAGCAAATCCAGATCCTCCCCAATTATTTCCCGAATCATTACCGCCTCCTCCACCACCACCAGAATCCCAATTATTCGAATTAGAATTCGAACAATCATTATCATTAAATGAAGTATATCCAGTTGATCCTCTATCATCTCCTCCACCATTATTTCCACCTCCACCACCACCACCAAATAATGTACAACATGCACCTTTCTTTAGATACTCAAACCAACTGAGATGTTTCGTCTCTTGATTCTTATATTTTGAAGCAATTCCACAACCAATTGCAAGAACGATACAAATAAAACCTGCCAATGATCCTGCAACAATTGCAAATATTTCGAATGGTATTAAGGTAGTTCCTGATTGGCGGGAAGATTTGGCGGGAGTTGGATATTTCATGTCAACTATTGTGGAGCAATTATCGAATTGTAAAGTGGATGGAAGAAAGTTGACTGTTGAATAGAGGATTGAAACATTCTTGTTGAGGTTTCGAACAGTTCTATTATCGACCGCCATTCCATATTCGAAAGAATCAGGTTGAGGATATTTTCTGAAGGAAATTGTTGGACTAAAGATGAAAGTGGAAATGAGTGTTTCAATAGGTGATTCTGCATTGTTATAATAATAATCAATATCATATCTTGTTTCATTAAATCCACCAATATTAATGAATTTGGTGATAAATTTTGAAGAATACGTGTTTGGTACAATTGTATACGAAAGTTTGAATGAAATTCTTGTAGTTTCAGTTGGTGGAGTTGAAGGACTCAAATACATGACAATATAATCATAGTAATTAATTGTTTCAATAGATGTCCTCATACTATACGTTGCATTATTCGAAAGTAAAGTTACAGAAACATCATATGCATATTGAATTCTGGACCAAAGAACTCTTCCAATCCTTGAATAAGATCCAACGAATTCATAATCGAAATATTCTACAATATCCAAAGCACAGTCACCTCCACCACGAATGTAAACTTCGGACGAAAGTGATTTAATTGAATAGGATTTTGCATGTGATGATTCTACAATGAAAGAAAGTAGAAGAAACAAACAGCCAATCAGATATGCAATTTTCTTGACGTTTGTTCTGTCCACACCGAATGGTTGCATCTTGGTTGTGAACAATTTTTTGATTGATTAATTTCGAATAGCCAAACTAATCTTTAAGAATGTTTTTGTGAAGAGAACAATTAGGAACAATGCAAAGAAATAGAACATTGATAGAATCGCAAAAAAAGAATGGCACATTCGTTTCTATTATTTTTGGGAAATGATTTTCTTTGAAAATTGTAATCATTACTAAATTGGAAATCTCTATGAGGTGAAGGGACATTATAATAACTTGGTATGCACCTCTTTGATCACTCTATTTATGCATGTTTACAACAAGTTCTCTTTCTTCTACAGTTATTTTTGAAATTCTTTACAAAATGAAACTCTTTCCAATAAATTGTAAAGCATGTTTATTTTGAAACATTTATGGAACTAAATCTTCTTTTCTAACAGTATTTCTAGGCTCAACTTGCATTGAAATATCATACACATCAGTAATGTCATGATTTTCAAAAGTTGTCCTCAATAATTCTTGAATTTGTTGAACTGGTCTAATGTTATACGGTGGATTCTTGAAATCCATCACTTCTGATATGGTAGTTGCTACTAATCTTCTCTTCTTCCAATTAATTAATGTTCTTTCATTGGAATTGGATGTGAAATCAGGATTTCCTTCCTCAATCATGATGAGATCGGTTTGATAAACTCCTAGGAAGACATTTAGTGGAGGTTTGGCAACTTTCTTGATGTGATTACGAAGAGTGGAATAGTTTTTCTGTTTCTTTGGATCGACAATGGCAATGGCTTCATCAAATTCCTTTTTTAGAGTTTCGTCTATTTCTGCAATTGTAAATTTGAGACGATGTACTGAGGATTTGTTGAAGGTGGAAGACAGTGCCATTAGAGAATTGAAATTGTTGAGCTTGTTCATGAGAATGGCAAGTTTCATCAATCTGGAAAGTTTCATCTTTCTTTCTCTCAAAGATTCTTCTCTTACAATTTGACATTCTAACCAATTTGATAGGGTTTCTACATACGAAATGGATTGAAGAATATTCTTTGCTCTATGTCTAAGATTTGCCTTTGACCAAGCACAATCCAACAATTCATGTGGTTCAATATTTCTATAAATGTTATGATCCATAAATGTCAATTGCTTTGCCAACTCTTCATCCTTAATATCCCAAATAGATAACTTGGAAGAGAATACATTTTTTGGAACCTCTGGATAAATAAACTGTTCACTAAATACCAGAGTATTGTCCTTACTCTTGAAAACTAATTTTTGAGCTAATTTCTGTTTGAGTTTGTCTCCCACAATTTTCTTATCTTTCATAATATACTTGTCAATGAATAGCAAGAATTCATAAATCATGTTATCATTCCAATCCCATGAGAAGTAATCTTCAATCCATTTGATGAAAACAGCACTAGTTCTCAATTGGATCTGAATTCTCTCACTGGATGGAATACGATTTGGAACTTGATATCTTTCACATAATTTCTTCAAAAGAATTCCAGGATCAGTGAAAGAACGATAAGTCACCAAGAAACTTTGAATTCCAATCTTGGTATCTGCTTCAGTGCTTGTCACCATTTCAATCAGTCTATTAAGGGTTGCTGCTTTGACTTCCTTTCCCTCCATTACAATTGAATCTTCATCAGATTGAGCTAACTCTTCCCACAATGGTATTTGCATTTCCTTGACGAACTTTGGATCGTAATGATGATGAATGCTTGCCGTTGGAATCTCACTATCTTTGTTAACATTCACAAAATCTGAAGGTGGTAATTGATATGGATTTTCAGCATCTTGAATTCCGAGACTTAGTAGAGTTTCCATCAGAGTATCCCTATTAGAAGCCTTCTCAGATCTGAAACCATTATATTTTATACCAGTTTCCTTTTCCATTTCCTTAATGGTATTGTAATAACCTTTCTGAGCCATGAATTGATAAATGATTTGAAGTAATCCTTCACGAGGGAGAACTTCCTTATTTTCAACAGTTCCCAAGAAGGTGGAATAGTCTAAAATGCTCTTCTTTTCTTCAATATTGGTCACAATCTGTTGGTCAACTTGAACAGCTGACATGTACTTGAGCAAATTATGAGAGCTAGAGTTTGGTGATTCTGTGAGTGATGACTTCATTGAATCTCTTCCCTTTGAAGAGAGTAGATCCATATTAACAGTTCCTCCTGGATTGTGATCAGTGGCAACTGTTGGAGAGGCAGTACTTCTTGGAGAATTAGTTTCACTTGTCGGTTGACTAGAATTTGTTGATGATTGTCTTGGTTTGATCATTGATAGGGATGGTTGATTATTCAGTGGACGAGACCTTTCCAATAAAGCCAATATATGTGGATTTCTCTTCATTGCCCTGGCAATCCATTGACTTTTGTCAACCTTGTTTTCTGGTTGACTTTGTTTTTCAACTTGGCTCTTGATCGATGCAGAAACTCTCTTAATTTCATGTTGGTGTTGTCTATCTTGATGGCGTGGCTTACAAGTTTCAATTCTTGGATTGGAATCACTCATGAATTGTTCTAAAGTTTGTGGATCGGTTGAGAAATCTTTCGAATAATTTACAAGATTAGGTGGAAGTGGCACGTGGAGGGAAAGGTAGCCCTTTACAACGGCATCTTCACTGTAATTCATTAGTTGGTGAACTATTTGATCTTCTAGTGATGTGTTGGTAGAAGCTGTTGATCCATGAGAAACGTGCTTCTTCACCTCCACAGGGATTCGAATAGTTTTTAAACTTTCGTATGAATTCATTTTTTTGTTGTTGTGGTTATTGTGTGAGATTTATCATTTAGGCTTCTAATTTTCTCTTTTGATCAATTCATTCCACTTTTGTTTTTTCACAGGTATAAATATGGAAAGGAAATTCGTGGTTTTTACAAGATCATCGAATGGTTCCTTGTTACATTAATATCTCTGTATTTTTTTGTTGAATGTTACACTCATAGAATTGTTCATGTTGTGCATGAAGGTTGATCGATAAAAACACATGTTTTGAAATTCTGAAGAGTTTGGTATTAAAGGGATGATTTTGTTTTTGCTGAAAAAATAGGGCAAATCTGAAGGTATTCAATCTGAGGCTATTTTCTCGATGAACATATATCTTCATGGTTTCATTCAAACATGATATATAGGCTACAACAAATACTATCGGATAATATTTAAATATTAAAAAAAGGACAAGCAGAAAAATCAAAAACAAAATTGCAGAAGGTGGGATTTGAACCCACGAAGCTTGCGCAGTAGAACTTGAGTCTACCCCCTTTGACCACTCGGGAACCCCTGCTTCACATTCAAATTAAAAATGGGTTGTAAATGAGACAGAAACACATGGAAAGAGCGTTTCAACAAAGGCTTAATTCTTTTATTATGGGCTTTGAAAATTTGGTGAGCATGGTCAAGCACTTGAATCATTACATGCGTTTTGAAACGTTGTTAAATTCGTTGCATTTTCAAAAATTCCATTATTGTTCTTATTTGTACAATTTTGACCCTTAATAATCAGTTGATTTAGAATCCCAATGCTCTCAATGATTTACAATTGAGCAAACTTTGATATTTGAGTCATCCTATTTTGAACATTTTTGAAAAAACTCCAGTTCAATGAAACGCATCAATTTGCAAGAGTGTATACTCTCCACACAACATTACTCAAACATGCACATGGCATAGATGCCCACATTCAACAAAAAAATCAATAAACAACCAATAACATAGTATTAAGCCATAATTAATTCATTTACATGTAACATGTATTATACACCCAACGATTGATGAAATTACATGAGTAAGCAACAGCACATGTGATTACTAATGTAGATGGTAAAGCACCAGTACTGGTGCCCATCATTGCTTATTTGCCATTACATCATGTTCAAAACAATACAAACTAGCAATAGAGACTGAACAACATATGTATACTCCAGCAACTATTGGCATGTTTAATTCTATCAATTAAATCACATCATCTTGCTCCCATTCATAATGCCACATTTCACCAATAACCTCAACAATCGAATCAAACCCTTCTGCCAAGTGCACCAATATCTTTCTTTTTCCTCCAAGCCTCACACAGTCAGATTAATCAAATTTGTCAACACTAAGGCAAACCAAGAAACATTTGATCAATTATTTCACCAGCCAGCATCAAATGTCTTGTCCATAACGAAACTGAAAAAAAAAAAAGCGCTCACCTTCGAACTCTGTGCACGAACGCAAAGCGACTCGAAAGAAAACACAGAATTTTCTTTTACCGCCACAGCAGCGCGCGTTTGGTTTTTCTTCTTCTGCGTTTATTTGCTGCCCCGATCACCATCATCATCATTAAATATTATTAATATTAACATTAATATTTAGTTAAGCAATAATAATATTCAACACTTTTGAGATATTGTTGTTGGTTAAGATAGAGTTTGAATATTTGTTCTTGTTTGGAAAGCTAAAGAACAAGACGGAACAAGGGATTACAATATATTGTTTAATAGTGACACGAGTGTTTTATATTTGCAATAATATTGTATTGTGTATTATTAGTTAGATTTTTCATTGAAATTCAGAGTATTGGAAAGTTTATTCGAAATTATTAGAAATGGGACAACACGGATCATCAGCACTTTCTGGTTCAAATTCCCAGGATGATGAAAGTAAAGAAGTTTCATCGATACCAACACCCCATCCTTCCAATAATCCATCTTCATCACCGATCATTATGAACAATGATCAGTTAAATTCATCAGCCAATAGTCCTTCTAAAGGATCATATTATGGAAGCTTACGAGTTAATCAAATGTACAGAAAAAATCAAGCAACAGGGATGAATAATTCACCACAACAACAACCTTCAACTCCTCAAGGAATCAACATGTTATCATCAACGAATAATGAAAATAGAGGACTAGTGAATGAACAACAATCTACACCAACAACGAGTAGTGGAATGGATATCCAATCAAAGAGAAGAGAAATTAAAAAGAAAGGAGGTCCTGGGTTGACTTTGCTGGCCACTTCTTTTTCAAGAAGGGACTTTGGACAAGATCTGATTGGAGAAGAAGATACAGATGTAACAACAAGTAGAACAGGAGTTGATTCAAGTGCTGGGGTTTTTACATCATTCAGAACTTCGAGGAATTATTTGAGAAGCCACATGGATGATAGTGCTATAATTTCTAAAAATGATATTGGTGAAATTGTGCATCATCACGCTGATCACCAATGTTTGAGCCTGTATCCAAAATCTCACTACGACTATTATAATAGAAGAATGCATCAATTGATTGATTCATATTTTGAAAAGGAAAACTTTGATTGGACCATACATTTGGATCCAGAAAATGATCCACAATTTTATGAAATTGCCTTCTCAATGTTTGAATCAGTTGTTGTGAATAAGAGACTCTCTCCTCCAAAAACAGTAATTCCCTTCATAGCTCAATATAATGATGATGAGTATGAAGAGGAATCAGATCCACAAATAATAGACGACGATTATTTTATACATTGCGAGCAACCAACCAAATCATCACCCCGACAAATTCAATCCAATTCTGATGAGAAACGAGAGATCATGGGTAAAAAAGGAATATCACCAAGCTGTAGCACTTCCACTGTAGAAACAACAGGTGCCTCAGCCACTACAATGCCCTCTCTTGTGAGTACCACCTTGACAACCTCCTCCACTGTAATCTCAAATGAAACAATGATCATGTCGTCTTTGGCCAATACCACACTCGGCTCTCCTTCCACTTCAATCGCCTCTTCCAATTACCTGTCCTCCCCAAATTCTTTTCAAAGACCAAGAGGAAGAGCATTCCTCATGTTTGGTTCCTCTCAATCTCCTTCTTCTTCCACTCAACAGAATTCATACCTTCTTTCTCCTTCCATGAATTCAAATTATAATCCCACTCCAATTACTCCCCTTCGATCTGATTCTGCAATCTCCACAACTCTTAACCCCTCTACTACCACTCCAAAAACTCCAACACCCTCATCAGAAAAGAAGACCAGCCCACACGATTTGAAATCATCAGAAAAGAAGATCCCAAAATCCCCTCGAGAATGTAGAAGAGAATGCTATTCAAAAGTGTTAAATGCTCGTTTTGAATATGGTGGATGGAAGGATAATTGTGATTTTGGTAAAAGATCGATTTCATTGAGTCAACTCGAAGAGAGCGTACCATATGAAATCATGTTCCACATATTATCCTATCTATCAGCTCCAGATTTGATTGACCTGAGTCGTGTCAGCAGATCTTTCCACTACATTTGGACAGAACATCCATTGTTGTGGATTAGCTATCCATACAATCTCAATAACTTGAGTATGTCAGATTTGAGTAGCAGTTCAGAATTTGCTGAAACCTTTGATGACAGAGAGAAGAAACAAGGATCATCCTTCATCGATCACATTACCCTCAGAGAGTTGATAGAGAGTTCACCATTCTCACAGGAAAAAACAACCATGGTTCTAAGTAGTTGGAAGAATATCTATAAATCCATCTATAAGGGTTATAGAAATGGACCATGGATGAACTATTGTGCATTCCATAACAATGTAAATACACAAAGTTTAGAATATCGATTGAGTATGATCGAAATTAAGGTCTGTCTCATTGGTGATTCTACCTCTGGAAAATCCTCTTGGGTCTACATGTTGAAGGAGGCCATCTCAAATCATTTAGATACAGTAGAACATAGAAGTCGAGTGAAAAAGATTGAATATATTGAATCAACTATTGGCGCTACCTACTTGATGAAACATGTGAAAGTTAATTTGCCAACACCAACGGGTACAGCAGAAATTCAGGAAGATGATGATTCAATTTCATCAGAGGCTGACAGCTATATCATGACAAGGTACAATCCAATCATTTCTCTGAGTGTATGGGACACTTCTGGTATGAAAAGATTCCTTAATTTAATTCCACTCTATTTGAAAGTTTGCAAAGCAATCATGCTCTGTTTTGATTTGAGTAGACCAGAATCATTCGATGATATGTTACAGCTATTCGACAAGTACATTTTCAAACAACAAGCAACCAAATCACCAGAGCTTAACTTGTTAGAAAATAGAAATCTATTTGAAAAGTGCTTACAAAATGAGGATATTTACGTGTTCGTTTGTGGATTGAAATCTGATCTGGAACCTAAAATATCCAACGAAAGAATCACTCAATTCCTTCATTCCTATGGTGGTTCCAGAATCAAACTCTTCACCAACAATATGCTCTACTTTGAATTGAGCTCAATGAGTGGTGAGAATCTCTACACTCCTTGGTTACACTTGGCCTATAGAGTTGCATTGAAGAATCAATCAGATGGTGCAAGTAGTAGTGCAAGTAGTGGAAACACTGCAAGTTCAATAAGTAGTAATGGAATGTAATATCACATGTTTTGTAAACCTTTTTGAAGAAACAACAATTTTGAAATAAAGAGTTTTCTAAATCAAATACCTCTGCCAATTTATATTTCCTTTTCAAAACCTAAATATCGTTCTAATTATTTCCAAAATGGTGAAAACTAAACTTTAATAAAATAAATTTATTATAATATTCAAAACATCATCAAATTAGAACATGGAATATGTACTTGGTCCTCTTGCTATATCCAAAAAAACAACATCGCATTACATTAGTTTATCCAAATTTTCGAATAAATAAATATTTCATCAAACTACTAACCTTGAGCTTCTCTCAAAAGTTGAGCTGTTGAACAACACGAACAAATCACTCCAGTAGCACAATCATTAGTAATATTTCCCTATAATATATTTAAATACAAATTTCCATCACACAAATTTCGAATAAAAAACAACATTCGAATAAAAATTAAAATTTCTATCGGAATGTAACAAGAAGAATAACACAAACCTTGATTCCGTAACTACTTCTAATTGTATGTCTATAAGCAGGTGAAGCAATACATGGAATGAAAGTTGATATCAAACAATTGAAAATCCAAAAAGATCCATCAACATGTGATTTAGCATTTGCCATTGCACAAGGAGTACAAACAAATGAATACATGCACGAGTTTGTATCATCAACACAGTCAAATAAACCTGATGACCAAGTTGCCATTTTTTTTTAAAGTTGTTTTTTGAGTGCTGACTTGTTATTTCACATGTCAGAACATTTTCTTATGGGTGTTGGAATGAGGCTATTGAGAGATATTTCTGTCTTCACTGATTCAAAAAAAATGTGAGGTTTTTTCTTTCTGATGCTTTATAATAATTATTTCTAAAATATTCGAAAATAGTTTAAGGTTTTTATTCGAAATATTAAAACTAAACCCTTAATTGGCAAAATTTTTAATTTTCTAACAATAACATTAAAATAGTAGATCATATTCTTTGTAATCAGATCTGTGGACAAATCAATATTACAATCTAATGAATATGATTGCATTGCAGATCTCCTAGGAAAATTGAGTCAGTCAACTGTGCTATGTGAAAACTTAATAGATCTCAAAAAACTTGTTTGCATTCCCATGTACTATGACTACATTATGAAGTTTGTTGATTATCACTGCCCCAACCAAATATGGAGTTAAGTAAAAAGGACTTCCAATCAGTTCAATTATTAACCAATTTTTCACCACTGACTTTTGACAGCTAAACAATCCTTTGCATGACATATTTAAACCAACATGGATCATTCACTGCTCACTACTAATCAACAAATTTTAAAAAAAATAACTCAAAATGACTGTCTTTTGTGATAAATGTTCTCAAGATGATGAAAAAACCGAAGCAACTCATGCATGTCCAACATGTAAATTAAATTTCTGTGAAGGACACTTGTCATTCCATAATTCATCTGCCAAAACAAAGGATCATGCATCCCAAGTGAAGAGTTTGAATTCTAATAACTGTTCTCATTGTGAAAAGTTTCATGGAGAAACTTGGCCAGCTCAATACGAATGTGCCGAATGTGGTGGTGTGAAATTGTGTGATTTACACAAGAAAATTCACGATCGTTCACCAAAACTTTCACAACACAAAGTTTCCATGGTTGGTTGTAAATCAGTTCCATTCAGTGGTGAATTTAAAAAGGTTTGCAAGTTGGGCGATAAGGACGAAACTAACATTAATTTGGATTATCCAATGACATGTGCAGTTGATGTTAAAAATCAATTGATTTTTGTTGCATGTCATTATACTATTAATGTATTCGATGCCAAAACTCATTTGTTCAAATATCAATTTAAGGCACCTAAGGAAGAAACCATTACTTGTTTGAGAATTGATTACAATGATAATGCAATTGTTTTTTGTAATTCTAGAAAGTGGGTCACTAAAATGTCACTTGATGGAAAGGTTGTTTTCTGGAATAAGTCATTTGACAATGAAACTGGTGACTTGTATTTGTGTGTTGATAGTGATTCAACTGTTTATTTACTTGTTAGTGAATATAGAAGTGCAAATATTAGAGTTTTGAATGGAAAGGATGGTTCTGTAACTAATACTTTGGGTTCTGATTCAAATGGTAATTGTTTATTGAGTAATGCAACTATGGTTTCAATTGATTTGGAAGGAAATTTGTGTATTGGAGATGGAACTAACAAGTATCAATTGGTTTCCATGTCAAAGAAGGGCAAAGTCTTGAACAAGCTCGATAGAAATCACAATTATGGAAGACTTGGAGATATTATTCACTTGGATAATGGTGATATTTTCTGTATTGAAAAGACAAGTGGACAATGCAGAATTGAATTAATCACAAAGGAATCTGGTGTCAAGATTTGTGAAAAGGTCGATGGAAAGAATTTCAATGGATGTGATTTGGCAATTGCTTACAATGGACAAAATGGTGAATTGGTTGTTGCTAGTAAGGAAAATTCTGCTGTTTACATTTTGAAATAAGCTGGATATTATTTAAATTTTGAAATTTCAAAATTTTACACAAAATTGGAAAATACCTTTTTTAGCAAGTGATATTTTAATAAATAAACCAATTTTATTATATTTTCATAAATTTAATCATTGCCGTCTTATTAAAGTCCTGTTCAAATTCATCCAATATCAGCCATTCCTTTTCAAATTGAAGAGTTTCATCCTTAATCTTGCAATATTTTCTGAAATCCTCGAAACATTCATTAACTCTATCTCCATACAGATTTGGCCTAATGGTCAACAGTTTCTTCCTATTAGACAACTGTTGTAAACATTTTAATTGTTTCAGATTAGGCCATTGCCCCTTCTCTAAAATATCCATTAATTCCGTTTCTTCACTAGTGGTAGGAATAAAGTCAAGTTCTGTAAGTGAAGGAAATAATCGAGCCAAATCTCGAATGCTTGTCTACATTTGGTAGAGAGCTTCTTAACAGATGGGATTGGATTTAATTGGTGTGAATCAAACAAATTTGTGTTAAGCTCCAATTCCTCTAAAATTGTAGATTTCTTTAACCATTCTTTTACACAAATGAAAGTATCACCTTCAATTAAGGGGAATACAGTTAAAAGTGGAAAAAAAAATCCAAACATTCCTTTCCAAGCATAATACCAAGAGATCCAATATCCTTAATGTTTGGTGCCATCTTTAAGAATGATTTGATGAAATTCTCGTCCTCATCAATGCATAGAATTATGCCACCACAATTGAAATGCTCCAACTTGTGAAGAGTTCCTCCACCAAATTTAACTTGAGATTTGTTATCAGTTGAAAGTGCTTCAGAAAAATCTCAAGTTATTAAATTGTCCAATTTCAGAAAATAATTCTGCACTAACTTGTTGACAGTTTGAAAATTTCAAATATTCAAATTTTTCGTACCTTCTTCAAGAATTGAAGAATTCCTTCATGAGTGAAATTCAAATCTTCAGCATCTCCACTCACTTCAATATAAATTCCTTTCAAATTAGGACATTTTTCAGAGAGAAATGAAAGAAAGTCATTACCAAAAGGTTAGAATATCTGAATCATTTCCTCCACTAATCACCATATTATCATTTCCATTAAGGAATGAAACTGCAAAAACATTCGAAACATGTCCACCAAATGTTTTCAAACACTTTCCAGTCCAAGTATCCCACACCTTTACAGTTGTATCGTCACTATATATAAAAAATCTCCAAATACTCCAGATTGGGAGCAAGCTTGATCAAATCATAAGCAGTCTTGAGCTCCAAATCTTCATCATAGTTGAACGAATTCTTCTCGAAATGGAGATACTTTAAAGATTGCAGTACTGGTACTTCAATTGAGAAACTCTCGTCAACAATATTTGGACTTGGCATTATTGAGATACTCAATCTTTCTAAAGAAAGAAATTGAGACAGGATTTTGTAAATCTCTGGCCTGTGAAATTCCACTTCATTTAGTACTAACTTCTTCACATCGAAACCAATTGGTGTTGATGTCAAACTTCTTTCTATTATTGATTCCTCTCTAAATTTCTTACATTTTAATGGGTTTTAATAACTGGATGATGATTCATCTATTTCACATGAAAGTTGAACAAATTTCACATTTTCCTTTGGTTGATTAGTTGGTTTGGAAAATAATTTGAAAATGTTGTCATCAATTCCATTCACCTCAACTAGGCTAGCTAATTTAGAAAATGGTTCATTCTTTTCAATCACTTCATCAAATATTCTGTTAACTCGTCCAATTGACTTTGTGTTAACCACTAATTTTCGATGTGTCTGTAAAGCGCGACCAATTGACCATCCAAATGGAGTGTTAACATAGGGATGAATTGCTTGAATATGTTCATTCAATAATTTGTTGATTAATTTACATGACAAACTCAACATGATCACCTCTCCGATATTTAAAAAAGTGGTCATGTGCGAAAATTCGTCTAGTAAATCGAGAATAGATGATGCTACCTTTATCTTTTTAGCATTGTCGCTGTGGGTTTTGACATTTTTTTCGAGTTACTACTGGAAATACAATGTTATTGTAAGTTTCCAGAAAGCGCCAAAAGTTCGCATCAAACTTTTCACGTAAACGCTTTCTGGAAACTTACAATAGAACATCAATACAAGCATGATTTATTTCTTAAGCAAACCAATATCTTCCAAGAAGGCATCTTGAGATGGTTCTCTACCCAAAAATTCTCTCAACATGACACCACCATCCTTAGATCCTCCTCTTTGTAAAATGAGCTTTCTGTACTTCTTACCAATTTCTGGATTGAAGATACCTTGCTTCTTGAATTCTCCAAACATGTCAGTAGAGAAAACTTCAGAGTACAAATATCCATAATATCCAGAATCGTAGCCACCCATGAGATGCCCAAATGAAGCAACTCCGTTAGTACCTTCTGGATTTTCCAATAAGGTAACCTCTCTTCTAAGCTTTCTCCACAAAGCACCACTGTCAAGCTTTTCAGCTTCTTCAGCAGAAGTAAAAGTATGGCAAGTCATATCAAAGATACCAAAGAACAATTGACGCAAGTTGAAAAGTGAAACACCAACATTCTTGGCATCAATCATCTTCTTGATGAGATCATCTGGAAGTTTTTCTCCAGTCTTATAGTGAGATGACAATCTCTTCAAACCTTGAGTCTCCCATCCATAACCTTCCATGAATTGAGAAGGCATTTCAACAAAGTCTCTTTCTACACGAGTACCACTGAATCTAGCATACTTAGTCTTAGACAAGAATCCGTGAGTCAAGTGACCGAATTCATGGAGTAATGTGATGACTTCATCATGCTTCAAGAGGGAGACACCAGTTTCAGCTGATGGTTTGGTAAAGTTACAAACCATGGCAGTGACTGGGAATTGTTCCTTTCCTTCAGCATCAAAGTAGTGAGGAGAAAGTGGGAAGGCAGCAAAGTGGCTATACTTGCCATCTCTAGCGAAAAAGTCCAAATAGAATTGACCCAAATGATCATCAGTTTCCTTGTCAAAAACATTGTATAATTTAACACCTTCAAACCAGACCTTAGCATCCTTAACTTCTTCAAACTTGAGAGAGAAAGTTTCTTGAGCAATACTCAGTAAACCATCAAGAGTATAATCCAATGGGAAATATTCCTTAATCAAGTTATCATCGACACTGTATTGTTCTTCCTTGAGCTTGGTCAACAAGTAGAGGTAATCCCATGAGAAAACTTCAGATCCTTTCAATTGTTTGAGTACTTCAAGTTCTTGTTTACCACCATCCAAAAGTCTATCTCTGAGATTGTACAAGAAGGTTAAAACTTCATCTGGAGTAGCCATGTTGACATCCAAAACATAGTGAGAGTGAGTCTTGAAACCCATAATTTCTGCAATCTTTTGTCTAATCTTGACAGCTTGTTCGAACAATGGAACGTTAGCTTCTTGGCATTGTGAAGAACGAGCAACATCCAATCTACGTCTTGTTTCTTCAACTTTACAGTATTTCATGACTGGCATTACTTCTGGATATTTCATTGAGACAACCCTCTTATTTGGATCTTCTTCAGAGACCTTAAAGTCATTAATGACATCTTCTGGAACTCCATCCAATTCTTCCTTTGTGAAATGGAGGACAGTCTTATCTTCAGAAACATTCTTGGTGAATTGAATGCACAACTTGGAAAGTTGATTCTTCAAATCCTTTACAACTGCTCTCTTATCTTCTGGTAATCCCAATCCATTTCTTTCGTAATCCCTGAGAATTCTCTTCACAAGTCTCTTATCTTCTTCGTCATACTTTTCCAATTCAGATTGCATCTTATCAGAAACATATTTAACAGCTCTATACACATCCTCACGCATCAAAATATCAATGGTGAATTCTGAAATTTTTTCTTCAGCAGCAGAAGCAGCATCTCTGACTGCTTTATCTGGACTAACATATGAAGGGAATGTGACATTATTTTCATGTACAGAGAAGTAGGCTTCATCTTGAGCAATTGGTAAAACGACTGATTGGAAAGTTCTTTCAGATTCTGCAAGCTTTGCAACAGAATCATGAACAGCTCTTGATTTTTCAATTAAGGCAGCAGTTTCCTTTTCAATTTGTTCAGGAGTTAAATCAAAAACCAAATTATTTTGAATCATTTCTTCGTCGTCGTCTTCGTCAAAAACAAATGTTGATATATTTCTTTGTTGTTTAGTACTAGTTGTGATGAGTGATGAATCTCCTCTTACTTTTAGTGTTTTGTTTGTATTTCTACTACGAGGTTGGCTTGGTAAATTACAATTAGAAGGAATTGAACCACTAATATTGGTGTGATAATTTTTACAAGAGAGTGATGTTGTTGTAGAGGTTTTTCTTTCCAATTGTTGTTGATCAATCAAATGTGTTGCTGCCGATAAAGCTGGTTGTGAACGGTGGCTTACAGAAGAGAGGATTGACTGATTTTTTTTTAGATTATGCTTTCCGAGAGAAGTGATGAGGTGTCTTCATCAAATGATGAGAGAACATTTAAAACATTGAGTAATGAATGGATATGCAAATAGACAACCGGTTAGATAATGATGTTATTTGAGTGTGAGTCGGCCAAATCTGTAACTTGCATCAGTTACTTACTTGTTTCTGCCAATCATTTTTTTTGTTTTTTAGCACCCTATTTTGATAGACTTGATGTTTTTGTGTGGTTGAAGCCGATGGGGTGTGTTATCTTATGTTGTTGAGGAGTGGCAGTCTTGTTTTCCATTGATTGTATATTTAGATTGTCATCATCATCACTGTGATGATTCTCTCCTTTTGTTAATATTTTCAATTTTGCTTCATTATTCTCTTCAATTAATATCATCACATCAGGTTTTTAAATAAAACAAACCCTTGTTTATTGATAAAAGGACACGGAATAATCTAAAATCACCGATTATTATTCTCGGTGAAGAGAAAATTTAAATTCTTCTGAATAATACAAAACTAATTTATCTGTTTTCAGCCATAATCTTCAAAACACGAGTCTTGATGTAGTTCTTTTGATATTCAGTCATATTGTTAATTTCATCTCCAAATCTAGCGTTGATGAGAGCATCACTTGTTCTATCGTTAGAAACGAAAGCTCTAATATAACCTGGATAACCGAGAACAGCAACAAAAAGAAGAGGGAAACGCCATCTGGTTGGCTTGAAGGAAAGATGAGGAAGGTTTCTAGTGACGAAAGCGTTGAATCTGAAGACACCGTTCAAGTTAGCATGTTGAACGAGGAATTTTGGCAATTCCTTCAACTTGATTTGATGCAAAAACTTGTTGTCAAAGTCGGTAGGGCGAATCTCTCTGGACATTTTTTATTACTTGCAAAAATATTTTTTGAGGTTTACAATAGAGACTCCCTCCAACAAGCCTAAAAACACAATATAGGATGTAAAATTAAAAGACTAGTATTACACCTAGTATTTATTTTGAATTTAATGGTGTAATTATTACACACCAAGTGAAGTATGATCCTCATCACTGCAAACAATCAGCACCTAGAGCGGGAAGGGAAATATTTTTAACACACAACAACCAAATTTTATTCCAAAGCAAGTGATGCTGATGGAGCCATTGATGAGTCAATTTTCCACTTGTTAAAGTTCTCAAATAACTCATGTAATTCCTCATCACTTTCATCGATTTTGTTAACTCTGGAGGGTGAATGACCCATTCTATCAACAACTCCTGTTACCTTAATTTGTTTCCATGATTGGAGAATAAAATCAAATTCTTCCTGAGATTTGATTTTTAAAAAGTCATACAGTGCAGTCTTTACATATTTTGATTCGTTTCCCTCGTATAGCAGTTGTAAATGTTTCTGAGAATCTATTTGATAAATTTCATCTTTGTAAAATAGAAGGAATTTTTGTAAGAGTTTCGAGTGGTTATATTTACAGGCAAGGAAAAGTGGTGAGTGTCTCATGACACCAGATTGAGTATTCATTGGATTATTATTTGAATGTAAAAGTTCATGGTTTACATTAATGTTACGATTAGTTATCACAATACTGTTGGGATTACTACGGTAAATACTCAATAAATAATAGTGATAGATTAGTGAAGCACATTTCATGCTATTTCCTCCCATAGCATAGTGCAATACACTGTTTCCAGCCAAATCCAATCCGACCAAGTTTCTTACAATTCCAGCATTTTCCATATATTCATGTAAAATTGTTAATGCACTCAGCAATGTTTCATACATTTGATCTGATGGCTTTGCTGCTGCATATTGTAATGTATTAGTTTTGAATTGATCTTTCGAGCATATCAATTCCACAATATTAATTATAGTTTTTCTATTCATATGAGTGATTGGAGAGTTGGCCATAAATTGAGATAAAAAATCCACAGCAAAAGGTTTCAATTTTTCTTCAATAGCAACATGAAGAAAGCTTTGTTGTCTTGAAACACTAATCTTATCGAAGGGTATAAATTGTGATGAGAGGAATTGTGCAGTATCAGAGTAACGATACTTGCACGATAGATGAAGAGGTGTGCTTCCAAACTTGGTTGCTTTAGAGCACATTGCTTTACAAAATTCCATGGTCCTAGGATGTGAGAAGAGGAATGCTAATACATCTACTCGGCCAAATCTCGCACATTCGTGTATAATTGTCCACTTGTTACAAGTTTCTCCTGGAGAAATGAATAAGTCAATTTATGAGCTATTTGATTTGCTACTTACCTAATAATTGAAGTTGTGATACTTCATTGATCAGTAATTTTACACATTCCAAGTGACCAAATCTACAGGCATAATGCAGCGGAGATCTTTGAAAACTTCTATTCTTTCCATGGGGTGATAGAAAGTTGGTAACACTCGAGCTTGAAGAATCTGATTTTCCTCCATAAAAGAAGGAAGCTATTTTTGTTAAAATATGTAATCCCGAAATACTAAACGAATGAGTACTATCTTCATCCTTATTATTTGCCAATATATTTTCCATTGTCAGCGAACCGTGTTTAAATCCTTCAATTAATAATTTTAAAGTTTCATGATCTCCTTTTCTACAACACGTAAAAAAGTTTGGTTGTGGAATGTAATGTCCTTCATCGTCCTTTGTTATTGTTATTTCCAATGATTTAATTACTGTTTGATTGTTAGAATCTACAGTCTTGATGGAAAATTTTGTTTTATAGTCGGAGCTTCCCATTATTGATCATTAACGTTTTAAATATTGAATTATGCCAACCAATCGGAACCGATAATTATAATAATAATTTAATATATGGTTTCAATGAAGGATCCAAAAACGTTAGAGTTGGCTATTTTTTTCAATTTTATTTTAAAAACAAAAATCAAAACTCGAGTTCAAGAAGAACACACTATGGTGAAATAACTTAAAAAGAACATGGACCAGTTTTTGAGTGATGTATTATTTTGATATTGGAGGTTTAATTGTGTGATGATTTTCTGAGTGATCGGAGGACTGTTGGAGTGAATAACAGGATGCATTGATGATCAATTTAAGAGGATCCACACTAATATTACTTTGCATAGGCCTAGTTTCTTGATCAATTAAAGAAAACAAATTTTTCACTTGACATGAAAACAGCCACTCGACTCTTTAATTTTTACTGTTTCTACACCCCTTCAAGTAATAAGGCAAAAATCGTGCGCGCACACAGATCCGCAAGCAAAACAAAAAAGGCCTCAATCCCATCACCGAGTCATCAAGGGTTTTTTTGCTGAGGATTGAATAGCTTGATTATTATCTTAACACAATGGTTAGTGTATTGCACGGAACGAGCATTAGAAAGGAGCAAAAACACAGATGGTGGATGTACAAATTGTTATTTCTCTGCGTTGTTTCTGCTCTTGCACTGGGAATAAGCTTGATCTTTTCCCATACCAACGCACCAATATTAAGGGATGCCAGTTCTAGGGAATATATTCCAGATTTTCCATCCTTTCAAAGGGATTACTATTCATTAAATAACTACTATTCGATTGAAAGTGTTATGGATGCTAAGAATAATACAAATGATGATGAGGATGTGTTGATTCAATACTTTATATCTATTAATGCTTCCACAAGTTGTGATTTTGACTCGGTTCCTTATAATATGACATGTAGTTATCTGAGTTGGAATCAATCGGGATGTGCCACAGACAACAAGTATCTCCAATTGCTTCATTGCACAGATTTGCATGAGGCTCCAGCAGTCTTTTATATTTTGGCTGTTCTTGTGGTCCTGATATGTTTCTACTTGTTGGGTGATACTGCAGAAGCATACTTTTCACCTTCCCTTATCAAAATTTCAAATTATTTGAACCTCTCTCCAAACCTTGCTGGTATTACACTTTTAGCTTTGGGTAATGGTGCTCCTGGTAAGTTGTTTCTTGAATTTTATAGAGTTTTTTTAACACAAATTACAGATCTTTCATCTATTGTAAGTTCTCTAAAATCTCTTGAAATATTAATGAATTAAAATTATTCGATTAGATTGTAGGTATTGTAGCAAATGGTAACACAGAATTTGGTGTTGGTGAACCAGTTGGTAGTGGTACATTTGTGACATCTTGTGTTATGGCTGGTATTGTTCTTTTATCAGATGTGAAAGGATTGGCAAGAAGACCATTCATTAGAGATGTTATCTTTTATATTGTTAGTGTTGCATACACTTTTTATTTATACATTGACGGAAGAGTATTCATTTGGGAATCAATCATTTGTGTATTGATCTATGTAGTATATGTATCAACAGTAATTATTGGAAGAATTGTTTACAAGAGAATCAAAGCAAGAAGAGAAAGACTTAAGGGGCTCCCTCAAAAGGCCTCAAAGCTTCAAAAAACTGCTCTTGGCCAAAGATTGATTGAAGGAAGTGGTGAAGGGGAGGCTTCCAACATTTCAATCCCACAAGAGCAAACACCATCTGAAACTGAAAATGATCAAACCTCTCAAAATCCAGAAAATACACACCAAGAAGTGGAACTTATCGACACAGATGCCAAGGCAGTAGTTGAGGAAGATACTGGAAGTGAATCTGAAGAAGAAGAGCAATGGGCTGGATGGAGACATACATTTATTAGAAATGACATATTCAAGGAAGTTTCTGTAAAGGATAGCAAATCATTGGATCGTGTTGCTACTTCAAGATATTACATTCCTAAAGTTGGTATCATTGAATCAAAGAAAACTGAACATGTTGAAGGCGAAGAAAAGGAACACAAATATATTATCACTGATTATTTCCAAAATGAAAATAGTGATAGAAAGGTTCAAGAACCTACTGATAAGGAAGGAGAAGAGAAAGAGGTAAAGGGCTCAAAGAAATACGTTTTAATGTTTTTGGATTCTATTGGATGGTCAGACATGGCTTGGTACCAAAAGATTACTTTCATCTTATTTGAATGGGTTTGGATTTTGTTGAGAAATTTGACTATTCCAAAGAGTGAAGATGAAGAATGGAACAAGTGGTTTGCTATGTGTATTCCAGTATTTTCACCACTATTTATCTTGATATTACCTGGTTATGATAAGTTTATATTTTTGATTGGAGGAGTTTTCCCAGTTGCTGTGATATTGATTATTGTGGGTAGTTTCTTCTCTGTTATTATTTTCTTTACCACAAGAAGAAATAAGCCTCCAAGATATCATCCAATATTTGTTGTGTTTGCATTCCCAATGTGTATCTTTTGGATATTTATTGTTGCAAATGAATTATTGGATGTTTTGGATGCAGTAGGTTTGAGTGTTGGCATTCCAACCTCAGTATTGGCTATTACAGTTTTGTCTTGGGGAAATTCAATCTCAGATATGATTGCTGGTAAGTAATTATTAATTTAGATGTGTTTTTAATATTTGGACTTGAAGATATTGTGATTTCAAAGCAAGGATATCCTAGTATGGCTCTGGGTGCTGTATTTGCTGGACCTATGCTTAATTTATTGATCGGTTTATTTGTTGCCTTAACATTTAATCCTATACAGTTGACAAAGTTCTGCTTCCCTCTCACTGAAGATCCAACAGTTAATGTTTCATTCATTTTCTTGCTGATATCACTAATTTCATCCGTGATTGTTGTTCCTGCTTTCAAATTCAGAGCTCCAAAACTGTATGGTGTTTATTTGATCGGACTTTATTTGATTTATCTTACTTTGGCTCTTTTGGCAGCTCTTTATCCACCTGTTACTAAAGCATTTACATGGAGAGCAGAAAATATGTGTCAATAAATGTTCACTGTGTTATGAAATTGAGAGAAATATGAAATATTGACTTTCAGGATTGAATAATTTTACAACTGCAAAATGCAAACTGATTAATGAAAAAAGTTCAACCAATCCAGTTGACCAAATACAAAAAAATCATTTCCAACCATTAAAAAATGTCACCACACTATGGACAAGTGGTTATTGTTTTAGATTCCACACCGATCAACAAGTTGTCAACCAACTTTATCAATTTAAATCATACCATGAACAAGACAAGAGAAGAATGTTTACAAAAATTGAATGAATATTGGAAATATTTAGTGGCCATTCATGGACCAAAGATGATGAAAAGAAAATTTGTTTTTGAATTATACAATTCCATCCCGACAAAAGAAATTAAAAAACAATTTTTATTAGAATATCTGGTAAAAGATTACCATTTTCCATTTATACACTCTTTCATGGAAGATGAAGATTTTATGCTTCAGGCCATTAGGAAAAAGAAAGAGATGCTCCTCTTCCATTGTGGCTTGTGGAAAAAGAAGAGTTTTGCCTTAAATGTTGTGAAATATTCAAAAGATGCTTTAAAGAAAGTGGAATGTATTGATTTAGATATAATTTCATCAGCTCTTGAATCAAAACCCAAATCTCTTCAGTTTTGTAAGACAGATATTCGAAATGATAAGGGGATGGTACTGAAATCTTTGGGTAAAACTTATGGAAACATTATATTCATTGGAGAAACTCTATTAGATGATGTTGATATATTGAGGAAATGTCTTTCAAAAAGTAACACTTTCAAAAGTTTGAAAAATACCCTGAGTGTTATAGAAATGATGAAAGAAATTGTGAAGAGATACCCACTATCTATGTTGAGGTTTTACAAATGGCTGAAAGACGAAATTGAATTTGAGATAAAGGAATATGATACAATAATGATTAATGGAAAATTGTATAAGTATCGTATTGAAATGCTGAGATATGTCGAAGATGTTCAAATGGCAAGAAAATTCATAAGATTTTCAGGTAAAAATTATGATTACTTTAATGAGATTGTAAGAGAGGACGTTGAAACATTCAAATTAGCAATGTCTACTGATTGCCAAAATGTTGTGAATATTCCAGAAACTATTGGACAGAACAAAGAATTAATTAATTGGCTATACGAAAATGACTGTTCTAATAGGATTATTGACCATATTATTAGTAATCGTCCTAATGATGATGAATTGACCAATCATTTATTGAAAAAATATGTAAGTGATGTTTTGGAGAAAAAAAGACCTTTTGACATTCCGCATTACTTGCATAATCATAAGAATCTGTTTCGTAAGGCAATTAAGATTCAATTTTGTTATTTTCATTTAGTAGACAATTTCTTGAGGAAGTAGTTCTGGATGAGGAATTAATATTTGAACTTATATTGAAAAATCCTAAAATTCTTATTTTTTTACATGGATTATCCAATGACTTGCTTGTCAAATGTTTTAAAGCGAATCCAAATATATTTAGTGAATTTAATATTGGCCAATTAACTAATCTGCTATCCTCTCGTGAACATCTTCAATCAATTTTCAAGGTTGATCCAAATCTGGTAGAATGTGCATTATTGAAAGATGTGTATCTTGATGAGAAAATATTAGAAAATGTTCTCTCAGTTAATCCAAACCTTTTCCATCTATTCCCAAATCTCAAAGTCAATTTTAAACCTTTGAGTGTCCAAAGATTACAGTACTTTGAAAGGATGGCCATTAACAATAGAGTTAAATCTGCAAGTCAAAGCCATTTGATGGACTCAACAAATAATTGCATGATTGTATGAAGCTGAAAGAAAATGGTTCATGAATTCAACATTCACAGGTACTCTACGTTTTCGAGCACCAATTTGGAAGTAATAGCATCTTTGCTGGTTAACCTTTAACTATAATGAATATTACAATAATATATTACTATTACAAAATGTAAAATGGAAATTGTCAAGAAAGAACATTAAAACAATATATTGAATAAAATTAGAAAGATTATTTGATGAAATTATTTACAAAATTAATGTAATCATCAACGTTTTAAAACAAAAAAAATGATCAATCACGATAATGATGAAGATAAAGTTTCTTTCACCTTCTTTGATTTCAATCAATCCGAAGTCTGCAATCCTCTCTATGCTAAACTTCGTGAAAAACTTTCGTCCAACAAAAAGAGCAAAACCTTCTCCATGCAATTTACTCCCCACAAAACGATTGGCTATCAAAGGCCTGTTATTACCGAGGATGGAGATGTGGAAGAAGTTTCTGATCAAGACAAAAAGTTGAAACTTCATTATCCTTCCGATATTAAAATTGCTCGCCATCATGGTTGTCTTGTAATTGCTGATGATCATAATGATAGAATAGTATTTCTCAATTTGGATAATTATCAATTGAGGACTGAATTTACTTTGGAAGAGAGTGTCACTGATTTTTGGATTGAGTCTGATAGTGCTGGAAATGAATATATTTATTTTGGAGATAATGGAATTACTTTTAAATTTAATATTGCCAAATTGGTTGAACATGCACAAGTAAAGTTGAAAGATATAGAGCCCATGTGGAAGATTTCTGAAAAACTGTCTGGATCTATAATGGTAATACATGATGCAAGTAGAAAGGAAAAGGTAGTATTGAGATGGAACAATGATGCACAAGGATTAAATGCTCATAGAGATTGTGATGGTTCTCTATTGGCCAAATATCCAGTCCTGTCATTATGTGATTCTCCTGGACTGTTTGCCATTTCAAATTCAGAATTCATTGCTCTCAATCACGAATCTAATATGGTCTTTAAAATTACATTAACCGATGGCAAATGTGAAAACTCAGACATGTTTCAAGTACAAAATCCTTGGAAACATCCACTTTCGGTTGCAAAAGAATTGAGTCAACATAGAATTTACATCTCAGATTATGGAAATAAGAGGATTGTTGTTTGGGACTTGTTGCAGGAGTGTGAAATTAAAATTCACCACGAGGAACATCTCCATCCATTTGGAATTTTCTATGACGATCAATCTGGACTACTCTATGTTGTCGATCAACAAGCTTGTATCATTCGAGTGTATCAGTAAATACTTTGTGGACAAACCACAAGATATTGTAAACTAGAGTCTCCAAATTGTAACAATCGCACGATTTTAGCCTTTGGCAACATGTTCGTCATCCTCCCCAATGAAGAGAAGCTCCTTGTTGAGTCTTACAACTGCCAATTTAATGGAAACCTATTGAAAAATATACACTCCTTCACACAAGATGCACTGCATTCATCAAGTATAGTGAAGACAAGAAGAATCTTTTCCTTACTCATGCCACCTGGGCTCCTTATCAATACATGTTGAGAATTTACAAACATTACAGAATTAATTTTAAGGATGCACCTGTCAAGTTGGTCAGCTTTTCTTCATCACCTGGATGGTTGGCTAGTGGTGATGATTTCTTACAACAAACTCCATCTATAACCAAACATTTACAATTATGTTACATCAGAAACTGTATTATATTGGATGAGAAATATTGTTGCAAACAGATGCTTTAAGGGAATTGAAAGAAATTTCACATTTGGTGAGAGTTAATGGCTACGGCCATATCACGATGAATGCACCTCATCCCGTCCGATTTGAGAAGTTAAGCATCGTCGAGCCACATCAGTACTGAGGTTGGAGACAACTTGGGAACCTGTGGTGCTGTAGTCTTTTTGCTTTCATTATATATAATGCACCAGATTGAATATTGTCCAAGACTTCTTTAAATGGAAAACTAATTTCTGGGAAAAAGATCACGTTAATAGCTTGGAAATTTTCACTTCAGAATTTTTGTCTGCAAATGATTCAGAATCTAGCCAATATAATCAATACTTTGAATATCAACATGTTGGGAGAGCTGTGATGAACATTCTGATTGTAAACATGACCATGAACATTCTTGTTGTAATCATGAACATTATCATAAATTATTCCAAAAAACAGTCGAAAAAAACTTCAAACTCCATCTTCGTTACAATAAAAGTGCAACTCGCGATTAGTAAACCTCACCAAAAAAAAATGCCACCAAAGAGAAAAGCCACCACAAAAAAAGCACCAAAGAAGAACCAAAAATCAGCATCCAATAAATCATCATCAAGACTCTATGAAAAATTCTTACAGGAGGAAAAGAAAAGAATTGAACAAGTAGATGAACACATGCTCAAGTTTGTTGAATCAACTTGTTATGAAAATTATCAAAAGAATGATGATAAGAAAGTACGAAATTATGATGAATTTTGTGATTTGATGATGGATGTATTGGTAAGAAAGAAGAGAAAATATGAAATGGAACGTGTACCTTCTTTAATCAAATCATTACCACCAGAAGTTGTTGCCTATTCGATTGTTCCATTTATGGATTTGGAAAGTGTATTGAATGGATCAGTGTTTTTGGTTTGTCGTTCTTGGTATGAAGGTATGATTGATGAGGAAAGAATGTGGCAAGAATTGTTTTGTAGATTGTGGGATATGACATTGGAAAGTTTGAAAAATTGGACTAAATGGCCAACACAATACGATAGCAATGATACATATGTAGAAATTAACAGAACTACTCGTTTTACAACAAAACCAACTATATTTAAAAAGAGTGGCAAGGAGATGATTAAAAAGCACTCATATCAATTTATGAAGGAATTTTGTTTGTTAAAACACGCAAGTTTTAACAAACATTCAAGAATTGGACCTGTGAGAGCTTTCTTTTTAACTACCCATCAGGATAGTAGTTATGCTGATACTACTCTTATTGCACCATCCCTTTATTCAAGATTTCACATTACATCTGTAGATCACAAGTTGACCTATATTAGTGTAACTGATGATGGAGATACTAACAATACAATATCAACTATTCACTTTACATTGGATTATTACACTGCACTCATTCCTTTTTCTATGAGGATTGATGTTGACTATAGTGTTTCCTATGGTGGTGAAGCTCATGAAAAAGGTATTTCTATTTCTGTATCTAGATTACACAGTGATCAAGCTAGTGACTTGAAAAAACCAAAAAACCAAACTAAACTCATCTTGAAACAAAGTGAGGGGAATGGAGCTGACGAGGAAGAGGAGAATGATGAGGATGAAGAATCTGAACAAGACGAAACTGATGGGGATGAACAAAGAGGTTTATCAAATAGAGAACAAGCTATTTCAACATTTAAGAAAGAATGGATTGGACAAGATTTTGTAAAGATTGATGATGATGGTCAATGTTGGTTGTTCAAATTTATTTCAACATTGGGCATTAATTTGCTGGATGAAGCATTGTACAGAATTAATGATAGATAATTTTCAATAAAGAAAAATGATTCAACAAAGACAGCAAAACTGTCCTTGTTGCCTTCACTATTCAATCACTCAAAGACTGTAGTGGGATTGTCACCATTCCTGTCCATTTAATCTAATTGCACAAATTGATATGATTAAACGACTAAATATTCATGACCACTTGCACAAGTCTAGGTTGTAATTTCATTAAGAAAACAGATTCTAATGGACTCACATCTGTGCTTTACTATTAGCAAAATTGATTCAAAAATTTGCAGATTTGTTTCAATTATTTACGCTTGTAGAGGTCAACTTTCTTATACTTCTTTCCACCTCTTCTATTCTTTCTGTTCTTCTTTCTATAAGTGTCAATTCTTCTCTTCTTATTCAATCTTCTCTTCTTTCCGTAAACATCAATCTTCTTTCTAATAATTCTCTTCTTTCCAAATTTCTTCAATCCTCTTCTCTTTCTTCCATAGGTGTCAATGTACTTGTTGAGCTTCTTGTTGAGTTTGAATCTCTTAAGATTTCTCTTCTTGTTTTATTCTTTTTAATGTACAAGGAAAGAGTTGAGGCAGCAGTTGTTGATTCTTCAGCAGAAACTCCAGAAGTGAAGGAAAGTGCAAGAATTGCCAAAGTCAATGCAATCAATAAGATTGAAACGAATCTTTTCATTTTTTGTTTGTTGATTGTTTTCAAGAAGTGAAACATGTTCCAGTTTTTAAAGATTTGAAAGGTTTCGTTTGATTAGTATATATTGATTTTTTTGGTATGAAAGAAGATGAATAATGTTCCAAAAAGAGAGTAGCCACAGATTTTGGACATTGTTCATTTGGTCTTTGTTAATCAGTGCGGGGAATTAAACAAGAACAGAATGAAAGAACTTCAATGGTTGGATTGTGCACATGTTCAATAGTATGTGTGGAATATCTTGGAATGAAAAAAAATCCAATATTGAAAGTACGATAAGTTGCAATATTCAATTATTATCAGTTGTTCGGACGGCTTATCCTAACTATGAAAATTTGATGGGATTTCCAAAGAATCACCAATTGAGCTTCTGTAAAATTGAGCATTTCATTGATAACCTTTCATATTACACTTTTTGTAATGGAAGCAATCTTGATTTTTCAATCATTTGATTCGTTCATTCTCATCCAGCTATGAGAACAATCGAAATAAACTTCAAACCAGAGTGAAAGTGCACAACATTGAGTGATCGCTTGATTAGAGACACGAAAAATTCTATTACTCTTAATTTAATATGACAGGTCCATTACAATCAAGAGTTTGAACAACCATCAATGATTATAAGGAATTAGAATTATCTTTTTGTACCTCTCCTATCTTTGGTTTTATGTTGTTTGGATATTCCTTGACTAGAGCGTGAAATAGTGTTGGAGGAGGAAGTGGAATTAGATGTTCTTTGATTTGGGGTTTTGTTAGATATCTTCTGTTTCATTTCCCCAGGTTTTGGAAAGACTAAGGATGTCTTTGATTTGCTTGGTCTGTTGTTTTCATAAAAGGCAATTACTTCCTTAATATCAAATCTAAACTTTGGATCTTCCTCAATCATATTCTCAATCAATTCGAAAAGGGCCTCAGATGGTTTATGATCCATAAGGTGATCCATCACTGTTTTCTTATTTGGATCGTTTTTAAGGATGATTTCATTTTGAGCGAGAGTTAAAAATTGACTTCCCAAAATGAAATGAATGATTGATCTCCCAAATGAATAAACATCACATTTGAAAGGGAATTCTACATCTTGTTCATCTTTTTGATTTTTCAATTCTGGTGCTTTAAATTCAAATGTTCCCCTGTCACTGATCACATAATTAGTGAGCTCACTCTTACATAATCCATAATCAGCCAAAACAAGATGAAAATCATGTCCACTCTTTAGAATAATGTTTTCCAATTTAAAATCTCTAGACAGTTGTAGGTAATGGACATTTGTTGCTCTGACCAATATTTTTTTACAAGTCTAAAAGGCTTGGCTTGGGGACAACAAAAACGGGACATGAAGAAAGTGTTGGAGGACAATGTTATTTCTCAAGATGTTGTTGTTGTTGCACCAATAGTGAAATCCTGTGTTGGAAAACAACCAAAAAGTGAAGAGAGGTTTGGTTTTTTTTGTTTGATGAAATTAAAGTTTATTTGATGAAAGTGTAACGTCTTCTTTCGTGGCGCCAACTAATGTAACGGTTTATTCTCGACTTGTAACATTTTTTAAAATCGCAAGCTAAAAATGGCTGGAGTTTCGACTTGGCCAAAAAAAATTTGGGGACAAAATTTTATCTACCTACAACTGTCTAAAAATCTCTATGAATGGTAAAATGTGGATATGAATTCATGTAATTGAGAGCTTTTGACATTTGATTAATAAAATCCCAAACTCTTTCCTCATGCAATTCTTTAACATTTTTTCGGTATTGTACCAAGTTTTGCTCGCCAACATATTCACTGAATAAATAATAATGTGTAGCAGAAGTGAAATTTCTTATTAGAAAGGTTTTCATCAAGTGCTTATGATTAAAGTTTCTTCTACTTTCTGCTTCAGCATGGTTTGACTTTAGTACAGCTTTAACTACGAACAGTTCAACTTTCCGTGTTGCTGAAGAATTATGAATTGTTACCTTTGCAAAAACATATTAGAAACCAAAATCCGAAACCAACCTTGAAGACACAGTCAACAATTTCTTCAATTTTGTCTTGTTCAATATTCAAGTTTTTGGCAATCGTGTAAATGTGCTGATTACTTGTCATTTTTTTTATTTGTTAAAACCCCAATATCTAAAAAAGCCAGTCTGAGGTTTAGATTTTTGTTTCTGGACACCTGTGGAGGTTCTTTGTAAGGATTTTAATTCTTCTTCAGATTCAGTACTAGAATCTCGTTTGGTTTGCTTTTGCTTTGGTTTATTCTTGTTTCTGATAAGTACTCCAACTTGATCTAGTGATAGTCTTTCTTCAGGATTTTCTTTAATCATTTTCTTGATTAAATCTATGAGTGATGAGGATATTTTTGGTTGACTTGTTGCAACCATTTCCATCAGTTGTTCATTTGAAATATTATGTTTAAATTTTGTTCCAATAATTAGTTGAATTATTGATTTTCCGAAAGAATACACATCACACTTTTCAGTCAAACCATTGAAAAGTTCAGGTGCTTGGAATCCAAGAGTTCCTCCAAGTATGTTGAGGTTTACAGATTCTTCATTATTCGAAAGTCCAAAATCTCCCAACACTAAACGAAAATCATGATGACTTTTTACAAAAATGTTTGCAAGTTTGAAATCTCCATGACAGATATATTTTGAATGCATATGGGTTAGTGCCTTGTACATCTGCTTGATCATTTTCCATACTAATTCCTCTTCTATATTTTCCAAGTTTCGTCTATAATCACACAGATTAGTTTCTCCAACATATTCGCTCACAATATAGTGGTATTCACCATCTATAAAGGTTTTCTCTGGATATATTGCAAGCAGATGAGGATGTGAGAAGTGTCTTTTAGCTTCTTTTTTTGCTCTTTCACTAGAGTTGACTATTTTCACAACAAGAATTTCACTTTTAGTGTGAACCTAAATGTGATTTCTAATAATTAATGGTCAATGAAACAAACCTTGAATACCTCACCACTTGAGCCTTGTCCTAGTTTTGAAATGTCAACAACTGGTCCCAATTTTTCGCAAATTTTTACCTTGTAGGTTTCTTCTATTTCACTTTTTGAATAGTTTGATATTTTGCTACTAGTTTCGGATGGTTGATTTCTTCCTTCCCTTTCATCATTGATTCTGTTTTCTTCTCGCAAATTATCGACGGTGCGAATTACTACAGACAATATCTTTTTCAAGGGCTCAATAAATGTAAACATTTTTTTGACAACTAAACCTGTCATATTGTAAAGTATTTATTTTTCAAATAAGGAGTGGTAGCTATTTTTGTCAAATTGAAATCGAAATTGGAAATTAATTTCTGGTTGTTTGATAAACATTGGCAAAGGCTGATTTACAAAATCTTGCAATACTTGCTCTACCAATGCTAGTTGAAAATCTGTTATTGCCCAAACTATAGTATAATTTAAGCTTTTCATAGTCAACAGCTAGAGGTCTTCTAACATCCAAATTGACATTCAAAAAGAGCTGTTTGAGATTCTTGGCCTTGTCAGTAATTCTCTCCAAACATTCAATAGAATCTGGTTTTCCCCAAAAACTGTCCTCATCATCTATCATTAATTCTAAAACCCAGAGATGACTCAATAGTTCATCCAATTTTTCAAAAAATGATATATTCTCAATTCCCCTAATAACGAGATGGATCAAGTTTGGAAATCTTTTCAAAAACTCATTCAAGAACATGCTGGTACTATCTTCGAAATCTAAAAAGTATTCATCTCCAAGATCATTGGTATGTGATTGATTGCTCTCAATATTTATCCTCAAAAATTTAACATTTGGGAAGTAGACCTGTCCTAGATCATAATTATAAGGGATGGATCCTGAAAAATTAACAAACTCAATTTCTTTAGGGATTTCAAAGTTCATAAACGTAGAAAAGTGGGTCACATCTCTAATGTCTAATACTTGATAGTGAGATAGGTTACTGACCAATTCTTCAACTTCTTCCTCATCTTCTACTTCAAATTGATACGAGCTATTATAATCCATACAAAATCCTAACTTTTTCGAATTGGTATTGAAAATATCCATTTCAAATTTTACATGAGAGTTTCTGAAATTATAAGGGAGTGCCAAATCTTTACAGTCCATGTCAAAATCTCTGAACATTTTCTCACTGAGTTGCATCATTTTGTGGAATGCAAGATCCATGAATCCATTTTCTTGATGAGAAATAAATTCCTCATCTGATTTTGTCAAGTTGAGTCTGCACAATCGCCTTCTGAACAATTCTGCCAGGTAGTCATTAGATTGGGCAGGATCATTGTCTGAATCAATCAATTCAACTTCATCATCGAATTGTTCGACTGTCTCTCCCACTTTCAGAGGTTGTAAATAACCCAATTCTCTCGAAATAATCAATCGTTGCATATTGGCCAATTGCTCTCTTTCAAACCAAGAAATTCTGCCCTGGGCTAGAACTAGATTGGTAAAGTTTGTACATCTTAGAAGGAGTAATATCTTTTCAAAATGGGTGTAGGCCATCTTGTAAAATTCCTCAAACTTAGAATCCTGGAACTTTCCTCTCTTATTCATTTCACTAATGAGATGATGGAGTGGAAATACACTTTCCTTTGGTGGAATTAATTTAAAGAGGGCAAGAAGAGCATCATGTTCAGATTCCACATGTAAATGATGTTTCACAATATTCCAATAAAATTCGTCTTCCTTACACAATTCCACACGACCAACGAGGAAGGAGAATATGTGAACCAACTGCTGACTCGTCAATTTGTTCCAGTTCACAAGTTTGTAATTCTTTTCACTTATTCTTGTCCCTTCCTCATGCTGTTGCTCCTCACCTACAGTCTCTTCATTTGATGAGTAAATATTCGAAACAGTTACAATACTAGAATTTTCCCAAGAAACCATAATCCCACTCTGTCTACTATTAAATTCCCCACTAAACATGGAATGTGAATCAGAGAATAACTCTGCTCCATGCACACCACTACCCTCTGAAAACAACGCTGATCTATTATCACTTTCTAAAAACATCCATTTTTCCTTTTTAATTTCCACTAGAAATTAATCAAAACAAACCTGATATTACTGTGGGTGGTTGTTGTTGATGTTTCTCTTCATATAAATGATGGTGATGAGTGTGATGATTCATCATCAACAATGGCGAAGGAGAAACATCATCTAAATTTCTTCTTTTATCATTCATGATCAAAACCTCCCAAATAACTTGATCCGATTAATCCTATTTGATCAAATTCTTTCTCTCTATTATCTGACTTGTATTCTTCAATGTACTAACTCGTCGCTTCTTGAAGATGACAATTATTTACAGCTCGTGGTTATCTGTGCTGAACTTTTCGCGCTTTTTTTTGTGTTATGATTTTAAAATGTGCGCGAAGTTGTTTTTGGATTCTCGACGCTACTAAGCGATATAAATTTCACATTAGATCAGTGGATTAAGGAATTACTTTGGGTTGGATGAGATTTACAGTGAAAAGGTAAAATTTTTCAATTTATAGATTGTTCCACATGGATGGATCGTGACCACTTGCTGTGCTTGAGGTGAGTTTCTTATAGGCCTTGTTATTAAGGAAGGTCAATCTCATGGTACAAGTGACACACATGGCAACTATGAGAACAACTAGGAAACCAATGGAAATTCCCAAAACAACTGCAAAGAAGAGAGTGGTAGAGATGGTTCCAGTGTAGAAGGTTGAGTAGACATAGACTCCCTCGTAAATATCTGAAACTTGGAAGACTAACTTGTTGAAGGAAGATGATCCAGTGAAATTGAATTGTAATTGATCTAGGCATTGAGTGTTGACTTGTTGAACATTTGGATTAGTTGAATCCAATGTTATTAAGCTAGTTAGTATTTGGCTTCCACAATCTGATTTTCCTTTCACTGGTGAATTGACAATTGTTGGTGGGAGAGAAAATGGAATGGTGACAAGTTTGTGATTTGTTCCACTGAGAGAGCTCTCAAAATCAGTAGGATAATCAGAAGTCATATAAGTATCTGCATCAGCATCAATAACCAAAATTGGAATATTTGTTGGATTGGAGAAGGACGTGTCAATTTTAGGAGTGTAGATTTCTGGGCCCTCCCAGTGATGTGTTGCATTCCAAACTTGAGCCAGTTTCAAATCAAAACCTGTATTTACATAGGAATGAGCCATATCTTCAGAAATTTCACTCTCTGTCTGGTGAGATTCCTTCCAAAACTCTGAAAAGACAATATTGTAAAATACAGAATCACTATCCAACAAATAGTTAGTGGCATATGATTTGGATTCAACATATGTTGCATAATATTTGACCAAATTGTACAAGATGTGAACATCCTTACTGTCATCACATCTATTGAATCGGTAAATAATGGCAGGAATGATTGCTTGCCCATTCCTTGTCCTCATCAATGAACCGAATATTCTTGTTAAATTGTAGAATGGAAGTTTGGAAGAAACAAGGCCACATGGAGTGTTTGGTACAGTTCCATGTCCACCATCAGACTCTCCACCTCCACTACCTCCACCACCTCCACCTCCACTCATCACTGAATGTCCTGATGAATGAGAATCAAAATCTACATTGTAAACCTTCTTCATTGTACTTTTCAATAATGCATAGACATCTTGTCCTCCCAATTTTTCATAACACGTCTTGTCATACTTATCAGCAAGTGTTTTATCCGAGCAAAATTTCAACACATTTTTGAAAGTATCAATCATGACTGAATCAATATCATTCAAATGAAACTTTTTAGTGAATGGATTCTCAATCATAATTCCCTTAATTGAATTTAACATGGTCAAATCATTTAATTCAGTAAATCTCAAAGTTTTCATAATCCAAAAAGCTCCATAATAATATCCATACATGTAATGAATTGAATCACTGTACATTGTCTTGACCATTTTCATTACTTTCAACAAGTCAATTGCAGCATTATCCGAAGAATAAACCAGAGTTTCAAGTTTTGACAAATCTTGCACACATTTTGGCCATTCCTTTTTAGTAATATAATAACCACCATCACTAGAAGGTGATTCTGCTTGACTTGATTGACAAGATAATCTATCACTTCTTCCAACACCTCGATGTTCGACACTATAAATGGAATATTGATAATTGTCAGTTCTGTTATACAGTTCAGAGATGAAATATTTAACCATTTCCACATCGAGGTGAATGGTTGAGTGACCAGGTCCAAATCCACCTCCTGGAATAAACCAAACTATTTTTCTTGGCAGATTAGTTTCGTCTCGTTTTCTAATTCTCTTGATGAAGAGTGAAGTTATATCTGTGGTGTTAGTTTCGTATTGGAAAGGGACTCGAGCAAAAGCACATTCTGCCACCAACTGATCATACTTTTTCGTGTTTAATTGCCCAGAAGTGTAATATTCGAAAGGACATTCTACAAATTCTTCTAGTTTCGTTTCAGAAGATAACGTGTTGGCCTCCACATTCCTTCCTGTTGTCATCATGATGATTAGCATCACTACCAGTAGCAACGACACCTGAAACACCTGACCTCGCATGTTGAAGGAAGAAACTGGTGTTGCAGATACTTTCGGCATGTTTCCAATATAAATTAAAATCAGGCTATTTTTTTAGATTCTTATTCTTCATCGCCATCTCCTTTTGATTAGAATCGATAACTCCTGAAAGGTGTAAACACCTGATCTGTCTAATGATTGCTGTCACACTGCTTCTTGTCAGATGTGAAATTGTTAATTTATCTCTGAAATTTGTTTACTGTAAAACCCCATCCGTAAGACTTATGCTCGGGTTAACAACAGAATAACCAAACACAAAAAAAAGTGTCGAAACCCTACCACTTGCGGACTACTAAATCAAATATTAGAAACCAATAAAAAAGATAATTTCTCAAAAGTATTGTTTAATCTTGTTTATTAAAATATAATGTTGTTTTGAACTGGTTCGATATTTTGTTGCAGTAGTGCGCAGCTGAACAAAAACCATTTCAAAAATTATAATATTGGCAAAAAAACAAGCGACATGCCACTTGTTGCGTTGTTTCTTTTTTTTTAATTAAATTTAGAAAGTCTTATAGGATGAATGAGTCTTACGGCTGGGGTTTTACAGTACACACAATCTAGAAATGTTGATTTTGGCGTATTGTAAAATGAGTTCCTCCCGAGAACTGTTCTCTAATACAATTTTAAATAGTTTCGTAATAAAATAGAGTTTCTTCTCGTGCGGATGGATAAATTTCAGCAGGAAATCCAAGGTAAATTTCATCCTTACTACAAAACTACAAATTCTCTTTTAACCTATGCTATGCGCATTCATTATTGTGCGAGGATTGTTTGCAATTCTTTAAATACTTGACCTATATTAGTAGATGAAAAGTAATAATTCAAAGTAAAAAAAATGTTAAAGTCACTTGGTTTGGCTTGGAATCAAGCAATGGTTAGAGATGAGTTATTTGAGGTTGATTTGAGTGGAAAGGTCTGTTTAGTAACTGGTGCAACAATTGGTGGAATTGGTTATGAAACTGCTAAGAAAATGTATCAATTGGGATGTCATGTTGTTGTGGTGTGTAGAAGTGATAAGAATGGAAAGGAAGCTTGTGATTTGATGGAAAAGGAATGTTCTGGAATGAAAGGGATTGGAATTGTAGAGTACATGTTGATGGATTTGAGTGATTTGAAAAGTGTTAGTCAATTTGTTAAGCAATTCAAGGAAAAATTTAGTCAATTGGATTATTTGTTTAATAATGCAGGCAGGAGTGATGGCATGTCCTTACAATGTAACTGCACAAGGAATTGAAATTCAATTTGCTACCAATCATTTGGGTCATTTCCTTTTGACCATTTCCTTGATGGAATTGATTGAGAAAGTTGCTGGAAGAATTATCAATGTTGCTTCTATTGGTTCTAAACTTTACGTTAGCTCGGAAAATGATATCAATAGCTTTAGCTCATTCTCTTTAGAAAGTGTTTTGAACAATGGTGAGAAATTGACCAAACCTTTCAAATAATATAGTCGTTCCAAATTAGCTAATGTTTTATTCACACGAAAGTTAGTAAGAAACTTTAAATCTTCAAATTCAAAAGTCAGCACCTTCACCTTACATCCAGGAGGTGTTAAAACTAATCTGCAAAAAAGTCATAATGGTTTCGCTGCTGAGATTATTAACTGGATTTTGAACCCACTTTTTAAGACTCCATATGAAGGAGCTCAAACAAGTCTTCAAGTTGCATTGGCTCCTCTTAGTCAACTGGAAAATGGAGGTTATTATATGGAATGCCAATTGGATGAGGCTAGTCCATTTGCTGATGATGTTAAATTGCAAGATACATTGTGGGAAACTAGCATGACTTTGGTTAAGGATTATTTGTAAATGGAAAATTCAATAAATTATTTGTATTTTTATTGATTACATCATTATATCTGTGGAAAAGTTTTGGCCAACGTGTTTGGAATTTGAATGTTAGTAAAGGATTTTTTGTAATGCCTATTTCTGTACTTTACAAAAATACAGAGACGGCTTTAATGTGAATGTCATGCAAATATTTTCTACTATTGGAGAGCAATGAGAAATGATCCAAAATGTCATGAGATGGTTTTCTATAAATTACAGTATTGTAATATCCACAAGCCATGTGAATTTCATCCAGATTTCTCAATTCTCTATTTGAAAATAATTCACTCAACTTGATTGAATGTTCAATAGATGATTTTTCAGGACTTCCCAATTGAGTTTTATCATTATTTCCTCTAAAAATTCCAATATTATTAATATGAAAGTTTACAATGTTGAAAACTCACCTCAAAATACAATTACCATCCATTGAAATGGCACATGAAAAATCCTCTCCACTATACAACTTGATGATCTTTTCATTGTAATGAATAGGAGTCATATCTTCCACTTGTTTAAAATTCTGAATGAATTGATTCATATTATTAATTCCACAAAAGTATATGGAACCGTCCTCCAATTGAACCACTGTACTATCCCCTCCACATACTACATCCTTAATAGGAGAGAATCTTGTACTTGGGAAGTACCTCTCTCCAATGTCTATAAAAATAGTTTGCGAATTATTTTGGAAAGCTCCATATTGTTTGGAGGAACAATCTCCTGCACCAAATAATTGACCATTTTCTAAGAGAATTACAAAATGAAAGCCTCCAGCACTAATCTTTTTGATTCTTTCTTTAAAACAGTGGAGTGGTACATACGGAACGTGTCTACTGCCTGTTAAAGATATTTAAAATTTCAAAAATGCAAATTGTAAAATTTACAAAATTTCCAAATATACTTACTTATCAAACTTGGATGACCATGCTCATAAACCCAATTCTGTCCAATCATTCTCAATTCACGATGATTCAACACAAACATTGAAAATGAAAAACAGCAACACAAGTGAGTTCTATAAAACTAATTTCACACCCAATCACTCCATCATTAATTACTTACATTTCATCCTGACCTTCCTTTCTATGATAATCAATCTCAAAAGGTTCCATAAAATCGCCTCTCCATTCCAAATCATTGGTACTAGTTCCACTCGTCTCTAAATTTGCTCTCTGAAAGAATATTTGATTATAGTCATTGGTTCCAAATCCAAATAATCGATTATCTGTAGTTGCAAATAATGTAAAATGAGCTCCACATTCAACTAACTTGACATTTGTGTTTTCTGGAAGTTTGACTTGAACCAGTTGTTTTTTAGGAAATGTGTTGATTGAAAAATCGGAAAGATTAACTCCTAATTGACCATGAGAATTGGCTCCCATGGAATAGAGTGATCCATCATTGAGTAGGACAACTAGAAAATCACTTCCACAAGATATTTTTCTAATAAATGTCGGAAAAAATCTAGACGAAACTTGTGAATGATGACTCAAATCGTAGGAAGTCAAAGGTTTCGTCTGCTTGTTTTGATCGATTTGATGTTCATTCCCTTCATTTTCTAATGGTTCTGCTTGTTCTGCTTCTGCTGTTGTTTCTACTTGTAATAAATAAGTCACATCGTTTGGAATTCGAATCTGGACTAAATTTGTGGAAGGTTTATTTGATGAATCATCGAGAGATTCTACTTGTCCGTATGATGATTCTGTTACGTTTTGACCACATAGAAAGAATGATATTGTCATTTTTTTTTTAAGTTTTGTGAAAAAGACATGACTTGAAAGTTACCAAATTGGGAACATTGGCAACTACAAACTTTCTGATTCTTTGCTTTAGGTGCGAATAGATTGTAGCTAAAATTTTGATTTAATTAGAAACTATTTTCAATTATCATTATAAAAAGTTGTTTCGTTAACTTCATTCTCATATTAATTTAATGTGTTTTGTAAAGTTTCTAATAAAAATTGAAAGATTATTCTCTTCGTGTAATGCTATGTTTCCCTACTCTAATATTGAATGATATTTTATTCAGAATATTAAATATGCTACAATAGAGTAGAATTAATGAGCTATTTAGACAAGGCACGACTGATGATTTTGTAACGAATTTGCCAATCCTTTCTCTCAATTCCAAATCCAGTCAAAACACGACCACTTGGAACGCAGACATGGTGTCTGTCCAAGAAGCAGATTTCTCTCTTTTCAGAACCCTCTTCCCATGGTGAATAGTCAGTTTGTTCACCAATGAGTGGAACCAACTCATCTTCGAGATGGACTTGAGCAGTTTGATACATGTAACGAATTTTGTCACCACTTCTTTGGAGAACAAATCCTATCAATACACGATTGTCACCTGCCTTAATCAAATGACGATCTAGGAAAGCAAGTTCTTTTTCAGCTCCTTCTTCCCAGCTGGTATGATCTTCCTTGACATGTTGAAATGAAATGCTTGATGCTCTGTTCATTTCTGTTCCCAATGGTGCTGAGTGAATTTGATAACGAATGTTATTTCCATAACGTTCGAGATGGAAGCCAAGTAATACTGAATTCTTTGGAGCTTGAACATGTTGACGATCTAGGAATAAAATTCCCTTAGTTGCACCTTCATCCCAAGTGGAATAGGTTGTGGACTTTTCACCAAGAACTACAGTGTCCTTCTTTCTCAATCCAAGTTTTATAGCCCAAGAATAATGCCAATCACTTGAATCATCTTGCATTGGTTCATTCAAACATCTCTCAACTGCAGAGATCATGAATCTTTCAAGATTTACTTTCTTATTGTCAAGAATCAAACTCAACCAAGCATTTCTTAACAATTTTGGAACAGTTTTGTAATTCTTCATAATTTCTGAATTTCGTGCTGCTACATCCCAAACAGGGGTATAAACCCAAGTGGCAGAATCATCTGGATTGAAACCATTTGAAATCAAGCAATGAGTCATATTGCTAGATCCAAGGGCTACTGTGAAGGTACTCAAATCAGTTACTTGAGGACCAATAGTTTTGTATGAAATATTACACTTATAGGTCTCACCACTGTTAAGAGCATCTGAGAAGCTTGAATTTTCAAGATTGGATGTAGTAGCCACTCCTACGCTTCCACCAATTAAAGAAGAGGCAATAGAGAAGCCTGCACTCTTCTCGGTTGCTTTGGCAAACGCTCCTTCAGCTTTTCTGATGTTAACTGCTGAAGAGAAATTAATGTCGAGTGTTTGAATGAAAATACCACCTGTAATATGATCAGTCAACAAGACATGTGAACCAAATGCAGAAAGGAAGGCCTTTGCTTTGTTATTGGTATCAATTTCTTTCAACTCTTGCAATGCATCAGCATGGATAACAAACTTGCTTGGACTCATTGAGAATGAATTCATGTTATAGAGAGCATTCTTCTCCTTAATAACACGATTAGTGATAACTTGTTCAGAATTTGTGCTGGATGAATGATGTTGGGTAGAGCTGGAGCTTGATAATGAAGCAGCACCAGCACCAGCTGAATAAAAACCAGCAATTTTGGCACTGGCAGCTGAACTTCCACCACCTGTTTCACGAAGCTTTTCAAATAAACTGTTCTCTCCTGAGGAGGTAAAAGTTGCTTCAACAATGTGTGATCTTGCTAATGGCTTTAAATCAATATCACCAAATTGTTTGGCACTTTGCTTAAAGTCGAGGAAACATCTTGCACCTCTATTACCAAACTTTTCATCATTAATAAAGTGAACTGCCTTGCAAGCACTTGATGAAGAAATGGAATTAACTAGATCAGCATTGGAAGCATAAGTTCCTTTAGTGCAACTCTCTTTGACAACATTCAACTTGCTGATGAGTGTTTCAAGTTCTGTCAACAACACATCACTAGTCTTTGGTTTCAACGTCCAACAATTATTGGTAGAAACCTTTGCAAGAGACTCGTTTAAGCTCTTCAAGGTACTTTCGTTAATGACCTTACAATCATCAACCAATTCCTTTCTCAATTTTTCAGCTTCTTCCTTTGCTTCAGCAATTCTGGCCTCTGGTGATTTGGTTTGCTGTTGATCGGCAGAATGGAGTGCCTTGAAAATCAACACTTGATGAACTTTGCAACATTAATATCGTCCATGATACCTTTCAATTCATTCTCATCGAAAGTTTGCATAACAGTGACGCTATCAACACCTTTCTTGACAAATTGTTTGGAATAATTTTGAGCAGCTTCTCCACCAATCTTTGCTGTATCTTTGAGATACATTTCAATTTCTTCAGCATCTTTACTTGTTGATACAACTTGTGTGTTAGATTCAGACATCTTTCAATTCTAATTTTTTTAATTATTACCTTGTTTCACTTACTTGTTTCTTCTCTTTTAAAGTTTTGTAAGACTGAAGCAGGAAGATTGATCAAATCACATGTTTCAGTTTACAACAATACCATTAATTATTTTTTTTTAAAAATGGAAGTTCATGTACCATTTTTACTTTATTTTAAACCTAATTTTTATTTTTTTTATGGATTAGTTGTCCCAGCGGAACTATTCATTACTAATTCTCCACTATTTCTCAGGCAAAGTCGCATTTTAATACAAAAAGATTATCGAAAAAAGCAACACTTAGTCTTTTTTAAAATTTTCTTTTTGAAATTAAGTTTTTTTACAGGTATTTCGTCAAATATATAATTTATACAACCTTAAGGTGAAATGAAAGTCAGAAGTTGCTTTCGTCAAATGTAATTTACAAAGCTTCAGAACTGAAGCTTATGAAGTTGTTTGTTTGATATAAATAATGAGATAATGATTATTACAACACAATAATCAAAAAAAAAATGGTATTCCTTTTTCCAAAATCTACCAAAGAAGTTTTAAAGACTTTTAAGTTGCAAGGAGAGAAACTAAAGTTGGCCACAGATCAACCAGAACACTTTCGTACCGTTGTTTGGTCTCAAAATGGAATAATGAAAGAAGCACAGTACAAACCTCTAATTTATCATCCAACTACTGTAGGCAGGGAAAATGAAAACATTCTTGTTTTTTACTCAGCTCCAGCTAGTAATCCAACCCAGGAACCACCAGTACACATCAACATTGATGGAAAGAATGTTAACCTCTTTTGTGGACTTATTAGTGCTGATGTTGCTACTACCAAAATTGCTCATGCACTTAGCACACAACCACTTGATCAAAACACATACCAAACCATGCCTTTCTTTGTTCATCATGATTCTGAAAGAAAACCATACCAACATCGATTCATTGAATCTGTTCAAACAAAATTTCTTTTTTCAACATTGAAATTTGGTTTGTTTGGTGTTTCTCTTTTCAATTTACCATCTGATACGTATATTCTTCTTGCTGGAGGTTTTGGTTATTTTGGAAGTGGAACTCCAGGTATTGGTGAAATAGTCCATGAAGTCAGCAAAAAGCTTATTGGTCATGAATTAAAATCTATTCAACCGGCTGATGTTGCGCCGTAATCAATAATAAAACTATTGATGTTTGTGGTTAATGTACATGTGAAAAGGAAAACAAGAAGATTATCATAACCCTCACTTTTTGAAACACCCAACCTAACCGTAAGATCGTCCCAACAAATCCTGCTAAATACCAACGGTAGTATTATTACATCATCCTTGATACCAGGAGAAAAAGTTCTCCATTTGCTTCCTTCCACAACAACCATTCAGCCTTTATGATTGGCACATTAAAGTGAAAGGTCATGTCCAAGAAGTACTTGTTGCTATGTACAGGTAATGGTTATCATCCCACCTTTGCCTCATACTGAGTGCTGGTACTGATGGTGTCTGTGGTACAAAATCAACAAATAAGAGTATCAATCCTCTCCTTGCTTGGATCATTAATCTTGCTAGATAGATTTTTAGTCTCCATTCAATGTTCAAAGTATCAATTACCACTTGTTGAGCAGTAGTGGTACTATTTCCAATTCTTGTTGTTGTTGTTGCTAATCATATGTCGATTTCAATGAATATTTCCAATAACCAATAGTATAAATAAAAAGGAATAAATCATGTTTTTTATCTTTATTCAATAATGTTATTTATTCAAGATTTTACTCCTGTTGTTCTGATGATAATTCAGTTTGCACTGTTATCGATGACCCACTCTGTACCACTGACTACACCCAAACATTGTTATGACAATCTTCCCAACATTGGGAACTAAAGTAGTGAATATCAATTTAATGTGTTTTGTAAGGTTGTAAAGTTTCGAATAAATTATCATTTTGTAATTTTAATCTCTTCGTGTAAGCCAGTAAGACTTTTATTGGAAACTCAAGTCCAATATCGGATAAATATTGTCATCCATCTAACACGTTGAAAAACAATTTAAAAAAAAAGAGTGGCCACTTGTCACGGACATCAATTCGTTATCTTGACTATCCGAAACTAGTATTCGAAACAAACAAGTTAATCTTGTTATTCACATCATGGGAAATATAATCTCTGTATTATTTCTAACAAGTTTCGACAAGTTTGCAGCAATTTTCGTTTTAGGATTATCAGTTGTGGGTTATTACTATCCCGAGAAGGTACAATCATTTGTAGAGTGAGTATTGTAATAGTATTTAGTATTAATTGTTAATTTTTTAATTCTTGTTAATTTGTTGTGATCGGTCACTTAATTTCGTCTTGTTTCTGCTACTTTCGAATAATTTTTTGATAGATTTATATTATACCAAGCCTCCAAAAGAAAGGAAACTAAAGAAGAAACATCAATGAGACTATTAGAGTCCACAAGTGCTATTCAAAATGTAACAACAGGACCACTTTCATCCTTTGAAATTGTAAAGAATGAAGAATTCGATACTCTTCCCGAACATTTGCAAATTGCTTTAGGAATTGTAGTTTCTCATGATTTATATCAAGAACAACAAAAAGAAACTTCAACAAGTTTAAATTCTTCTATCAAGGATGTTTCGGATAATTCTCAAGTTTCTAATAATCAACAACAATCAACATCAACTGCTTCAAAGCAAATCACTGCCAATCAATTAAAACCTCCAAACAACAAGCAACAACAATCCCTTCAAGATTTAAAGAATGAAACTCTTCAACAAGAAAACGAAACCAATCAAGAACAAGACATTAGTGAAAGAGAGGAACAAGAACAAGATTTGAGTTTTGCAAGAAGAATTTTGGGAGCTTTTGATCTAGTCAGTGTCAATGAAAGAATTAAACAATTCGAAAATGCATCAGCTCAACAATTACCAAGAATTTCATCATTGAAAAATGTGAAAAGTAAGGCTCAACAAAGAATTATGGTTAAATATAGAGAAGCATCACCAGTGGAGGAGTTGGTTTTTGATTCTCCATCAAAACCTAACAAACCAAAACCTCAAATTCCAAAGAAACAATTAAGTTTGTGTCTGAAGAGATTTATTCAGAGAGAGGAGGAATATTTGAGTCATTTGGGATATATTTTACCAAGTTTTTATAAGAATCAAATTATGGAAGTGATTAGTAAGAGAAATAACGATGATGGAGAGGTTCAAATTATAGAAAAGTTATTTAACATGTTGATTAATTCATTTAGTGCTGATAGGAAGCATTTGAGATTGATGCAATTGAAGAGACACTTGGCTGAACAAACTGTCTCTGAGGCCAATGATCAGTGGTTAGATGATTTTGGTGATATCATTTTGGAGTTTGTTCAAGACACATTGATCACCAAATATATCGATCAGTATTTGGTTGAATATACAAAGAAAGGTCTTCGTTATAGAATTCAAAAAATTCTGTTAGATTCTGATAAGCAATTAAAGACACTGATTGAGGACAAGTTGGATGTTGCTTCAAGGGAATCTCAAAAGAAAGACAAGCTCATTACTGATATTTTAACCTTTGAACAAATTATTCAACAACCAACTATACGTTTGACATACTATTTAGTTCAATTCCGTGATGTTTTCCATCCTCTCATTCCAGAAGATCATCCATGTCTCAAATTGGAAACAGCAATCTATAAATTGGAAAAGAAAATGATAACCAATAGTGATATATTAGAAATGGCTTATCAGCTCAATAAGACTTTGGAAATTCAAAACAGATTGAACATTGAAAACCTGGAAAGGTATACAGCTTTTGATTTGGAATATAATTTGGGTTCTTCAATGAGAGTTTCCATTAGTGAGAGAGAATCTACAGTCTATAAAATCGAGAGACCACGTAGAAAATCAATTCTCGAGGAGGCAGTTCCCCGAATGCCTAAATTCGTCTACTCTGTTCAAGCAGGTGAATCCTCCCCATTGGCAAACTATTACGATACCAATGATAAGCTCATTTATAAGGTTAAAAAGAATGGAAGGAGTCCACCATGTGAAGCATACCTCTTTGAGAATGTTCTAATCATCAGTTGGCTCAACAAGGACAATAATTTCAAGAGGGAGAAGAAATTGTACTATATTGACACAACATGCATTGTGGAAAAGTATGGAGAGAAGGGATTTAAATTGGTCTATGCTCCAGAGAAACAAAAATGCTTTGAGTGTGAAACTCCAGAGGAAAGAAGACGTTGGATTCACTATATTCGCTCCATTCTCTCTGGTTCTCTCCTCTCAGCTCAAGAAACCAAACAAATTGTAAAGCACTTGAGATCAGTCTCGAGTTTGGAGAGACCTGAAGCTAGGTATGCCGAAGATTTAGATGCTCTTATGGCTAGAAGATCTATTGACCATGCAAAATTCGATGAAGTTGAGGTTGCTGGTGTGAATGTTGCCTTTGGTGAGGATGGATCACTAATTGGAGCAACTATTGAAAAGCTTGTTGAAAGAATGACAGTTTCCAATAGTGTTCAAGATATGGCCATCAAGGATGCCTTCCTCTTGACCTATCATTCATTCACAAGCGCCGAGAAGTTCCTAGAATTGTTGAGTTTAAAGTGGAACTTGCCTCCACCTAATAATGAAGTAAGATCCAATTCTGCTCTCTTTGCCCAATTTGAAATGTCAGTCTTGGCACCAATTAGAATTAATATTTATGGTATTTTGAAGAGATGGATTTCAGATCATAGCTATGACTTTAAGAGTAATCCAGGATTAACAAGATTATTGTCGAACTTTATTGAAAATCACATGGCCAAGACTTTTGAAAAATTGGCAGACAATTTGAGAACTGAACTCAAGAGAATTAAAACTAAGAGAGATACTTTGGCAAGTGTCCAAAAACAATACCTAGAAAAACAAATCAAAGAGTATGAAAATGAAGATGAAGAAAAGGCGAATGCTCCAAAACCAGTCTATCCATCCTCTTTTAGGAAATCCTTCAGAAATTTGGTAGAAGTTAAGGTTCTAGATTGGAGCAGTATTGAAATTGCTCGTCAAATAACTCTGCTAGAAAGTGCAATGTAAGTTTTCAATTTTTTCACATCTAATAGTTATTTAACATTTAACAGTTTCCAAAAAATTCAACCTAAAGAATGTCTAGGACAAGCATGGAACAAGAACAAGATTGGTGCACCAAATATATGTGAAATGATTCAAAGAACCAATACAGTTGTCTTGTGGGTCGCTCACACCATTCTCGACAATAAGAAGGAAGAAAAGAGAGTGAAGGCCATTCGTAAATTCATCAAGATTGCACGAGAATTGAGAAGGCTCAACAATTTCAATGGACTGAAAGAAATTGTTGGTGGCTTGAGAAGTGCTCCTATCGCAAGACTCAAAAAAGCGTGGTCTCAAGTTCCAAAGAAACACATGGAAGAATATAAGGAATTGGAAAAGGTAGTTTCCACACTCAAGAATTACAAAGAGATGAGAACCATCATGAAGGAATGTACACCTCCACTCATTCCATTCATTGGACTCTACCTCACTGATTTGACATTCATTGAAGACGGTAACAAGGACTATATTAATGAGGAGAAGGGAATTATCAACTTTTTCAAGAGACAAAAACTTGCCTTTGTCATTCAAGGTGGTATCAAGAGATATCAAAAAGAATATGACTTGAAGAATGTGACAGAACTCAAATCAAAACTAATTAATATGGTTCACTTTAATGAGGACAAGCTTATTGAACTTTCAATGTCATTTGAACCAAATAATCAAACAACACAACAATAATATTCCACATTTAAAATAATTGTTGAGTTTATTGAACATCAACACCGAGATCGAGAAGCATGTTAGCAATAGCCTTCATTTGTGGACCTTGTTTAGTGGCAAAGTTTTGACCACTGAATCCCCACCAATCGAAACAACCTATATTATTGAAATTAAATAATTGAAAAGTTAAATAATTACTAACCTTCTGGGTTGACCAAGAATGATTCAGTCTTTCTGACTTGAGGGAAAACAACAACAATATTATTGCTTTCAGCATACTTGAGGTAACCAGAATGCTTGACGAAAACATCACCAACGCTTTGAACACCTTGGTTGCAACCGTGGAAAGCCAAGTGAACAACACATGGAGCACGATTAGCTTGACAAGAAGTTGGAATGTAAATGTAACCCTTTTCATCAAAGCTGGTAGCAGTGTAGTTACCAGATTGAGAGAAAGTGAAAAGGTTTCTATCAATAGGTTGAGAAGCATTCAACTTGGTAGAAAGGACAGTTTCAAGGATAATCTTAGCTTGATCCAAACCACAATTGTTAATGAATGGACTACCAAACATAGCACAAGCATTACCATAATCATTGGTGATGAAACCGTGAACAGCAGGAGTCTTAAAGTCAGTAACAATGTTAGAAATTGGGACTTGGAAAGTGGTGTACAATTGTTGTTGGAGCTTTCTCATAACACCTTGGAAAACAATGAAATCATCAGTACCAGAGAAGAGGTAGAACTTGTGGTTCTTAACATTGCTTGAATGATCGATAGCACCAGTTGATTCCATTTCCTTAATCATGTCTTGAATGATTGACTATTAATGATATATGTGGAAATATTTCATGTGTTAATTTTGGTGGAATAATATCAATTTAGTATCATTATAATGTTCATATTAGTTTTTTAAAATCTTTAAACCTACCAAATCAATCATTTGTGGAATCTTCATACAGCTGTCGAGAGCAACGAATTCGTTACCAAGAGAACACTTTATATCAATTATTATTAATATTCCGAATCCATTCATTTAAAAACTTACATAATATGGACCACCAGCAACAACACCAGTTCCGGTAACAGTCTTTGAGAAAGCAACAGCAAATTGTTGGGCCATGAAAGCTCCAGAAGAAATACCAGACACAGTAAAGCTTTGCTTTCTAACATTAAGTCTTGGCAATCTATTAAAATTTTGTTGAGCATTAGCAGCAACAGCAAAAACAACCATCAAGGTTGCGATCAAGGCAACAGTACAAATCTTCATCCTCCTTAATAACGCAATTTTTTTCAACAAAAAATTTGTTAATTTACGCGGTGGTAACCGGTTAAGGACCAATAATATAGTTGATGTCCCACATTTGAACTTGAGCATTGCCTAATGCATGAATGATGAGCATTCAATATCATCAATATAGGAGAGTATTTTGCGTGGTTGGGTTGGGACCAATTATAATGCAAGAAAACCAATCAATATTATTAAGTGGTTATTAGTATTATTTAAGGTTGAATCAACTCCGCAATTATTTCAATCGGCGTTTTTAAGAGCGAATTGCCTGGGGTGTGAGGAAGGATTGAATATTCAAAACGATAGGCCCTTATTTATTCTTTTTTCGTGTATCTTAAGATTAAATACTTTACAATATAACATTTTAAATATTCTTATTAAATGAGAAAGACTAAAACATTTCATGAACAATAATCTTTCCAAATCATCAAGTTCCCTCATCATCTTCCAACTCGTCATCTTTTCAATATCTAAAAGAAAAAAATGTGTTCCGAAGATTTGTGTCTATTGGTGTGGGATAAATCCTGTGATGTGGCGTGTAGTTTGGGATGTAATTTGTGTCTGTGTCGGTATAGATGGTGTCCTTGTTATGAATGTTGTAATGAAGATGAAGAAGAAGAGGAGAATACAAAATCATCAGCATCGTCATCTTCCTCGGAAGGAACATCAAGTGGTGGTAAATTACATGATCATCATCATCAACATGATGACAAGTGTAATTGTAATAATACAAAGAAGACTATTGTAGCAACATCACCACCAACACTTTCGGAAGAAGAATTGGCATTGAAGAAATTAAAGAGAAAGGAAAAGAATATGCACTATAATAGAAAATTGGAGGCTGGTGTTTATTATTTAATTTTGTTTGGATTTTTGTATATGGGAGTTATTCCTTTCATTGTTTCTTATTATTGGATTGACATTTTTGGTTTATTTGTCGATTCTGAAAAGGCTCCCAATATGAAATATCCCTTGTTAGAGTTGCAAACTACTTATTCCACACAGGATTGGGATAAACTTAATTTATTGGGAGCTCACTGGAGTTTTTACTTGTATTATATTGGTTGGATTTTGAGTTATATTACCTATGAGATGAGTAAGAGGTCAAATCCTGGAAGAATTTTTGTGGAAGGTGATGAAAAACATTTGGGTTACATTTCACATAAGGATAGTATTACATTTGAGAGAAAGGAAGAACAAAAAGCAATCAATAGTGAAAAGGTACAGGAACAACAGACATCAACAACCACTTTGAGAAATAGAAAGAGTGGTGAAAAGAATTTGGAAAATGAAAAGCAAGAGAATGAATCAAGTGACTCGGCCACTGCTATCACAGCAAATGCTACCAAGAAGGAAGAAACCAAAGTTGTGGAATTTCCAACAAGATCCAAATTTTGTACCAGATGTGGACATAGAGCTGCAAAGTATGACCATCACTGTCTGTGGATTTCTAATTGTGTTGGAGAAAAGAATCAATTGACATTTTTGGCATTCCTTTTGAGTATGGTAGTTCAAATGTCTTTATGCTTTATTATGGTAATTTGCTTGTTCTACTTGACTTATTGTGAGGTGAATCAACTCTTTGATTATGCATTTCAGTATGAATCCATGAAGAGAATATCATCCCTCCACGGAAAGAGAATTGAAGAATTGTACACTGATGGAAAAACTCAACAAATGCTTCAATTCGTGCACAGCAATAATCCAATCATGCAATTCCACACATTTTTATTTATTGTGTTGAATGTCATCAATTTGGGAATTGCTGGATTGGTTTTAGCCTTTGTTGGTTTCATGAGTGGCGTTCAACTCTACATGATTACTTTTAACATGGCCTCAGTTGAGCATTTCAATCCAGAAAAGTATACCTACCAACCAAAAATACAACGTAATTGGAGAAAGAATTGGATGCTATTCTATCAACAAATCATGCTTCCATTTAACAAATTTACTGACTATGACCAACAGTAAATTCCTAACATTTTTGTGTAAAATCAGTTTACATATTTTCCAATAAGGAAAGCAATCTAATTGTTACCAAATCTGATGGATCACTTTCCTTATACTCATTGAATATTTCCCTCGATTCTTCTAACTGTTTGAAATAATCGTCAGTATTTGGAGTCATGTCAAATATCGAGAATGCATGCTCAAACTTTTTATATTTGGCATTGACTTTTTCTTGTTCCAATTCATAGAGCCATTCTATTTTTCACATTTAAACTATAATATTTTGAAAAATAATACTTACCATCTTGTTCCACAATATTCTCTTTAAGGACTTGATAAATAGTCTCAACACCATGAGAAAGTTCTTCTTTCGAAACTGGTCTAGCAACAATCCTTGTCTTGGCACTATGTTCATGAAGAGAGAATGCATCTGAGAGAATTTCACACTTCAACGATTTGGCTACCTGCAAAACATGCTGAACATTGGCCATTACTGGTCCAACAATACCATAATATCTCAGAGCTTTAGTTCCCAAGTTTCCAGCCAAGACTTCACCTCCAGATAATGCCATATAATACTGCACATTGATACTGGTCAAGAGTCGACCAATTTTGAGACCACACTCAATGGCCAATAGATTGTGGCGTCTGTTATTGGATGAGTTGTTATCAGAGAATGACAATTGGAAGGTGTGCACACTCAATACTTGCAAATCAGCATGAACCTTCTTGGTGATGGAACTAATCAATGTGATGACTTTGGAGAATTGATTTTCAATATCTGAATAATCATGATTGGAATCTTTACAAATCTCAATCATGATTACACTCACCTTCTTTTTGAATAGTCCCTTTCTGAAGAGCTCATTAATAGTACCCTTTCGTTCATGCTTGGAAGAATCGTTTGAAATTGAACTTCTCAAAGCTGAACTTTTCTCAGTCATTGCCATGGATTGAGCCATATTACTATTTGACTGTTCAACTTCTTTTGGAGTTTCTTGAGTTTTCTCTCTGATTTGATTGAACAAACTGGCTGGAAGGTAGGGTTTGAATTCATTTAAGAATAACACCATTTCGTATAAGTGCTTGTAAATTCTATTCATTTCACCGAAAGAACTCGATCTGAATTCAACATTCTCCAAACTAAATGTCTTGATCTGATTGAATTGTCTCTCTAAATATCTGAGTGGTTTTGTAATCCAGTGACCTAACAGAGCACTCATGACCAGACCAAGTAAAATCACCCCAACACAAACACCAACTGATATGGCAGTATTTATGTTACTGACCTTTTCTACATCTGACTTGTATACAATCAAAAAGACATTCCATGAAATATTCTCCAAATAGAATGATCTTCTTGAAATAAAGTAGTCAACTCCTTTGCTTGCAAAATGAATGGCTCCAGTATTTGGAACGCTTGATAAATTTCCATATTTCTGAGCCAGCTCTGACATTAAAGTTCCTGAATCTCTATCTATGAGCTGGAACATTGACACCCTTGAGTAGAAATTCAAAGCAGTCGTATTGATACTTCCGCCAATCACCAAATCATTCAGTTCTGAAACCAATACATAGCCATCTCCAATCATGGTAATTGTTTTCAAAAAGTTTTGAATACTTAATAAGGAAATGTTAATTTTTGCCAATCCAATAAGTGCAGATTTGGTTCCATTCACTGCAAACTCAACTGGATTATACAGCTTACTTGCATAAAAAATGCAAGTACTCGAATTGACCACAGTATAAGGATCTCCATATATACTATCAGTATTAAACTTGGCAAAATATTTCTCACTACTAATCCAATAACTCTGAGTATATTGTTTGAAAGGAGTTGTCTGATTAGCAATCAATCCAATAATACTTCCATTAATTGGACTAGCCAAATAGTGAACCAAACCTGGATAATTGAATGGTTGATGATAAGTTGTAAAAGATTGAACTGGAACACCACTATAAAAGTAAGTAATATTGAAATAACTATAAGCCTCATTGTAAAAGTGGAATCCAATGGAAGAAGGTGAATAAACTAAACTTCTCTTGAAAAAGTAAGGCAATATAGAATTGGGATCTCTCATAACATAACCACTATTAAAATCAAAAGCAATAGTTCTGGATAATCCTGAAAATGGATGAATACTACTTGTCAAGAATGCCAAAACTCTCTCAGCAACCTTATCCACAATGGTACTGGACAATTCATTGAGAGCATTTGCAGAGCCAATATATGAAGCTAGCCAAATAGATATCGAGCATACCAACAACAACAAGACAATTAGCATGATTGTAAATCCTCTAAAGGAACAACAACCATCATATTTTCTTGTTTTTCTCTCAAATAGCAATTGACCTTCATCTTCTTCCGCTTCTTGATTTGCTTTATTTGCTTCTTGATCAATCGATTGAGTCTTTACCTTATACTACAGTTATCATCAACATATTAAATAAAAATAAATAAGAAAACACCACTTACATGATTGCTTGTTGGATGAACGCGCATTTTCTAACTTTTTGTCTTTGTAGTGCAAGAGGTGCATCTTTTCAACACATTTCATCCCAATCGGTAGCATCTTGTTTGCTCTTGAGATTGTTCGGGGAGACATCCTGGCTTCCCGCCTTTGTGTTGATGACTAGTTCTAGAGATATGCGTGAATACAGGATAATACGGTATTTACAGTAATTGAGCGTATGGTCCTTATTGATGAATCGTTAACTAAATATTTGAATGGCTAATGGGCCAATGGACTTGCGTTTTGAAGATAAATGATTGAATATGCTACTCAAATGTGTTTATCATAGGCGCTTGAAGGTTTTACTGTTAAGGGCGACACTCATCGTTGATGTTGGCTTTTCTAATCATGAATTAAGGTTGAGGCACGGAAAGAAGAGGGAGTTTGTACAAGTTCTGATATTTGATAAGCCAATGGCGAATTCAATTTTTGAAGCATATACTTCAATATAATGATAGGTTCATGTGCATCTACGTTACTGGACGATGTTATGCCCACAAATTGAAAATTTTACTTGTTGAGAATAAAGTGACAAGTTCAATTTCATTTGATCAAGCACTCATGATAGTATATTTTAAAATGGTGATATTCTTGCCTAAATATATTGAGGTAAAATGTGTACAAATAACAATTGGGCAATGAAATCCAAATGGATTATTTCACAATTCAGTATTCGAATCTGAACTAATTAACGAAAATGTTCACGTTATTGAAAAATCTCAGTGTTGAGATGATGTGATGTCTTAATGTATCTCCAGTTCATATCACATTTCGGCTAATTTCTCTAATTGTCTGCTCACTTATTCTCCATACCTTATAATTTTAATTTCAGCTTCCAATTCTGAAATATTCCCAATAAAATTCGTGTCATTGTCAACATCTCCGATTGGTAATTATAAAACGATGAACGTTCTGTAGTTGCATCCAATCATTGTATTGGGCACTTACCTTCTCCTTTTATATCCAAAGATACCTGAAAGAAAAATTGAAATGCTACAGAGATGCGAGATTGCATATTGCTAGTGTTAATCTCGACTATCAACAACCATCAGTTTATGTGAAGATGTTGTTGCAATAGCGTTTCATTTCGAAACATGACGAAACAAGCCTTTGGAATTGGTCGATTTAAATCACCAGGAAGGCTTGTTGGAAAAATAGAGCTGTAGTATTGAGGCTGATAAACAAACACAAAAAAAAGCCTTCAACAATCCAAATCAAACAAAATTGACATTCTCACACAATGTACAATAAGTTCAGTATCGTTGAGTTTCAATCTGCTACAAAGGTTTCTCAAAAGAATTCGAAACCACAACAACAAAACATGTTTCAATTCACAAGCATGATGAAGATGCCACACTTTATTCAAGTTTCTAAAAGAGGAAGAAAGAGAAAGCATCCAATTGATGAAAGTCAAGTAAAGATGACCATTAAATCGACTGAAATTTTCATGGGTAATCATGAATGGTTTAGTTATGAAGCTAATGGTTCTAATAATGAGAAACCAAAGGTAGTTTCGAATAACAATACATCAAATGTGAATGCATGTACAAGTCTCCTTCCAACAACTCCAAACACATGTGACAATACAACAAGTCTCCTTCCAAAGAAAAAACTCAAGCAAACTAACTTGTCATCCAATTTCCCAACACCATGCTCAACATCTAACATGCCACCAACATCTACTAACATGGAAAGTGAAACAAATATAATTCAAAAGATGTGTGTTGATCCTTCACTTTCTTTCCCAACAACTCTTGAATCAAAACACATGCGTCCACATTCATGCATGCCTCATATTTCCCTTATTGGAAACTCAATCAACTTGACAGAAAACACTCATCTCATTGTAGCACTCGTCACTACTAACAATGCAACTATCGCACCACCATCCAATACCACTAATGTAAGCAAAATAATCTCCACATCCAAAACTCCAACTTTGGAAGGTAGTAACATGCTACCATCCTCCAATACAACCAGCAGAAAATCTTTAGGAAGAACTTCCATTTCCATTCGAGAATTATTAAATTAATTTTGTGTATTTTAAACTTTTGAAACTTTTGATAAATTGTGGATTTGTGTTTGAAGTTGTAATTGTTGGAATTGCAACTTGTTAATATATGAAAATAAACCAATAGTCAAACCCAAAGTAGAAAGTGTTAAAAAAGGTTTGCTTGAAGAACGATAGAGAATTTTCTTGATCACATCATAATATCCCCAATGGAAAATAGTATTGATGGCATTGCATGTTGTCTGATGCACAAATTTGAGACCATTCTTCAGGTAATATTTCATCTTTTCACTCCATGAAAGTGGTTTTTGATTCAGTTTCAATTGGATGTGTCTACAATCGAACATGTCACCAATGAGTTTACCTCCTGATGAGAAGAGGAAGGCACTACCAATAGTAATCATTCCCAAGTTAATCATTGGATCAAAAGATGCTTTTAGTGATAGGGCTTCAATATTTGGGAACCAAAAATCATAACAAAGTTTGAATCCAAAATAGAAACAACTAGAGCTCACTAGAATGTTGTAACCCATTCTGTAGATTGTGTTAGCAATCTTTCTTGTTGAAATCTTTTCGAAAATGATAGAAACTCCCTTCAATGCGAATAGAGAGGCTGAAATTGCAAAGAGTGTATCCTTATAGGATGGTAGTCCAATAATTTCACTTTCTCTATAGATGGAAACTTCGTGTTTTGTGATTGCGAAACCAGAGAAGGTCAATGCAAGAGCTCCAACAAGAGAACTTGATGATTCCAGCATGTTCTTAAATGGTTCAATATCAAAAACATTACCAAACAATGAAATACCTCCACTGATGCTCAATAAACCAACCGAGTTGATACAAATATTGATAAATTCATCCATAAGATTACTATGATTCATGTCGTGAATTGGAAGACCAGTATATGAATATTGTAAAGCTCTCTTGCCATAGTACATTAATCCCAAACTAATCAAGAAGGCTCCAAACTTGGTTGAGGATACATAAGAAAGTACACTCTCAAATGTTCTCTCCTCCATGTTACAATGCTTTTGAATGGATTGAATACCAAATAGTGTAATGACTGCTGAAACAATGGTCTGGTAAGTGTTGGCAATAAGTGGATGGTCAGAGGTCAAGGATTTCCCAACCAGTGGAAGCAATTCAAAGAATCTCTCTGAATCCATTGTCAAGAAACCAAAACCTGCCACTACAGAAGCTACACCGTTAATCAGTAGCAAATAATAATACATGGTCGAAAGAATATTATACAGTACTGGCTCATTGAAATAGTAACCATAACTTCTCAGAGAAAGTGTCATCAATGCCAATCCAGGAATAATTTTGGTTCCATTCTCTAAGAATAATTCGATAATATGTGGATTAATACTTTCAATCTTACTGAACATGGCTATCGAACTGGTAAAGTAAAAGGCAGCTTTGATAATTTCAATATTCTCAATCAAACCAAATTGTTTCAAATCAACACCAAAAATTGTCTTTTTGTGCAGAGCAATATCATCAATCATTAATAAGAATAAACACAAGCAAGCATGAGACTTGACAAGAATGGAGAGAATTTCAAGTTGTGGTAAATCCTCCACATGATTTACATCCTTCAGAGATTGAAATAAATCTTCCAATAATAAATAAATAGTGGCACTTCCAGCAGGTACTGCAGTATAGATGGCAGCATTAGATGTCAAGTGATACATGGCACTTTCTGATAAATTATAATTTTCAAATATTGAAAAGAGTCCAACAATACTTGAAATTGTTCCAATGATTGACAAAATCTTGTGACTTCCCACAAATGTTTCTTCCTTTGTTGCCTTTAAAAACCATTCTATTAATTGTTTCAATTTAGATACTTCAATATGCAATCTTTCATCATGACTAATTCCCAAATCTATTAAATCCGATACTTCTTGTTTCTTTTTATTCAACAGAAAGGTACTCAGAGTATCCTCCTTATCAAATTCCAAATTTTCCCTTCCATCCTGTTGTTGATTCTCGAGAAGTGAAGTCTTCTCCTCCTCCACTATTGTTAATGTAGGCTTATTAAAAACAGTCTTTTCAAATTCTTGTTGTTGATAGACATGATATTCATGTTGTTTGACCATCATGTTAGAAATTGACGCCTGCTGATCCAAAAGATGTTCCTCTTGTTGCTGATGATGGTTTCCTTCCGAATCGGCAGGAAACTTGTTGGTACTTTTAAAGCCTTTGGTCATTTTATTCTTTTTGTGTTTTAAAAGGCTTTGAAAATCTTCATGTTGCTTGAAAATATATCATAAATTGATTGGATTGATATATTAATATCTGTTTTGATGATAAATTAACGTTAATTTTGATTTATCGCAACATAATTTATTGATGATGGTTCCGAAGATGATTTCTTATGAAAGCAACATGATACCAAAGACTTGTGCTTCTTCTTTGCTTTGTGTGATGGTGAAATTCAGTTCAAATAAATTTCTGATGATGAAAAATGAAGTAAATTTCTCGTTTTTTGAATTGAATAAAAAATGTCTTCAACAGATTTAAAGAGTAGACTTCGTGAATTAAAACAACAACAACAAGTAATCCAAGTAAAGGAACAAGAATATAAAGATAAGAACGAGGAATTTACAAAGGATGTTCAAGCATTGTATGAATCAGATTCTGAGGATGAAGAAGATGAAACTTCCGGAGTAGAAGCAACCACAACTGAAGTAACATCTGAAGATATGACAGACATAAACGAAGAAGAAGAAGAAGATAAGAAACCATTTTTCCAAAATAGAAAGGAAGAAGCTGTTACTAAAATTGCAGCCCTCTTTGAAAACTTAAAGTCCTCACGTAATATTGGACAAGAAAATAACAAGGATGGTAAACAATCGGGTGATGCCAAACAAGGTGTCGATTTTTCAAATACTATTAGAACATTTGTAATTAGAAAACTTCCACACGGATTCTATGAAGAAGAAGTTACAAAATTCTTCTCTCAAGTCGGAACTGTTATCAATGTCAGAGTACCAAGAAGTAAGAATACTGGTCATCCACTCAACAAGGCCTATGTCCAAATGGAAGATCCTGAAATTGCTAAAATGATTGTAGAAACTTTTGATTATTATCTGCTGAATGATAGAGTTATTCGTGTTTCCATGTTAGATGGTGACAATCCATTGGCTAGACAAAAGCAAATTTTCAAATTCAAGAAGGAAGATGCTCATAGCTCTATTCTTGAAAATGGTGTTGCTGCCCAATTGAAGAAACAACAAAAACTTATCTGTAACCTTGCTCGTGGTGATTCATCAAAGATTTCAAAGAAAACAAAGAAAAATCAAAAGGAATATTTGAGGAAAATACGAAACAAGTTACAAAAGAAGCTCAAAGAAACATCTAATAAATAAGTCACTAATTTATTCGAATTTTTATGTACACTTTCAATATTTCAATTGAAATATTGACAATTTTCTAAATTTGTAATCTTAACTAGATCATTTCAGATTTTTCTAATGATAAAATCAGTGTGGTGGTAAACAGATTAGGTGAGATCTTCCTCCTGTCTAGTCCACAAATCTCCTTTGTGATCTAATGGTTCTTGATGTGGTTGAATCTCACTGGTATTGGTAGTGAGAGGAACGTGAGTAGAGGAGGATCCTGCTTCCAAATCATCATCATGTAGATGGTTATAGTCATCGGAGGCATGGAATTCTTTTCTTCTAGCTTCCTCCAAATTTGAAATATCTTCGGCAAGTTTAATATTACTCTCTTGTGTCAGTTTTTTAGTTTTCAAAATATCCTCTGCTTTCTTCTCCAATGATTCTATCCTTTCAATGTATTCATCCATTTTGAGTTTAATTACCCTCTTCTTTTCAATAATTGTTTCTTCGAGAAACTTTCTAGAATATTCATACTTTCTTTCGTAATCTTCATCCTTAACTTGTTTTGCTAAATATAATTCATAATCTTCCTTTAATTCTTGTTCCGTTTGTACATGAAGAAGAATCATCTCCTGTTCTCTCAATTTTATCGATTCTAAATGTTTTTTCATTGTATTAATTGTTTCCGTTAGTGTTTCATATGTTTCCTCTTGAACTTGCATTTGATTTTCTGTTAATTCTAGCATTCTTCTCTTCTTTTTCAAATCCTTCTCAACAGAATTTGATGAGCCTCCGAACAGCTTTAAAAAGAAGGACATTTTTTAATTTTAAAATTAAATTATCAGCATTAACAGGAAATTTAACGGCATGCACTTTTCATAATAGAACAAGACAAGGTACTCCTCCATGCAAATGAGCGCCAATCATTGTTCTCCAGTTCTTTCACAATGAAAAAAATCAAATTCCCAATTCCATTCATTCTCCTTTCATGCTCATTCATCATGTAAAACCAATCGTCATCCACAGAAAGAGAATTTCAATTCTTCATCACACAACCATCATCCTCTTGTCTTCGTCATCGCTTTGATAAAAAATGTTACAACCACCAACCCTCCGAACCAATGTTTCCTCTCTATTGCAAACGAATAGCAATGCTAGTGGGGGTGGTATAAATAATGTGATTGGTAGCAGTAGTAGCAGTGTGGTGGGTTCTCTTCCTCCTTCAAAGGATTCAAGTGTTGTAACTTCACCTCAAGATTTGGAAGATTTGATTCATCATCACCGAAGTGAATCACCTTCATCACCAATACATCATCAGAGTGATGCATTATTGTCATCTTCAATAGTGGAAATTAAAGACACTTCACAAAGCCTTCAGGAAGTAACGACTTCATCACCCGATGATATTTCTGCTCTTGTAGATTCCTTCTTTTATAATAATGGGCCATCAAGAATGACAGAAGGAAGAAAGGTATTCTTGTTTCAAGTTTCTACAATAATTGGAACGTTTATCTTCTTCTTGTTTTATCACTTTTTATATCAATTCATAACTTCAGAGGATGAATCGACAAAATCGAGTTTGTGTTGGTTATTGTCATATTCACTTTCGATATGGTGTCAATATGAATTGCATTGTAGAATAGTTTTTGGAAAGAGGTCAAATTCTGAATATTGGCGATCTTTGATTAGAACTTATTTTGTTTATGGAATTTCAATGGTATTTTCAACAATTTTGAATTACATGTTAGTTGGATATTTCAAAGTGGGGCATACTTATGCTTGGATTTTATCATTAATTCTTGTTGGAATTTTGAACTATTTTACTGTGAGCAAATTTGCATTTGCTGACTCGGAAGAAACATTGTAATTTTAGAAATTTAGAGATTGTATATTTAATATTAATATATTAAACTGTTGGAGATTATAAGCTTAATTTGATAATCGTTGAGAATTGATTTATTCTCATTTATATTTTCTTTATATTTAATCTCATTCCTTCTTAGAAGCTCTGCGCCATCTGTTTCCTTTTCCAGATCCAAGCACAAAATCTTCAAAAAAATATCTTCATTTCTCAAGACTTGAAATACACATTTGCAAACATTCCTAATATTAATATTGGAATTGGTTGATTACTGATTTAGGAACATTTAAAGAGCTCAGTAATAAAGTGGAAGGACTAAAAATTCGAACAAAGAGTTCTCGTTTGACATTATCAGAACTTGTAACGTTACTATTATTAGCACAACAATATTACAAAAAAATGGAAAGTCTGATCAATGCAATTCCAACAGAAGTGTTGGAGGATGTTGTGTGCTCCTTTTTGGATGTAAAGTCTTTATTCTCTCTATTGAAAATCAACCGATCATTGAGAAGTATTCTCTTATCTTCGTCAAGTGTTTGGGAAAATTCTCTCCGATCAATGATTAAGCATCAGGAGGATGAATTTAAATTATCGGAGAAGGAGCTAAATGTTGGACGAGTGATGAGAAAATTATTTGATGAATTTTCATTGCAAATTAAAGAATTTAAGGAGAAGGATACTATGAGTGGAATTATGAACTATTTGCAAGAGGAAGAGTTTCGTAAAGTGTATGACGATCATCAAGAGAATGCCTATTTTTTCTTGATTTGCTTGTTTAAGGCTTTTTCATTTGATAGATCGGGATTTCCACTATCAATTCCTTCTTTTATTAACAGTTATGAGCATGAAGCTCATCATTCGTGTGTTGATTTTACTAATAATGACCATTGTTTTCATTCATGTCATAAAAATTTGAATGGTGATTGGGAAACTTGTATAGTTGGAAAAAAATTGATACAAGAATTCAGATATTTCTGGGCTATTCATTTGACAAATTATCACAATGAAGGTTCAAATGCCTGGGGAATTGTTATTGGAATTGATGATAAGGAGAATCAAAGCAGAAATTCAACCAGCTCTGCAATCCATTATTATATCGGAAAGGAAACCTCTAATGGAGTGGGATATTGCGTTCATTCTCACTCTAAATCTTATAGGGGGCAGTGCGAATACTCCAGGGCAAATAATAATAATCGAGAGGGAGATGTTATTGGTGTGGAATTTTATCAAAAAGGTCTGGATGTGAATATGAAATTCTATACTTGTTTTGGAGATAGCATTGTAGATTATCAATATTCGTTGGCTAAGGATGTTGTAGGTTTCCAACCTGCTGTTTCGATTGTTTCAAGAATGGTAGTCTCAATATTGCCATGGGATGGATCAGTAGAAACATTAAAAAAATTAGCATAAACTTGATTATCAATTAACAAAAGGCGACTGAGGGAATTGAACCCTCGACCCTCAGTTATCTCAGCATTTCTGTCTACAAGACTGATGCACTGCCACTGTGCTAAGCCGCCTTACGTTTTTAGTTCACCAACACCTTTTGTTTGGGTACTTAATACCTAATCAACATTTCCAATAAAACCCAACTTTGATTCACAGCCACGCTAGGAATGTGAAGGGTGTTAATAATAGACCAAGCTATTACTTCCAAATCCTCAAGGATGCCTACAAATTACACCAGCGAGTTTAGCTCACAAGAGAAGAGCACCATATGTGTCCTCTATCATGCTTTGTCTTACAATTAGTATCTAAAAATGCACCATCTTCTTTGCGTTTTTATTTCAACAAATTTCATAAAATAAAGTTTGTCAAAGTAAAACCTAACAATTCAAAGTTCTTTAATTTAAACAAGTTCAAAGATTTAACATTGTGTAACAAAATGATACAGCGAGCGGGGCTTGAACCCGCGACCTTAAGCGTGTTAGGCTTACGATCTAACCAACTGATCTATCGCTGCTTACATTCATAATGAAAATTGTCTTAGTAAATCTTAATGAATATAGAGAAGCACTATTTTATTTGCGATTATGATACGCTTCCATGTTTATATGAGTAATTATCATTAAATGTTAGTGTGGTGCTAATTTTTTTGTGGTTCCAAATTCACTTGTCAATCACATGACAAACGACATCCAAAATCACAAAAATTTAAAAAAAAATCAATCTAACCATTCCACTCATCCTACCATTCCCTTCACACAACAATCAATTAAAAATTTAGTGTGTGATACAAACCACCTACAAACAACAACAGTAACTCTACAAATTTTCTCTCTTTGAAATTATGGCGCCAAAAAAGAATACATCAAAGAGTACTTCCGCGCTCTCTCACTCGCAGCAACTGACGATTCAGGCTGCTTCTTCATCATCTTCGGCGCTTCATCACTCACCAAATAATTCCCCATCCCACTCATCATCAAACATTGGTGGTAGTAATAATGGAGGTTTTAATAGAGAACCTTTTAATGCTCTTGCCTACCAACAACAATTACAATGGAATGACGATGATGTCAATGGAAATTTCAATGAAATGTTAGTGGAAATGGGAGTACCAGATAGTATCAGAAGAAAACAATTGGCAACTAAAACTGTACAGGAAAAAGTCAGGTATGTAACTCTTTGGATGTTATGTTTAAAATGTTTCATTACAATATAATCAATCATGTTAATACAATATAATCAATAGACGTTTGTATTACTTTAAAAACGATAATGATCAAACTGCTGATGAGGATACTCCTTTCGTACTCCTTTCTCAATGGGAAAAACACAATTATGATTCTGCACGTTTGGCTCGTATTGCTGAACTTTTGGTTGACAAGCCAATTCGATGGGTCAACCAATTTATTATGCAAGGAGGTATCAAACATTTGATCCATTGTTTGAATATGACCAATGTTCTTTCTAGAAAACAACAATCTGAGGAAGATGTAACACCTGCCTCCGATAATATGGAAATCGATCAAGGAGAATATTCTGACTCTGAAGATTATACACCAAATTTCCATCAACATCACCAATCCAACTCTGAGCAAGGCGGTACATCAACTGCTGTCTCTGAGCACGAAAGTGGAACACTCACATCCACAAATATGGTTGCTACTGTAGAGGATTTGGAAAAACAATCCCTCTGTATTGCTGCCTTGAAGGCCTTGTTGAATACCAATGTGGGTATTGAAGAATTTTTGGCAGAAAAAGATGCCATGAAAAACTTGGTTCTCATTTTAGATACTCCAAATATTGAAGCAGCTTGTGATATTTTACAAATTTTGATTGTCATGGCCAGTTGGGCAAGTCATGGTTTTAGTTTGGTTGTCAGTGCATTGAGTCACTATAGACTTGTCAAGAGAGAAAAGACCAGATTTTATGATATTATTCAAAGAATGACAAAATCTAATCTCGACTATGCATACTATGCATTGTTCTTGTTCAATACATTATTGGATCAATCTCCTGATGAAGGTACCAAATCCTTGTTCAAGAAGGAATTTAGAAATTTGAAATGTTTGGAAGTAATTACAGAGCTCAAGAATCAAAGCTTGGAAAAATCTGTTCAATCTATGGAAGATGAGGAAGCTCAAGAATTTATTACTGATTTGAACAGTCAAATGGAAGTTTTAGCTGGTGAACTGGAAGTTTGTCAAAAAGAATTTTTGGAAAATGATTTATCAGATTCTGTAAATGTTGTCAAGCTTCTTAAACAAAAATTGAATGAAGTTTCCGATGATGAACCTTTGAAAAATATGCTCTATGAATTGTTAACTGAATTGATCATTTACAACTCGGTGGCTATTGACAAGTCTCTTACCGAACAACAATCAGCTCAAAATTGGAGCAAGATTAAACTTTTGGTTGATGCTGGATTGGCACCAAAGAGAGCAGAAGAAGACATGAAAATCAAAACAGAGAAGGAAAAACAACTTGCTGACAGAGTCAAAACCCAACAATATCAACTTAATAACTTGCAATCAGAACGCGAATCTATTCTTCAAGAGTACGAGACTAAAATTGTTGAAATTTCCAAAACTTTGGAAGAAATTGAAAAGAAGAAGAATTCCCTTTCTGAAGAAAAGGAAAAGTTCTTGAAAGAAATTGAAGAACAAACAGCTCAAACTAGAAGTGAGCTTTCTGAAACTGAGAAGGAAAAGGCTACTCAACAAGAAAAGCACTCCCACATTAAGGCTGAACTCACTCAACTCCACCAAGAAATTGAAAAACTTAAGAATGAAGTCTTTTCAAAGAAGGCAAACAATGAACAAGTCCAACATGCAAAGAAGGTACTCGATGATAAGAAAAAACACTGGACCAAAGAGGAGGACAATGTTAAGAAATTAATTTCTGAATGTAATACCAAGATTGAAACTTTGAAAAAGAAGGAGAAAGAATTGGAAACAGAAAGGGATCAATTAAAGAAGAATCCACCAACACAAGAAGATCCTTCACTTGCACCTACAACTAGTAATATTCCTCTTCCTCCTGGAGTTGGTGTTCCTCCACCTCCAATTTTGGGTGGTGGTGATATACCAACACCTCCTGGAATGGGTATTCCTCCACCACCAATTGGTGTAGGTATTCCAACACCTCCTGGAATGGGTATTCCTCCTCCTCCTATTGGAACTGGTATTCCTCCTCCTCCTGGTAGTGGTATTCCAATGCCACCTGGAATGGGTGGTATTCCAATGCCTCCAGGAATGGGTGGTATTCCTCCTCCACCTGGTGGTATTCCAATGCCTCCTGGTAGTGGTATTCCAATGCCACCTGGAATGGGTGGTGGAGTACCAATGCCACCTGGTATGGGAGGTGTTCCTATGCCACCTGGTATGGGTATTCCAGGAGTGCCAAGTGTTCCTGGTATTCCAGGAGTACCTGGTGTACCTGGTATGCCAATGATGGGCCGTGGAAGAGGTGTTGGTGTTGGTGATGGTTTACCAACATTGCCAACTAAGGCACCAACTGAAACAACTCGTCAAGTTCACTTTGATGCTATCAACAAGAACAATGTCGCAAAAACAATTTTCATTAAGAAGAATATTGCTCAAGAAACCAATTCTATTATTTCCAAGCTGAATCTTGATGAATTGTCAACTGTATTCTCTACAGCAAAGAAAGAAAAAGAAGGTGAAAAAGCAGAACCAAAGGAAAAGAAGAAGGAAGTTAAATCATTGCTTGATGCTAAGCGTAGTTACTCTGTATCACTCCAATTAGGTAGTATCAGAGGTGTATCATATGATATGCTCAGAAAAGCTATTATTGCTATGGATGAAGCAGTTGTGACTGCTGATAATATTGGAACTATTAAGCAAATTGCTCCAGAACAAGAAGAAGTTGATACTGTGATGGGATATGATGGACCGATGGATGAATTGGCTGAACCAGATAAATTCTTCCGTGTCATGAACGGTATACCTAACTTGATTGGAAGATTGGATGCTTGGTCATTCAAGTTCCGTTTCAATGAAATGATTTCAAAAATTAAGCCAGATATTGAAAATATGATTTTGGGATGTAAGGAAGCTAGAGAAAGTGAAAAATTCATGGAAATTCTTGCTGTCATTCTTACATTTGGTAACTTTTTGAACGGTCAACAAAAGAAGAAAATATCATTTGGTTTCAAGCTCAAATCATTGCAAAAACTTGCTGACACCAAATCAGGTGATGGTAAAACTAGTTTACTCCAGTACATTGTCGATTTCATTGGAGAAAAGAAGAAACACTTGATGGACTTTGATACTCAATTAACTCATATTCAACCAGCTACACGTGTTTTGGTTGGATCAGTTGAAGATGATATCAACGAATTGAAGAAGTGTCTCACTCAACTTTCACAACAAATTACAAAAGCTAGGGAAAATACCTCTGAAGAAGACAAGTTCGTTTCAACAATGGAAAGCTTTGAACAAAAAGTTAAGGATGAATTGGAAGGTATTGAAGCTAAATTCAAGATTATGAAAACTGAAATTGATTCTCTTGCCAAGTCATTTGATGAAAGACCAGAAGATTTACAAAAGGAACCTGATAAATTCTTGGCTCTCATCGATCTATTCATGCAACAATTCAAACAGGCCAATGAAAAGAATGAACAAGCCAAAAAGGCAGAAGAAAAGAAAAAGAAGGCCGAAGAAGAAAAGGTTAAGAAGGAAGCTGCCAAACAACAACTTAAGATCAATTCAGCCAAGCAAAAACTTGATGTACTTAAGAACAAATCCACAGTTGGTGGAGGTGAAGGAAGAGGAGCTATGGATGAAAAGATGCAACAATTAAAACTTGCCACAGCTGCCAAATCAGTTGCTCTCCGTAGAGGTGGAGCAAGAGGAGGAGCTGGAGGTGATGATCTCGATGGAGGTGGTAACATTGACAGTAGCAAACTCAACAGTGCCCTCATTGGTATCAAAAAGTAACAAGTCAAGTGATATCCAACTTGATTTCGAATAAAATTAAATATTTATTATAAAAAATGAAGAAACGAGCAAACAGCAACAAGCAAAACGATGAAAATTTTGAATTTGTTGAACCACCAAAAAAAAACATGAAAAACAATGAAGTTTCATCAACTCCGAGTCATCATCCTACAACCAACAGTGCACCAACGTTATCGGAAATTCCAATTCTATCGTTAAATGATGAGGTTATTTCATCATCATCACCCACAAATAATTCATCATCACAACAAGCCCTAAACTATAGTTCATCAAGTCATTCTTCCTTATCACTACCTAGTAGTAATCAACAGCATGATGGTGGTAAAAATTCAAAGAATGAAATCATGTCCAATTTATATATTCCATCATCTGGTCGATCGGAATGGGATGAGTATTCAATAACTCAATCACCTGCATTTATTGTGTTGAAGGAAATGTTTTACGATTCTCTGGAGGATGACGAAGTTCCGAAGAGTGTATCTTTGGAGAGTTTTACAGAGTGTGTGGAAATGGACGACTCTAATTCTGATACAAATACTAATAATAATAATATTATGGTAGATTGTGAAAATTCTCAAAATGTTGAGAATGCACCAACTGCAGTGAGATTACAAAATGCAGAATTAACTTCTCCAACTAGAAAACAATCTATTTGTGAATCTCCTAGAAATACACATAGAAATTCAATCATTTCTCTGCCTATTTGTAAGGAAATTGAACCAAAGGATATTAAATTGAACATTTTACATTTGAAGAAAAAAGCCAGACATATCAGAATACTTTTGGTGAGACACGGTCAATGTGTCACCAATGTACACAAGACAATTTTACAAGAGAAATCAGATCACTCCATTCCATTGAGTAAAGCTGGTGAAGAACAAGCAAAAGCTGTAAGTAGTCAAGTGGTGTTTATTCACAAATATCATAATATGTACAGGCTGGTGTATATATTAAACGATTCTATGAAGACATGAATAGGAGATTATGGGAAAAGATTCAAAAAGAAAATCTGAAATATACAGACATTTCAAAAAAGAAATTCTCGAGAGAATTGAAATTTGTTTCAAATGAAACAACAGACTTCAAATTTGATAATGATTTGAGTGAGGATGAGGATGAATCAGAAAAATTGGAAAGTGTTACCTATCCATTGAGAGTTAGAATGTGGAATTCGACCTACAATAGAGCTAGAGAAACTGCCAATATTATCATGTCTGAGGCCTCTAACGTAATTCAAGATCAAAGGTAAATAGTTATTTATTGAAAGAATTTTTAACACAAGAACAACCATTCAGAGAGAGCATTCTTCTGGTGGAGCAACAATTTGGTTTATTTGAAGGAGTTCCATTAGATGAATTGAATAAGAGATTCCCACAAGAATTTCAACATTTTGAAAAGCACATTGGATTTTTTGGAAGATTTTATGCTCGTCCTCCATTAGGAGAATCAAGATGTAGGTTTTCAAGTAATTTTTAATATTCATAATTCTTTCACACAGTTGATGTTTCAAAGAGAGTGAAATTATTATTTGAGAAACTCATTTCAGATAGTGAAACAGAGGGTATTAATGATATCATTATTGTTTCTCACGGTGTTACTGTTCGTGCCTTTACTCAGAGTAAGTTTTCTAATTAAATTACATTTTGCTAACAATTTTCAGTGGTAAGTTTTTATCAGAACTTTCAAAATAATTGTAAATTATAATTCATTATCCCATATTTCTAATAATAATATTTAAACACCAGTGGTTGGATTTGAAACCTGAATGGTTCGATGCAGAAGTTAATCCAAACAATTGTGGAATTCGTTTCTTGGATGGCAATAGAGATAGAGGTTATGTATTTAATGGATTTTCACTCCATCACCACACTCCACAACAACAACAACCCAAAACAAGTCAATAAGAAGTAAGAAATTTATTTGACAACTAGTTTGAATCTTGTTCCACGTGTTTAATTTATTTAATACTCGAGCAATTTTTGGAAATTGTTGAAAAATCTGAGAAATTATTAAACATATAGATCAATAGGATGTGATTATTGATTATTTCACTTCATTGACTATCACATGATTAAAAAGGCAACAAAAAATTGACACGAAATGAACCTAAACAATGTCCACGCCCAACTTTCTAACGAAGATGGATTAAACAATACCGTGTGCGATTCAATGTTATTTCAAGGAATGTACAGCATTGAAAAGTATCCCAAGATGGAACATTTAATATGTCCAGATACTTATAGTATGTAGTAGCCAATTGTTTATTTAGAATTTGTTCTTTTATTCGAATGTATTTATTAATATCGATCGGAAACAGTGTCTGTAGGAATTACTTCTCTCTTTCTTCTCTACTACTTCTCACTCATCATTCTCTCGATTATTGGACTAATATTTAAACAAAATTCGAAAAGTATCCGAGCACGAAACCTTTCGCATTCCATTCTAACTCTACTTTCAAGTTTTTTCTTCATCACAATATTCTGTATTAGGACTTTAATTGGAAGAAAGTTATTTCCATGTGCAATCTACTCGTGGTGCTTCTGTCTGGGTCCAATAATGACACTTCCCTCGACGTGTCGATGCATTCGTGTATTTTCGAGTTATAAATTGAATAAGGTCAAGATGAAACTATTTGAGAATCAATTACAACAGAAAGTATTGGAAAGTAAATCTTCCAATATTGAGATGGAAGTGAAGCAAGAGATAGCTCTGGAAAATGAAGTGAATGATAACAATTTGGAAAGTGTGCCAGTGGAAAAGGTGGAATCTTCTAAGAGTTTATCTGATCAGAGTGTTGTGGATACTTATAATATGGAAATACCTGATGAAATACCAAGTAATGCAGCTGTTGCCAACAAGATGGATTATTCCTTGATGAAAACTAATTTTTCCATGAAGTTTAAAATCAAAACATTACAATTCTTGACCAGTTACAAATTTGTGGCGGTTGTGTACATTACTTGCTTTCTATTCAATACACTGTTATGGCTCTTGATGGCTGGTATTGAATTTGGAATTGACAAGACTGGGAAAAAGTTTGAGAATGGAGCTTCTCAATTATTTGTCTACCCTGGAATGTTTGAATTCAGATTTGGATGTGTTTTAACAATTAATGGGCTAATATTGGTGTCTTGCCTTACGCTGATCTATCTCATTTTTGAAATTGGTTCAATAATTCTATTACTAATGGCAGATAGAGATGCCTGGAATATCAAGACTGAATCTATTGTAATTATCATTACGCAAGTAATTGGATTGGCGCTATTTGTAATTTTGGGTAATATTAATGGATATATTACATTGGTTGATTATATTATTCCATATAGTTTATTCCTATTCGCTTTTGCAAGTTTGGAAATTATCATTACAGTATTGAGACCAATTGCTTGGGAGATTTATTTGGACCGTTTCAAGAAGAATAGGTCAGCACGTCTAGATTCAACAGGTAATCTATCCAATAACAAAGATTCGCAAGTAGCAAGCAATTTGGAAGATGAGAATTATTATCAGAAATTGTTGGACTTTGCCAGACGATGTTACTGTCCAGAATCACTTCTCTGCTGGAAATCTATTCAACAATACAAGAAGGAGAATTATCACAATAAGAAAATGGCAGCAGAGTTTATTTTGGAACAATTTCTAACAATTGGTGCTCCTGCAGAATTGAATATTGAAAATGTTGAATTGAGGAAACGATTAATCATTTCAAAAATTGAATCTGAGGAATATTATTTTGGAAATGATTTATTTGAGGAGATTGAAACTCATTGTGTGAATGACTTGGCTGATTTAATTAATAGATTTAAATTTTCAAATCAGTAACGTTTGAGTCATTGAAATACTGAACTAACTCTACTGCTTGGTGAATCTACATTATAAATTGCCTTCCTTAACATTCTTAACATGGCCAATTCATATCCTAATCTAACAATGGATGTGATAGTGAGCCCCTTCGTCTCCAACATGACACTCTCCAACAGATTCACATCAACATCACCAACTTGAGAATTACTTTTCAGATTAGTAGGAAGACCATTCTTAGAAAGCATTGAACTGACTTCTTCTTGATTGCTAGATTTGTAAACTAATTGTTTAAGTATTCTCCACACAAGATCTGTATAGGCAGTGATACAATCTCTGGCATCTTTCAAATTTGTGTCGATTCCCATATCAAGTGCATATTTTACAATTTCTGGACAATAGAAATAACAAGCAAAGTGTAAGATTGAGTATCTATTATGTTTGTCACAGATTTCATTGATTTGAAACAAATTATTCTCAATCAAATATTGCACAAAATCAACGCGATTAATAATGCAACTCTTTTTCATGATAATTCTTGGTGATAGTCCATTTTTTAAGAGTTCTATCATTTCTTGTAATGTGGTTGATTTGGTAATTCCTTGATCAATAATTGGTGAGTTGCTGGTGCCATATCCTTTTACTTTATCCTCCTTTAACAAAAGACATGCCTCTCTCACCAAATCTAATGTTTCTTCTTCTTCATGATGGGTTGTGCAAATGTAGAACAATATTTGATTTTCCATGTTTCGATGTACAAGAATTTGCCTTCCATCTCGTTCATGTTCATAAAGAAAACCTTGATTGATCGCAATATCAAACTCTTCGTCAGTGGATTGTATCAAGTCGAAATTTAACATTTTTTTCGATCGTTTCTCTTAGTTTCCACAGATTCTTATTAAATATAAAAATAAACTTGAGTTGGGAATTCACTTTTTACTGAGTCTTTAAATACAATAATAATACAATAATATAATATACAATAGTCCTTAATCAATGCAACATCTAACATCTATGGATATGATCCAAGAATTGTAATATCCCATGCTTCATTTAGACCAACAGAGTTTGCCATTGAAACATTTCCAGAAGCATCACCAGAAATATACTTTCCTGTCCAAGATTTGAAATAATAACCACCAGGACATGGGAAAGCTTCAAACTTTTCCCAATCTCCAATGTTAGCTCTATTATCAACGAGGATATTAGTATCTTCACAACACAAGTAAGTGTTCCAAACTGTTTTAAAGGCACGAAGGAAACTATCTGCCCAATCGGTATGGTTGTAAAATGTGAAAGTTTCCCAAGTGCCAGCAGCTGGACGATTGGCAACAATTTTTCCATTCTCAGAACATAAGAACATGCCAGTGGCTGCATTCTTCAAGTTGACTATTAACCAAATGAAAATACCACGTGGAATTCTTGTGAAACCATTTTGGGTAATGAATGCTGCTGAAACGTTGGCTGTTCCTTGATTGTTAACGAAAGTTTTAAAGTCAACTTTGATTAATTGGGATTGATTTTTGAGTAAGTGCTCTCTCTTGTCAACACCAGTTGTAATTGGACCTTGATAATCAGTGTGTTCATGATTCAAACCACCACTCTTAATAAACAAGTAGGCATTGACATAGTTCTTAATGCTAACAACCTTGAGACGTTCTTGATCAACCAAGATTAACATATGTCTTTAGATTTGGATGAATCAAAATACCACAAATAAACTTACTTTGCTTCAAACTTGTTAATACCCAATTTCTTCATTGCCTTCTTGAATTCTCTTCTTCTCAAGAATCCATTACGTTCTTTATCTACAGAATAATAGGCATTCTGTGCTTCTTGAGTTAATTGTTCAATTTGATCCATCATTTCAGTTGGCTTTTCAATGTTAATAAGAATCAAGAAGTCAACAATACTTACAACTTGGAAACCTTCAGGTAACCATTTTGGTTTGACATCTTGAAGCCAGAATTGTGGAGATTGCATTGTTAATTGTGTTTGTAGTTTTTTAAATGTGAATAATTAAGAATAGAATCAGTGATCAAATATTTAAATGTTTAATTGACATCATTACAATGCAATTAAAAGACTCTTCGAAATTTACTGCTCCTTATTGGAAATGAGACGAAAGTTAGAGTAATGAATGGACGATAAGGGAAACTTCTGTTTTCGCAATATTACCAAAATATTATTTTTCATTCCACTTTAGAAGTTACATTTCAAACTTATCAACAATGTTGACATTTAACTTTCATGAATTCATGAACAGTCCAATGGAGAAGAAGTTTGTCTCATTAGTAAAGTTATCAATTTCGTTATGTTTTTACTGTAAACATGTTAAAAAAATCTTACCCTTTAAGTAAATTGCACAGTCAAAAGGTAGGGTGGTACGTGGATCGAACACGTGACCATCGGATGTCTGCTGCAAATAACTTTGCAATCCGGTGCTCTACCGCTGAGCTAACCACCCATTCAATATTCTTCAAAACTAAATCTAATACGACAATTTATAATGACAATTTGCTTTATGTTAAATATTTTGGTTTGCAAATTTGGAAAGAGTCAAATTCATAAGTGAAATGAAACCTAATATATTTGGTTATAACTTCTTTTTCTTGAGATTTTGCAACAAATCGTCATTCTCATTAAGTCTCTTAATATGACCACTGGTTAAAATATTCTTACAAATGCTCTTCTTGGATTTATGTTTTAAATTCAATTGTTGTTTTTTTGCATAAACGAGTAAGTCATAGTAATGAAATTGATATAATTGTTCCAAAGAAATACCTTTCTTAATATCCCAAATGTATTCTTTAAATAATAAATGTTTAAATCTAGAGTAATGAGGATAAATAACACCAAACATTGAATGAATGTTTTCAAGTTTGGAACCAAATGAAGAGATCTTCAGTTCATTGCATAAAGAAGAGATGTTCTCTTCCTTCATATTACCAAATCCGATTCTCATACCTAATATTAATACTTCTTCCATGATAGCTGTAATTTTTCCTTCCTTAGAGGACTCATCTTTCATTCTTAATAATTCCAAGAATCTGTCTAAACCTTCAGTGTTGAATAAATTGAGAAATTGTTTCAGGTTGGTGTTTGGATTAGAAAATAAAATCTCTATTAAACATGTTTGCAATTGAGAAAAAGTGGATAGATTATTGTCCAGAACTATTGATTGTAAATCTTGTTTTTCCAACTCCAACACAAAAGCAAATTCTCCAATTCTATTAGAGAGTCTCAAAATATCTCTTATCATTTTAGACTTGGAACTTTCGTCAGTGGTAATGTTGTTAGATTTACAATATTCTGCAAGCTGATCCAATGTAAATCTATTCAACAATAGTCCCATTCCATCCTGTATGTGAGTATAATAAAATGCTTTTTCGATAGACCTAATAATTGATTCTGTAATGATGGTAGTAATAAATCTATAATCATTATTCTTATCAACTTCGCGAACAGAAGCAAAGTATTCATCCTTAATTCCTGGCAATATTGATACCGGAGGAATTCTACAATACTGAAATAAAACTAAGTTCATGATATATCTTGCCATTCTTCCGTTGTAATCTCTGAATGGGTGAATGTTAACAATTTCATAATGGATGTAAATTGCAGCCTTAATTCGTTCTTCCAACGAATTGGCGCTGGTGATTTTGGAGTAGAAAATCATTAAAACAGATGCCAACTTGCTTCTTATTGTATCATAAGGTGCAAACTTGTGGGAAGATCCTTTAACATAAACATTTACACTTCTGAATCTTCCTGCACCCTCTCCAAGACCAATGGCCATTTCTTTGTGTTCTGTCAACAGTAGCTCTTCATCGAGTGTATAAACCTTTCCATTAATTATATCGGTTTGGAATCTTTCATGCATCTTTCTCAGTACTCGTATTTCTTTAGTATCAGGAGTGAGTGAATCTTCATCCTCACTTTCGGATGCCTCAAATTCGTCCTTTGTTGCTGTGAATATTCCCTTCCAATGCACTTGAGTTAAAGGAAGCGTCCTTTGCCAGGGTGATAATAGAACAAGTGTTCCTTTCTAAGGAATTTAATTGGTTTAGCCTTGATTCAATGGTAGAAAATACATTCTCAAACCTCTCTTTAACAATAACGAACTTTAAATCTGTCTGAATATCAACTTGATCTATAAAAGCCTTAAATTCGGATACAGTTTTAACCTTGCCGTCTTTTCCTTTCAAACCAATAAATCTACCTTTAAATATACTTTGTTGAAGAGCAATCCTCTTGATCAATTTCCAAATATCTGCTTCAGAGGAGTTCTTTAGTTGGGAAAATTTGAATGGATGCGTTTTAATATGAATAGAATAATCGATAGGGAAACAATCAATTTCATATCTGTCGTTCATAAGGTAAATGTTATGATCTTTTGATTTTAGAGGTACAAGTTCTTGTATTGATTGTGTGCGTTGGTTCTCAATTTCACCAATATAGCTTACCATCTCGTAGGCTTCAAAAATTCTCGTTGGTGATGAGGCCATTAGTATTTTTATTAAGTAGTTTGTTATTTTTTTTAAAGTACTTAAGGCTTTACAATTTAAAGCCGATATTAATATGCACCAACTTCAAATGAGAGTTGAACCACATGTGTATTAGTTATAGCTAGGTAGAATAGCAACATTGACTGTAACATTCCATTCAATAATTGGATTAAATATATGATTATTCGAGAATATCAAGCAGAATTCACCAAATCCTTTGAATAAAGCAGAATCCTCCCAGATTCTTGGGAATTTTAACAAAAAAAATACACGACAACTTTTGTCTCACATCATTATGGTTGCACCACCAATAACGCAACAAGCGTCATCATCAGTGATGAGTGCATTTCCTCCGATGCTAAATTCTCTCTATCCCATCCCATCAATAATTAATGAAATTTCATCCTACACACTTTTGCAAAATAATTCCAATAATAATACTAATGGAACGAATGGTGGAGATAAGGTTCCGGAATGGTTTGGATGGGTTGGAGTTTCTGTTTGGTAGGTATCATCATTATCATTATTGATGACACATTTCAGTATTTTGACATGGGGAACTTTTGTCTTGCCGATGAAAGTTAAATGGGTTAGAAATGTTGAATTTGATCCGATTGTATTTCAATTTTACTTTTCTCTTGTGGTTGGATTGATGAGTTTAATTGTTCTAGCTTGGAATGAGTTTAAATGGAGTTGGTGGGCTGTGGCAGGAAGTGGAATTTGGGTTCCTTCTTCATTGTTTTCCATTGTGGCTGTGGAGTATCTTGGAGCTGCTGTTGCTCAATCAACTTGGGCCGGTTGTGTGATTATTACCAATTTCATTTGGGGTGTTACATTGTTTCAATCTAAAATTGGAAATATTTATTTGACTGTTTTTGGATTGGTTATTATGATTATTGGTATTTTTGGAACTGCCACTTGCAGTAAGTGGAATAATCCAGAACCTGTTGCTGAAAAACAATCTGAAACTTCAATCAATGCAAGTGTTGAAGAGTCTGGACAGGAAAATAATACTGAAACAACACCACTTTATCAACAAGAAAATTCCACAAATCAACAGGAGAATATTAGTAGTGATGTTCCTATTTATCCTTCTGTGAATGATCCAACACTATATTCTGAATTATCAGAGATTGAATCAACAATTGGAGTTTATGAAACCAAATCTCAAAAGTTTATCAAGATTTTGAAAAATTCTAAACGATATTTCATTGGATTAGTAGCCTCGGTATTATGTGGAATAACTGGTGGAAGTATGTTCGTACCATCTCGTTTAGATGAAGATACAGGACTTGTCTATATGGTCGCCTTTGGAATTGGATCGTTTGTCATTACAACAGCAATTTTAATTGTTTACTACGTTTATTACTTGATTAGATTTAAAAAGAGAGTTCCATTCCATCTCAAACTTTCAATATTTCCTGCATTAACAGCATTCTTGTGGCAAACTGGAAATTTCTTTGCCTATTATGTTTCAGTTTCTCCACTTGGATTGACCATTGGTATGCCACTTACTGAAACAGCAATGGTCATTACAGGAATATGTGGATTAGTATTTTTCAGAGAATTAAGAGGATGGAAGGCAATTCTTCAATTCTTTATAAGTGTTTTGGTGCTTTTAGTGCCAGGATGTATTTTATTGGCCTTGTTTGGAAAAACTACAGAAATACCAACCAATTAGAAATTCTAAGGAGAAATACACATTGTGTGTATCAAACTATTTCTTTCTAATGCATATTCGAATTTCAATCAACTTTGGATGTAAGGGTGCAAATGCAAAATTGAACATTAAAAAAAATGTCTCAAGATCTAGCGCCACTCTTTCACTCATCGGATCAGGAATTTATTTGTTACTTTCTATCCATGCTTGCCAATGTAAAAGATTTGGAAAATTGTAAATTAATTTCTCAAGAATGGAATGAAATTATGCAAACATATTCTGATGAAATTTATTCAAATCGAATGGAAGTAATGATTAAAAGAGATAAATCATTGAAGGGATTACAGATCATGTTGAAGGCTGAATGTAAAAAATTTAGAAAGAATACTGTATGCTTGTTTCGATTATTTATTCAATTGAGTGAAAAGTGGAAAGTTTTTTGTTTGTCAGGGTACTTTCCATTACTCACTGGTTTCGATAGTTATTTAATTAAATTTATTAATTGCTCTTCTAGAGGTATTAGACGAACGGTCGATGAATTGGAAAAATTGAACAAGGTATGGGAAAATCCTGAAAATAGATCAACATATTATTCATTCCATTCTGAGAGGGATTTGGAAGATTCTTTTAGAATTCATCATAGAACTTGGATTAATATATTGGAAAAAACAAAGTGGAGTATTGGATTGGATAGGGATGAAACTAAGGAAATAACTAAAGGAATGTCAAAGCTTGGAGGAAGTGCAGACATTCCAAAAGAATGGTGTGGTCAATTATCAGATCATTCCCTGATTTTACAATTGAATTGTGAAGAATTGAATAGAATATTGCCAACGAATTCAGAATTGAAGATTCCATCACATGGTTGGATATTCCAAAGACACCCCTATTGTTTTGGTATGACGTTACAGATGGAGATTTTGATTTCTATTATAAATCCATGGCATTTAACACGGACACTAAAAATTACCTGTTTGGATATGGTGATGCAGAGTATGTTCCCAAAGAGAAAAGTTTATTTGCCTCTTTATTTGGGGATAGGTTTGGATTTGCAGATGGTGATTGCTTATATGTTAGTTGTGCCAAGAATAGAGATTCAACATTTGATTTTGACACACTGGTTGCTAAGATTTCTTATTAACTCTTTAAATAACAATCCTTTGCAAATTTGGTTTTTGTCCTCAATTAAATTTATAAAAATATTTGCAAAACAAGAACTTAGAAAAATATTGGAACAATATTATTAGGAAAAATTCTAGTTGGTACATCATCATAAATTTATTTCAAAGTGAAACTTTAAGTTTTTAAAATGTGAACGATTTGAATCATTTCAATTAAGATTAATTGAATTGATACTTTCCCAATAATAAAACACTCAGGTATTTATTAGAAACATTTTTTATGAACTATTCCAGGTCCAATCTCTTCATATTCGGCTTTGGACATGCACATTGATCCAAAAGTTGACATGGACGAAAGAATTCTTCCACCAATCCAAGAAGAATTATTTCTATCTGGTGGGGTGACAATATTGAATTCCACAGAGGAAGAAGTAATTTCTTTCAACTCCTTAAACAATCTCTCAGAAAATCCTTTAATTTGAGTAGACCCTCCTGCGAGAAGAATGTTGGAATACAATTGCTTTCGAATATCGAGGTCACACTTTCGGATAGAGTTGTGTATGGATTCATGAAGACCTATTTCTTCCATTTCCACCATGTTTGGTTGGAATAACAGTTCTGGACAAATGAATCTTTCGCAACCTAGATTGATAACATTTCCATCAGGCAACTCATATGAGGAATCTGCTGTTGGAATCGAACTTTCGAATAATTTCTTTTCAGAATCACAATCTAAAGCTACAAAACACATCTTTTCCTTAATATCATTCACAATATCTCGTTCAGCACTTATAAAACTATAACCACGATCCATCAACAATGTCATCAAATGATCAGTCACATCGCTACCTGCCAATTCTTGTCTAGAAATGGCATGTGGCAAGGCAAGACCTTCATAAACTGGAACAACATTTGAAACTCCACCTCCTGAATCTAACACTATTCCACTACTTCTACCTGAAGCGAACAAAGACAACACAGCTTGAACAGCAACACACATTGCTGGTACACGAAACCTTTCGAACATTAATTGGCACATCTTTTCACGATTTGCTGTTGGATTCAATGGAGTTTCTGTCAATAAAACACAATGCTCCTCCATAGCAATGTTCATTTCCAAAATAAGATTATGGCTCCATATCTTTTCCATAAATTGCCAATCAGTTACAATTCCTCTCTTAATAGGATATTTCAATGAAGCAATTCCCCTTTTGGACAATGCTTCATGGCCAACATATCCTTCCCTAGCGATACCTGGTCCTATATAAATCGGTCTACCTCCTACTCTGCCAAACACTGTAGGAAATACAGAACCAGGAATGTCTTCAAATGAGAAACCAACTCTGGAATTGGAAGAACCATTGTCAATGATTAATGTTGGATTTTGACTGGGTTCACAGAGAACAGGTTGATAATTCTTGGTAGAGAGTGGTGGTGGTAGACTTTTGTTCATTTTTTCAAATTTATTGGATTTGGTTCTTCTTCACAGTTCATTGAACGAAAGTTGAGTAACACTACAAATTTCTCACAGATTTTGGCAGGGAGTTGATACAAATAAACGGTGAGATTCAATGAGACATAATTACTTTTTGAATTTTCCTTATATTTGAAACTTAGACTCAGCTGAGTAAGTATTACTTTCCTTACTTACTTTCATTTAAGTATGTATTATAAAAATTTGCTGTTTTCTATTGTCGTATTAGATTAAGTTTTGAAGAATATTGAATGGGTGGTTAGCTCAGCGGTAGAGCACCGGATTGCAAAGTTATTTGCAGCAGACATCCGATGGTCACGTGTTCGATCCACGTACCACCCTGCCCTTTTGTTTTTGCACTTTTTATTTGAAAACAACTTGTTTTTATTCTATTTGAGCTGTAATTTGTTTTGGAGCTCCTTTTTGTTGCAGGTCTTCAAAATGTAACTTCACTTCCGTGTGGATGTATGGATGTAAGTGCCGTGAAATTAAATTCATCTTATTCTTCGTCTCGTTAATTATAATTTTTGAAAAAATATTTGTCAAAGATGTTAAGCTGACGAAGAAGAAGTCTTAATATAGTCCTTCCACTTTCTAGAGTTATTGAATCGATAATATGAATCCATCAAGTTTTTGTAAACCTCTGATTGAATATTTGTGAATATTCGACCACTACCCAATTGTGAAATTAATTGTTTCAACTTTTCTTCCTTATTCGAATCAATATTTGGAAAATATCTAGTATTCGAATCAGCCTTAAATACACGAGGAAGTTGAGTAGCCTTTAAATTCAATTCATCCAACAAAGCCATCAATTCCCTAAAATTAGTCAACTCTTGTTGAATCACTTTTGTTGGAACGTTGAGTTCAAACACTGAATCACTATTGGAAAGGTATAGTTTGATCATTTCCTTAATTTTCATTACTTTGGCTCTGATATGTGCGTTGTGGATCTTTCTCAATTTGATAAGATCTTCTGTGAATAGTAGATTTTCCACAGAATATTCTTCTTTCAGATATTGATAGAATAAACCTCTTTCAGTTTTGTGGGAAAGTACATAATCAATTGATTCAGAACAAATTGGTGAAGAAATCAATTGCTGTAATGAAAATATAGTATCAGAATCATTTGAATCTTTCTTATTTGCCCTTTTGGTCTTGAACTCAACCAAATAATTCCACACAGTTCTTGAAATTGTAATTCCAGGATTACAAAGTACACCTCCAATAAAATTCAATCCAATGGAAAGGAGTATTGAACTCGCCAATTGTTGAGAATAATTTGCGTTAACTCCAATTGGAAGCACAATTAAAAAGGTAAGGACCACTATAAAGTCCAATATTAATACTCCCAATACTTCGGTTCTGTAAACGAAAGGATCAGTTTCATAAAAATAGTAAATGAGAAAGTTTTCTGTCTTTCTATTCTTTTCTCTATTGATTCGAATAATTTTTCTATATTTGATTAAACTAGTTACAAAATCGAATATTAAAGTAATGGGAATGAAAACAAAAATTAGGAACAAGATGGCAATCGAATAATATCCAATCTGAACTCTATCATTATGTCGACAATATCCACTATACGAATCCCAAGAAATGAAAAAATTACTCCAAGTGTCTTCTGTACGAATAATAATTACAATTGTAACGAGAATATACCACACAGTCAACCAGAATCCAATGTAGCTCAGCTCAATAATTTGATATTTTAAAATCTTTTTAAGGAAATTAACAAATTTTCCCTTTTTTGAAATTTCTTCGTAACTAGTTGAAAGTGCATCTTCATCAGTTGTTAAATCGAGGGCAATATCTTCGTAGGCTAAACTGGACGAATCATCATTCTCTCCAGTTTTAGATAATCTTGGAGTTGATACTTCTGAGGATTCTTGTTGCAATTGTTGTTGTGATTGTTGTGAATTATTAGATTCTAATAAATTGGAAGTGGAAGGAGCACTAGATACTGAGCTAGCACTAGTGGTTGGTGAAGATTCACCTGATTGTTTCGTCAAATTTTCAGAAGACGTGTTTGTTTCCACAAAAAGAATCTTCCTTGAGAGTCGTTTCATCAAACTAATTGGTTTCTGATCTTGAAGATTCGTCTCTGAAGAAACTTCTTTCAATTTGAGATCTTTAAACTTTTCAACTTGTCTCTTTTTGAATTCTTCCAATGATCTAGCCACTGCCTGTTTTCTATCTTTCAACAGCAACAATAACATTAGTTTAATTATCTGAATCGAATACATTGCCAATCCAATAACAGTACATCCATAAATAAAATAGGCATCAATGAAACAATAAATGTTTTCAAAGAGTGCAAAACTTTCCAGCCACGTTGGAACACCATACGAATTCAAATTATTTCTGTAAAATGTTTGAGCATCAACTTGTTTCGTCAACTTTTCTGAAATAAACTGATTCCAATAACTTTGAAAGAATAAAGGTGCACCTGGAAGAATTTCAATAATTCCCTGAATGTGTCCAATGATATTAACCAATACCAACGCCATAGAAATATAAAATTTTGATTTGATTGGTTCCTTCTTTCTAAACGAAAGTATCAAAATTATTAGAAAGAAATTAAATAAAGTTAGTAACACTCTGATAATGATTGTGATTGTTGGATTCGTTCGCATTGCTTCAGTCATGACTAATTCGTCCTGTGCGGCTGTTATATTTGTTGTAATGTTTAGAATAAGATTTATAAAATCCGAAGTGTTATAATTATTCAAAATTACTCCAATGGGTGGCGTTAAATTATTAATAATACTGTTATCATTGGATGAACTGTTATTGGATGATAGATAATTCAAAGATGATGATTGACTAGCATCTATTTTCATTGTTGTTTCTAACGAAAGAGCCGAAACTAAACTAAACATCTGTGTGGTAGCCACAATACAGGAAAAGATGAAGAAATAAATTGTTGGCATTTTGTCTTGTCGAACAGACAGGATAATTTGTTTTGCTTTTTTCAAAGGGTCAAATATTAAAAATGAATTTTTCCTAAAGATGCCACACGTCACATCAAGTAAGTCAATACCTTTCTTATCTGACTTTTCAAATTTAAACGTTATAATTAAGGCCTTTACGGAAATATCAGAACTCCCCTTTGAGTAATATATTAGAAACCAAGTTTCCAATTTACTCAAGCAAATCAACTAGTTGCTAGAGAATGCCTTAATGTGAAATTAATTGCGAAAGAGTTGAAGAAATTGCAGTTGATGCGAATCGATTAACATTCGGCATTCAACAGTAATAAGAAGACTATTCCATCAATGCTATCCTCACTGAATATTTCATGTACAAGTATTTGATAGCCCTTAATAATAAAAATGTCCCAGATCAAAAGTGATGATGAACTTTGCAAAAAAAAAATGCTCCAATCAACAACCACCAAAACTACTGAAAAGATTCTAAACATTGCACTCATGGGTTGTACTGATAGTGGAAAATCTGAGGTTGCAGGACTCTTCCGACACTTTCATCAAAATCCAAATCGAAATTCCTATCCGTGTCCCACACGAACCGATCGATACTATCCGAGAAAGTATTCACCATACTTTATTGCTACACGTTGCAGTAGAGATTATTATGTCTCTGCTAATATGGCCTTTGTTTCTTTCGAGAAGGATGAAAACTCTTCCTTGCTGCAATTTATTGATTCTGGAGCTTTGTCCATGTATATAAAGAATCAGTTGGGAGCCATTTCGATGGCAAATGTGGCAATTCTCATAATTAATACTCATTTCATGATGGATTCACACGACGAGTATGTTGAAGAGTTGAAAAATCAATTGATTGCTGCGAGAGTTAATCAAGTTAGGGAGTTTGTTGTTTGTGTGAATGGAATGGATTTGTGTAATTATGATGAGAATGAATTTAAAAGATCAATTGAGAGGATTGAACCAATTTTCAAAGAGATTTTCGAAAAATCGCTAACAGATTACCAAATAATACCAACCAGTATATTTACAGAGGATAATTTACTCTGTCATTCGCAACAATTAAATTGGTATAAGGGACCAACACTATACGAAAGCCTTGAGATGATATCTCAATCGATGGTTTTTGAAAAATACTCTGGTTTAAGATTTATTATCATTAAGGAGATGTTCATTTCTGGAGTTGGAAAAATTATTTGTGGAAAAGTTCAATGTGGTCAACTAAGAAAAGGACAAACTGTTTTACTTCCACTTAATAATAGTTCATTTGTAACTAGACAGGTTATTGACCTTGAGATTAATCATGAAAAAGTAGAACAAGTAGATAGTAATACAATTTGTGGAGTGTATCTTGGAGATATTCCACATAATCTAGTCAGAACAGGTTTTATTGTAAGTGATGAACTAGATCAATTGAAACCTGTCGTTTCGTTCGAGGCCGAAGTTGTTCTGAGGGCAGGAGTCAAGGGATTTAGAGTTGGTGCCATTCCTATAGTTAGTTGTTCCCTTCAGCACATCTCTTGTCGTATCAATTCCATTCAAGAACAAAAGAAGGTGAAAATTGTAACCATGACACCAATCCATAACATTTTATTTATGGAAAATTATACGGAAAAGGGTGGATTTTTAGGAAGATTTCTATTAAGGGAGAATGGAAAAATCATTGGCTATGGAAAGGTCATTCATGTTCATTTCAATTAATTGTATAACTATTGACAGAACATTTTTCATTCAAGGATTGAAAATTGGCATGAAAATAATTCACATCCTACTATAATTTAATTTACAATTCATCTCTCAATTTTCTATACATGACATCACTTCTCATGACATATTTAAACTCATTTGGATCATTCAATAAACAACCCTCATGATAATTAGCATGAACGAACATTAAAACTTGACCAGTTCTTGGTTTCACACTGTGCAATATGTCATATCTCGATGTGAGAAAGTTTGTTTCACCTCCCGAGTGGACATCATTCAGATAGAGAAGCACGGTGATGAATGATCTCTCGACACAAACTTTCTTCTCACCATTCACTTCAAGATGGAATAAAGGTTTCTGATAACAGCCATCGTAGTGAGGAGCAAAGTATTCTCCTGCTGCATACTTGTAAAATCTAATTCTTTCATTCATACCACATAATGAAAAACCATCCTGAGCACATATTTTCAATTCTGAAACATCTTGTGGAAGATATTGAGCCAACCTTTCGAATAACATATTTGAATATTTGTTATTATCAATCATGGCTCTCGAATTATTTCGCACTTCCTTGTCCAATGTGAAGGTATTTAGTCCAGTTGTGAGTGGGGCTTCTCCATAACCAATTTCTTCACTTTCTTTTAAAAGTTGAGCACATTCTTCTGGAGTGAAAGCATTCTTAATCAACCAAATGTTATTCGAATCAATAACTTCAACTTCTGGTTGTAGGGTCTTAGTAGTGGTATTAGACATGTTTTTTTTAAATTGAATATTTGAGATAATAAATGAACTAGAGCATTAAATAGTCGTAAGATTAAACTGCAGTTCAGAGTTCATTGAATCAATGAACATTGATACTTTTCAGTATTAATACATTTTAAATAATAACCATTACAGCATATATCCACTCATTCAACAATACGAAAGACAATGAACATTATTTTGAAATTCTTTTTTGAATTGGGTATTATCGTAGATGAACTTAATAAAATTTACAACTTTAAAAAAAAATACAACAACTCATGTCGATGGCCCAAAAACAAACAGTAGTGATTGATAGTGGTTCCTTTAGGATGAAGGTTGGTCTTACTCCATCATTATCATCATCAGAGGAAAAAGAAGAATTTAGGATGTGCTTTCCCGCAACAGTTGGAAGACCACACTTAGCAGGAGTCATGATCGGATCAAAGAGTGAATATTTTGGAGATGAAGCTGTTTCAAAGAGAGGAATGTTGAAACTAACCTATCCTATTAGTAAGGGAATTGTTAGTAATTGGGATGATGCTGAAAAGATTTGGAAATATTCTTTGGATGATTTGAAGAGAATTAATGAGGAAATTGGAAAATCCGTATTAATGACTGATTCTCCGTTAAATACTTTGGAAAATAGAGAAAAGATGGTTGAAGTGTTGATTGAAAAACTCCAGGTAGATGAATTGTGTTTGGAAAATCAAGCTTGCCTTTCTATACGAGCTTCTGGAAGAGAAAGTGGAATTGTGTTGGATATTGGACATACAGTTACTTCAATTGTTCCAATCATCAATGGAAAGGTATTGAAGGAAGGAATTATGTCTTTAGATTTTGGTGGACACAATTTAGATCAGTATTTCCTCAGATTGATGGCAGAAAAGGGATTGATCTATTCTACTGTTGATTGGGAAATGTTGAGAGATATTAAGGAGAGAATCTGTTTCGTTTCTCAAGATTATGAATCTGAAATCAAAGCACCAACTGAACAATATTATGAAACACCAGATGGCAGTATGATTAGTTTGGATGGTGAGTGTATCAGATGTCCAGAAGCTCTTTTCAATCCAAATGCTATTGAAAATGGTTGGGATTGTGGAAGCCCTTCATGTTTACGTGATTCTCCACAATTTGATCCTACCACTGTTCAATCTAGTACTGGTATTCACAGTGCCATCTACAACTCAATCATGTCATGTGATGAAGGTGTGAGAAATACCTTGTTTAATAACATTGTTCTTGTTGGTGGCAGCTCTCAATTTAAGGGAATTTCTCAAAGATTAACTAAGGAACTTGTGAAATTAAATTCTGGTAATGAATGTAAAGTTAGTGAGCCATTGGGATCAACTGCAGCTTGTACAGGCGGAATGATGATGGCCTCACTTTCGACATTCCCATCCCTGTGTTTGACAAGTACTGAATATAGAGAATATGGAGCAAGTATTGTTCAAAGAAAATTTTTGTAAAGTAAATAAAAAGCATTCATCATGTTAATAGGGACCTTTTCTTTTACTGACCGTTTTTGTGGTTTGTTTCCCACTCACTGCACTACCACCACTTGCTACAACTCTAGAATCTGAAGCTGGAATATCTAAATCCTCAACATTTTCCAACATGCCACGAACATGCTCAGAACCAAGAGCATTAAAAGCTGTAATAATCATTTTCCAAACATTAACCAAAATTTGACTACTCATTCCAAAATGTTGTTTCAGTTTCAACACTGATTTCATATTAATATCTCCACCACCGTAACCAGTACAATAATCAACTTCCTCTTCGTTTGAAAATAGTTGCAATGATATTGAGCCAGGTTCCAGAACACATGAGGCGCTGAATTCTCCATCAGATCCTTCTTCCATTGGATCATACCTCATATTGGATGTAAACGAAATGGTCATATTTTTCGAAGCAGTACCAAATTTAATAGTTATTTCATCCTCCACCGTTTCTGAACTATATCCTGTATCTGTATTGGAGCTTGATTCCTCAACCAATACAGTATTTCCAAAATAATGGTCAAGCAAAGCAGAAAAACCCGACTGCGTGATTTTTTGTTTCACCAATGCCGTATTCTCATCCTCTTCCGAATCATCATCATTATCTGAATCTTCAATGGTAATTACTTCCTTCTTCTCTACAATTTCCAAAGCTTGATTGGATAACTTTATAAAAGCATGTACCAATTTTCCAGCATCGGATTGGTTTGGAAAATATTCCAATATAAAGTTACCTAAACTCTTCAGGAGAGTTTTGAAATGTAGTGAATAAAATCTAATAATATTTTAAATTTAAAAAAAAATGAAAAAAGTTGAAACCAATTCTTCATCTTCTCCACCCTCTGCCAATACTAGGAAGAGGAAAGAGATGGAAAGTGTATCGTCATCATCTTTGGAAATAAAACAAAGAAAAGTTGAGGAGAAGAGAATCCATCCCTTTGTATCAACTTGTTGCAGAAAAACAAAGGAAAGAATATCGAGAGCCAAGAATCAGAGGTATGCATTCAATGCTATGTCATCAAATTTAATATTAAATTGATATGGAATTCATATTATTATTATTAGATTGTTTCTGATTGAGAGAAAGGATAAAACAGAATTATCGGAAAAATTCTTGGTTCTTGGATCTACTGGTAATGTTTACACTGTAAATATTTGTAAGGAACCAAATTGTTCATGCCCTGATTTTGCAGGTGGCTATTTGTGTAAACATATTGTAAGTTTTTAAATGATTTTTGAGTTTTGGTCAACTAAGTGTCCACGACATAGCTATTTGTTTACTTGAAAGTTCTTCGTGTTGATCCAAAATCTAATTTGATTTATCAAAATGCTCTTCTTTCTTCTGAATTGAGACAAATATTTGAACATGCTCCTGCTATCATGTCTACTGCTGATGAACGTGTTGTAAAAACTTACAAAGTTTTTGAGAAGGGAGAAAATGACGATGATGAAGACAAATCTGATGAAAAAAAGAGACGACCATTTGATGATGAAACACATTGTCCAATTTGTTATGAATGTTTTAATGGAGCTGAACAGAAATCAGCAAAATTCTGTAGAGTTTGTGGAAATAACATTCACAACGAATGTTTGAACATGTGGAAATCGCATAATTCTAAATTCCCTTGTCCTGTTTGCAGAGCTCCACAACTTGGAATGGTGCAAAATAAGGCAACTGTAAGAATGAATGAAGGATATGTGAATTTGTCTGATTATCAGCCAGGAGTATCAAGACGAAGAGACTTTGTTGATTTTGACACTTATATTCATGGATATGAAGATGAGGATGATGAGGATAATGAGGATGAGGACGAGGAGGAAGAAGATGAGGACGAAGATGATTTTTAACATTGGAAATGCAAAATTTGCTATGGTTTGTAACTATTAACAATCCAAAGCTGTTCCAAATCAATTATACCTAAAGTTCATCATGCTCATGAAAAGTTCCAATAAACAGAACGGAATTTTATTTCAAAAATTAAAATCAACAATGATAGCAGGAGATAACGAAGCAATAGTAATAGACAATGGAGGTTATAGGACAAGAGCTGGATTTTCTGGTGAGGATGGTCCGAGACTTGTTTTTCCTTCAATTATTGGCCAAGTTAGGAATACAACATAATAAATCATCAACGAGAAGAACATTGTTTGGGAATTGATTATTTTGTTGGAGAGGTAGCCAAATTAAAGAGAGAAGATTTAATATTGAGAAAGCCAATAGAAGGGAGGAAAATATCAAGTTGGGATGATATGGAAATGATTTGGAATTTTGTATTTGAAGAGATGAAGGTGGATCCTTCTTTACAGAGAGGCGTTCTATTGAGTTCCAGAAAACTATCGGAAGAAGGATAGAGAACAAATGACTGAAATAATGTTTGAAAAGTTTAGAGTACAGGGTTTGTATTCGACTAGTCAAGCTGCCTTGTCTGTATTTGCATCTGGCAGAACTACTGGATTAGTTTTGGACTCTGGTGATGATGTAACTCATTCAGTTCCTGTGTATGAGGGAAGTGCATTACCTCATGCTACTTTGAGAATGGATTTTGGTGGTAGAGAGTTGACTAATTACATGATGGAGATGGTAACGAAAAAGGGACTTGTAGATAAGGAAATTGCAAGGGATATTAAGGAAAATGTTTGTTATGTAGCTCTCAATTATGAAGAAGAATATCGAAAAGTCTCTGAATCTCAAGAGTCTGTTGAAAAGATATTTGAATTACCAGATGGAAATCACATCAATTTGGACTGTGAAAGATATCAGTGTCCTGAAATATTCTTCCAACCAAAACTGTTCAACATTGAATCAGAGAACATCATTGAAACAATATGTAACACAATTACCAAAAGTGATCTTGATATTAGAGCTGATTTCAGAGCAAATATTATTCTTTCAGGAGGTGGAACGATGTTTTCTGGAATGGATAAGAGAATTTCCAAAGAATTGATTTCACTATTTCCTGAATACAAATACAAGATCAAAGTTGCGCCTCCTTTGGGTGATGAATCAGTTTGGCTTGGTGGCAGTCTGATGGCTAGTTTTTCATCATCTCAGAATTTGTGGCTTACTGATTTTGAATATCAAGAAGAGGGTCCAAGCATTGTTCATAGAAAATTCTATTGAAATGTTGTTCGGTTACTTAGAGTAGACAGACACAATGCAGATCAACGTTTTACAGGTAATTCAAAGTTGCAGTTATCGGAAGCAAATCGACACTCGTGTCTATTCCGTGTGTAACCTCACTTATTTACATATTTAAGAAAAAGTGTAACACCTTTAATAGTTTAAATTTAAAAGAAAAACAATTCACTTGGAAATTGCAATCATCATCAAATCAAACTTGAAATGACAGAAATTATTTACTTTGGTGATTATCAAATGTTTAGAAAATTGAAAGAACTTTACAATGTTTCTTCCAATTCTTCCAATAATTCAGAAAAGAAATTGATGAAAAGAAAGAAGAAAACATGTTTGGAAAATATTTCATTCATGTTCAAGGAAAATCACTTTCAATTTCCTCCAAGATTGAACAATAACAATGCAAATTATCATGGATCAAAAAGTCAATTCGGAACCAATGTCTTGTTTGAAAAATTGAAAGTTTTCAAGAATGTAATTGGAGTATTGACATGGAATGGAGATGAATTCTTTCCAAGTCAAACCTTGACATTATTTGATTTGAATAGAAGTGATTCAATTGTTCATGTTTTGGAATTGAGTGAAGATGAAATGATTAATGAGAGAATTATTGATTTTCAATTGGGAGATGATTTTGTAATTTGTCAAACTGAATCTACTCAATTATATTTCATTGGATTGTATTCAAATCAGTCATCTAACAGCAACAATCGTCGTGCTGATATCAAATACTACTGTAGACCACTACCATGTCAAAAAATGGGACAAATAGAATGGGTGAAATGTGGTTTGAAAACAATCCTTATCAAAACTCTTTCCCAAAATTTCTACGTGGCTGATGTGGAGAAATTGAATTCAACCCCAAATCCAAAACCTGTAGATCATTTATTCAAATATCCAGACATATTTGATGGAGTTATTGGAGAAGATTTTGTTGGATTCATAGGAGTAGCACCAACTGGATCTCATTCTATAGATAATAATTGTGTCCATTTGTTTCTCAATAAGGAAAAGCTACTTGCTGATAATCATACATTATTATTTAAGGAAAACAATAAGCACTATCTCAGTAATGGTTGGGGTTGTGTCAGTGACGCCATTGATAATGCAATTTACAGATCTTTTCCAGAGGAAACCGTCACCATTAAGAATATTATTGGAAACCCATCAGGTGATGGATATTTGTTTTTGCTTTCTTTTGAAAGTGGAAAGAATGCTCTCATCATGCTTAGTACCAATGAAAACAACTCTTTGGGTGAACACTTGAATTTGGTTGCCTCAGAGGGAGGTTTCTATTGGAAAGCCCACATTTATCATTTTCCTTCATACTTTTACTCAGTTACTGGATTTGATGAAGATTTCACATTGGAAAAGTGTCACTTGACCAATGATTTTATTCTATTCGAAAAGGAATCCATTCAAAAAAACAGATTTTTCACTACATTGACAAAGAATACTCAATATTTGGATATTAACATTGTTACACAAAGTGGTGTTAGTGAATAAACAATAACATTTCAATCCACGAATGAAATTAGGTTGGATAATTTTGGCGCCAATTCGAAAAAAGAAAAACTTGATTTAAAAAAAATGTCGCGAAAACTAGGAAAGAAGTTAATGATGAGTTATAGGTAAATTTATATATTGATAGTATATTTGATACGGAATGTTGTGCTGAATTATTATATCGGAAATAATAGTAAATTGGACACTTATATGACTTGTCCTCATCGGTATTATTTGAGTTATCTTGATAAAGAGGTAAAGGGGAAACCAACAGTTCCAATTATTAGGGGATCATCACTTCATGAATCTTTGGCTCACTTTTCTAAATTATATAATTTGGTCTATCAGGAAATTGAGAAGGTAGAAGAAGAGTCTGGATTATTCTTGACTGAGGCAAATCATAAAGCAAAACTGGCCTATTCTCATTATAGACCAGCAAAAGGAGTGGATTTGGAAGTGGATTTTGCTAAAAACATTGGATATAACAAGATTATAGCCTCTGAGATTGTTAAGAAAATCAAAAATGATGTGGAATTGAATAGAATTTTACAACAGAGTAATGAATTGATTGATGGAACAAATAGGACTGAAAATCCAGAATTTTTGGATTTCATAACCGAGAGAGCTGTCAAGACATTTAATAGACATGTTGTTGGATCTGCAAAGGCTGAATCTATCTATGTACCAAAAGATGTCGTTCAGGAATCCAAAGAAATGCTTAGGAATCAAATTAAGAGAGAATTGACCAATATACTACTGCCACCATCATCTCTATTCCAAAGCCATAGTGCAGCTCAGCATTTTGGCATGAATGGTAATAGAAGACCTGTCTTGATCGAAGAAAGTTTTGTACTGACTGGTGTTGGAGGTTCGTCAGACGTTGATTTGGTTGTAATCTTTGATAGAGTTGATATTGAGAAGGATGAAAATGATCAATCTAAATACGTCGTAGTGGAATATAAGAGCTCTATCAAACCAAAATATTTGAGTGGATTTGAAAAACAATTATCAATCTATCACTATGCTTTCCAACAATTATTTGGAGAAACAATTTCAAAGAGTAACCTCACCTGTCTCACAACAGGAGAAGTCTATTCATTCACAGATGATAAATTTGATCATTCTGCCACTGAGAATATGATTCTCGAGTATGCAACTAAGAGTATGTTGTCGATATTTTAATTTTCTTTAACTGAACTTGACTTTACAATACTTTTTGAAATGTGGAATATCTCTAGTTGTGGAAGATAAGGAATTTGTAGCAAAACCAGACATGATTAAATGTAAATTCTGTACCATGCAACATGCTTGCAAACATGCCTATGATCCAGAAAAAGCCTTGTTCGAGAGACAAATTAAATTCTCACAAGAGAGGAGAAAGAATAAGAATTTAGAAGAAATGGACGTGGATGAATCTCCATAAATACTTTGCTACTCTCACTGTTATATTATTGCATTGCTCAACCAGTCATAATACCAATTATAAATTATAATAATAATAAATTAATAATATTTATATTCATTTCTTCCGTATATCATATTTGATCATATTCATCAATTAATAATAACAATTTAATTCATCATGAAATTAAAATCAATACAAGTAACAACATTCTTATTTTCATCATTGATGATAATAGTTCCTTGATATGGACCTCCAGCAGGAGCCATTGGAGTAATTTGTTGAGAAACAGAAAGAGTAGTTGGACCCTTAGCAAGTGGACATGGAGTATTAGATCCTTGCAAGAATTGACATGGATCAAAAGGACCGGAATACATTGGAGTACCAGCATATTGAACTTCAACAGTACCAGTGGCTCCTGTGCCCATTGGTGAGGTTAAAGTACCTTGGAGATTGACTTGCAAATTATTGCCAGCTTGTGGTGGATCTGGAGAAATTGAGAGGGAAGAAATTTGCAAAGTTTGAGAGGAGAAACGCTTGCAAACGTTCCATTGCATATTTTGAGCACTAACAGTGTAGGCAATCAAGAGACAAACCAACAAGGTGGCTAAGAAGGATTTCATGATGAGAATTTTTTTTTTATTTTAATTCCTTCTGCACTCCGATGGTGGTTGAATGGATTAAAAATCTTAATGAAAAATTATCTTGAAAGTACTTTTATGTTTTGGAAGCAGCTTGTTGTATTGCTTACTTGTTGTGTTACTTCATATTTCAAATTTCTATCAATTTTTTCTATTAGAGTTCCATTTTAAAAAATTTTACCGTTACGATTTCTAATTTGAATTTTTTTAATTTATTTAAAAAAATGTTCAATTCACCTCTCAAGCCAGTCGTGATTCCCAAACGATTGGAGCAACATAGGAGGAAGAAAATTGAACAGCAGCATCCCTCACTCAAAAAGCTCTTTCCACCAACGGATGAAGACTTCATCTCTTCTTCTCATCAACTCCGAACGAATTTTCTTAACAAGTTTAGTGAAAATTGTGGAAGGAATCATTCCCTGTTAAATGTGTGCATGTTTAATAGGTTTATATTGAACGGATCAAAGGGGAAGCAGATATCTTCACAATGTTTGGAAGAGAGTTATACGAAAATTTGTTGGAATCATTTGAGAGGAAGAATGGTGAATCAATTGGAAAGAATTTCACAAATGAGACAAAGTCACGACTCTTTATTGATGAATCTTGAGGATATTTCGCCTAGGACACCTAAAAGTGCTACCACAAAGAAGAAAAAGAAGGAAAAACTGTCAAATGTCCAATCCAAAGTGTTTCAATATAAGAGCTGTGGAACAATGACTACCATGAAATTTATTCCCAAGTCTTTGAATGGAAATTATCAATTCTCCAATCAAATATTGCTAGGAGGAGATGTAGATGGTTGTATTCAACTTTACAAAATTCCAGATGATTATTCCATTGTAAACTCTAGCTCAACAAATTTCACACTCACTTCACCAACTCTCATTCCACTTCCTTCACGACCTTTTATCAATAGAATTTGTACAACCAGTGATGGACATTGTTATGTTGCCTCAGACGATTCCACACTATTCTGTTATGACCTTTCACAACACAATTCGAAACAAATTATTGGACCACAATTGACTTTCAATGAACATGTCAATTACATTACAGATGTTAAAACTAATTGGAGGGAGAATTTAATTGCCTCAACTTCCCTTGATAAGACTTTGAAAATTTGGTCTAATCAATTGAGTCGACCAATATATAGCGTGAATTTGAAAGAGTTTGTTCATTCGTGCTGTTGGATGCCAAACTCTGAATTTTCATTATTCACATCTTCATCTAAGGATTCGATTATTACTGATCTTCCGTGTTCTATCAAGTGGTGGGACATTAGAAAAATGTCGAATTATGTTACTGAGATTATTCAAAACGATAATTTGGTAGAATTTCAAGCTGATTTGGCATATTCATTAGAAGATGATGATGAATGTGATACCAACTCTAATAGTCAATATTCTTCAAATACTTTATTTGGAAATTGGACAAATAATTCTCAGAAAAGAAAATTTCCAAAACAAGAACCAGAATTTACTTTTGGAAGCGAAGCATGCATTACAAGTGAAAATTCATATTTCGATAGCAAGTCCCAACGTTATATTGAACCTTTCATTTCACATTGTAAATCACAGGAAAAGATTTTCGATTTACATTGTTTACAAAATTCTAGAAACGAACCAATTCTCATTTCAACTTCCCAACTTGGAAGTAAATTGTGGAATTTAGGAAATAATTGTAAGCCAACAGGTATTTCATCACTAATTCACAAATATTCATCAAATCCATGTATGGATACTCAAATAGTTCCAGCATTTTATGGAAATGACATGATGCTCACTGGTTGTAGAGATGGACATTTGTACATGTGGAATTCCATTCACTCCATTGAGAATTCTAACAAGAAAACTAACTATTCTCACAAATTTGAAAAGATTCATCCCAGTTCTATTCGATCCTTGGCCATTTCGGATACTTTATTGGCATCGAGTGATCAATTTGGAAATCTCTGTATTGTCTCCTTGTTAGATGACACCACCGAGAATGTTAATAGTATTGGAGAAGGTTGTTCTGCAGACGATCAAGCACATCATAATACTTCATTCGATCAAATTTCTCTCAATTCTTCATTTGACAGTTGTTCAACTTCCTTAATATTCGATTCTTCCATATTCGATATCATTGAAAGAACAAAAAATAGTCAAATTGAATTAGAGAATTTACTTTCGAATAATCCATCCTCTTCCAATGCGTACATGGATGTTGATTTGCCGCCTTCCACACCAAAAACGAAATCCAAGAGAAAGAGTTCAACACAGTCCTCCAGTTCACTATCCAAAAAGAAGAAAGATTAATTGAAATGTTAATACATTTAATACATTCATTACAATATTTACAATAATGGTTCTCCTTCAGATTGTGTGACAAACTCAATATCTGAATATTGACTATTCTTGTAGAGTTTAGAATGGAAATTTAACTTTTCAGTTTGTTTCATTTCAAATAAGGCGAAATTTGTGGTGAAATGACAATTTTCAAATGAAAATTCCTCATTAAAACCTGTTACTGAATAGAAATAGGAAGGAAAATCGAATGTGTGATAAAAATCATTTCTTTCATCCAATACTTCCAAATATTGGCTGAATTGACAAAATTCACCCTTATGTCCAATCATGACAATACGTTTCAAGTCAGAATCTCCAAACGAAACCAACACTAAATATCCAACTCCACATCCATTTGGAATAACATCCTCAATTGTAATCGAATGCTCCTCTGGGAAATATTTGAGAATCCAATCTTCGAGTGAGGGATTTTGATTTTTCCAATGTTGCTGATACAAGTAGTACTTTTTCAAAGCATTTGGATTTGCATCCTTAACCATGAATGAGTGATTATCTCCAAAGATCTTTTCAATAGTAGTGACACTTGTTGGTAAGAGCAAATCTGCAGGTGCTGGATAAATCCAATCGTATCCATATCTGTCATTGGTAATGATGAATCTTCCCTCAGAGAAAACTTGACTCTTCTCAGTCAAGACTGAATTGAAATTCTCTCCAAAATGAACTCCCTTAACGGTTTCATTGACTACTGTATTTACAAAAGCTTCAACTGGTTTGAAAATTGGTACCTGATCTAATTTCTTAACTTCAGCAATGTAAAACTTTCCAGCCAATGATTTGATAAGAATCTTATTGGAACAACATTTGATTAGTTCAGTCTTTCCAATTTTTTCACATGGCATTTGTTCACAAAGATAATTGATTCCTCCCTTATTGGAATACAATCCAATGAAATATAATTGAGTAGATTCAGTTTGACAAATTACAAAATCATCTCCCAATTGAAAATCAACAATTCTCTGACTTTTTGAACCATGATAATTTGTATTGTTATTGTTCAATCTTGGAGGAAATTGAAAGTGATTTTCCTTGAACATGAATGAAATATTCTCCAAACATGTTTTCTTCTTTCTTTTCATCATCAATTTCTTTTCTGAATTATTGGAAGAATTGGAAGAAACATTGTAAAGTTCTTTCAATTTTCTAAACATTTGATAATCACCAAAGTAAATAATTTCTGTCATTTTAAAATTTTGCGGCAGGTTTTGTTCGAAACTGTTGAATTGTTTTTTTTATATTTGAGAAATTGAGTGATTTTTAAATATGAGCTTTTGAGTGTTACAGAAAAATTGGAGGTTACCTACGGAATAGACACGATTTCGCTTCCGAATGGGCATCCTGTACAACGAGGTCCACCTCTTGATCTTTGAATTGCAGTGAAAATGCAACTTTGAATTGCACAAAGATTAATTTCCGTTGAATATCAAAATGTGGTGAAAAATTGTTCGCGCCACTTTTTATTGTTATGTATTTAAAATTTTTAAAATTTAAAAAAAAATTATCACAAGTAGGCGAGTAACATTTGCATAATGAAAAGATTGGCCACAACAATGAATAATGGACCCGATGCACCTAATTGGTTGGCTCTTGCAATTTGAATGGAAATTATTGGTTTTTCTTTGCCAGGCTTTCCCGATGATGATGGTGTAGATCCATTGTTGTTATGATTTCCATTATTATTATTATTTCCAATAACTGGAGAAGAACTTGATGGGAAGAAGGGTGGAATGACAATGATTGTTTGATTATGTTGTGGTGGAGGAGGAGGTGTTGTTGTTGTGCCACCAGTAGTAGCAGCAGTATTATTATTGTTGTTGTTTTGAGGAGGAAAAGTAATTGGAGGAAAGATAATAGATGTTTGATTAGTAATACTACTACTTCCACTGCTAGCAGTACTATTGAAAGTACTACCAGATGAAGAAGTGCTAGTTTGATTGGAAATGGTAATATTGGATTGTTTTTCGGAGAGAGTTTCATTCTGTTGTAATGGCCAAAAGTTTGGAATTGCTACTGAACCTCTCTTGGTATGGATTGATAAGGAATTGTACTGATTATTGCTTGGATCTTGTGCTGATAGGGCATAGAGGAGAATGAGTTTTCTATTTGGGAGAATGGCCACATCATAGGAATCTTTGGTATCGAGTGCTCTTTTGAATTCAATAATGGTTCTACCTGTTGTTTCCCAAGATTGAATGAGAATTGAATTATCAGTTCCTCCTCTATTATGTTAATATTCAAAGAAAGAATATTTCATACTTATAATGTTCAAAAGCATACTTACAATTGAGTATCCATACTTGGAATTGAATTGCTCATGGCATAACTATCATACAAATAGGTATTACCACTCGAATCTCTCCATCCAAGAATCATGTCAGTGAGTCTCATATCTACATCCTTATCTTCAGCATTATTTTCAACAAATGAGTTGAATCCCACAGCCAACCACCCATTAGTTTGTGCAGACATGGCCATGTACAATTCACCATCCTGAATTGACCAAAACAAATCAAAGCTACCATCCTTAGCTAGGGTAGTATTGTATTGATATTGACGAGAGAGTGGAAGCTGCTGATGGGAGTAGTGTAGCAAAAAGGAAACAATGAGGAATGTAATGCAAAGAAATGTAGTACGTGGATTCATTTTCAAAAATATGTTAATTAGCAAGACAAGATAACTGGTTTTATAGTTATCGTTGCTAATGCTCTAATTTGGAATATTTCATGATTATGTTCAGCTTTATTATTGTACTATTTACATATTTCAATCATGCATGCTGTGAACATGTATGTAAATTTCCATGAATGGAAATAATAATACTATGGAAATGTTACAAAATGTGATTGAAAAATTTCATTCAAAATATTTACAATTTATTGATTGGAAAAGATGTGAATTTACATGTCAAGGTACTTTCTTGTTTGTTCCAAACTCATATTCCACAATTCATCCTGATAGGTTTTGTTATAACTATCAGTACAACTCTCCGTTTCCTTCCACTGGGCAAAATACTTCATGCCCTCAACAGGATGTTCAAAATCAATAGCATAATGCACTTCTGGTTCACTGGCCTTTTCAGGTTTTTGGAAAAACAAGGCACCAATTGGATATGCCAAAAATCCAAATGCCTCATCAAATAAGCTAGTTCTCACAACACCAGGTTCCCATACCATGACACTCACCTTACCATTCGAATTGGATGATTGTCCATTCATTTCTGCCAATCTATTGGCCAAACCATAACCGAACAATACGTTTGCCAATTTACTATTACAATAAGCAGTCTTTCCAGAGAACTTGCCACTTTCATAATTTGGATCTTTCAATAATTGTTTGACATTTCCTTTTGGATGAAGTCCAGAGCTGACAATCAAAACTCTAGAAGACAAGGTCTCCCTCAACTTGTTCAACAACAAGTTGACCAATACAAAGTGGCCCAAGTGGTTAGTTCCATACGTTAATTCCCAACCTTGTACTGTTGTTTTCCTCTGATTATCAGTCCAAACACCAGCATTACAAATTAGAGAATGGAGTGGAATATTTCTTTGGAGAAAATTCTTTGAGAATTGAGAAACACTTTCCAAGTCTGCCAAATCAAGTTTTGCGAATTCCATAGATGCATCCTTATAATTCTCTCTTACTTGTTGTATGACAAGCTCAGCTTTTTCCTTGGATCTACATGCCAAAATTACATGACAATTTGCCTTGACTAAATGGTGAACAGCTGCTTTTCCGATTCCATCACTGGCTCCTGTCAAAATGACAATTCTTTTCATTATATTGTTTGTAATGGTACTGTTGGTGGAGAGCATTGTAATTAATTGAAAGTACTTTTTTTGAACTGTTTTTAATTGACAATATTTCATTGGAATTTGTTTAAATAGTTTGGCGGAGAATCTACTCCAAGGACATGATCAATTAGAAGGGTCTAATCGAATTGGAAACGCAACATATTTTCTTGAACTACAGGATAATATTTTAATGTGCAACGCATACTTTACTAATGTCCTGTTTCAATTATTGATTTCTATTAGAAAAAAAGGATTGATTTTGCAATATAACAACATTCAACCATTTACACTGTTCATCTGAAACTTCTTATGCTTTGCATCCGTTCCAATAACTTAGCAAACTCCAGAATCAACCAAACGAAAAGTACTCCATAATCATCTCTTGCCAAATTGTTATTTTCCTAGTATGTCCAATTTCTTAATCATCTCTACTTTCTGAATAAGAAATTCAACTCCAATTGTTTTTGTTATATTAGCTTACTGATCAGCTAGTGGAAGTACATGATGGTGTGGAAGGACGTACTCGAATGGTTCCAATGAATACTTTAAATACAACGACAATTCAAGATTTTAAAAATACAACAAAAACACAAAAAAATGGGCAATCAATCATCAGCAGTTGTGGTCGAGAAGAGAATCAAGGAGATCGGAAAAAACTTTTTCAATATTAGAGCATCATTCAAGATTAAAGGCTTGATTAATATTGGTACACACATGTCATTGATTAGATTATCGAATGGAAAATATTTGGTCATTGATACAGTACCATTGGATGAAGAATTGAAAAAGGAAATTGATGAATTGACAAATAATGGAGTTGATATTGAAGCTGTTGTTGCAACTCATCCGTTCCATACACTTGCTTTCCCTGATTTTTATAAAAACTATTCCAGTGCATCTTATTATGGAACTCCAAGACATATTCGTAATCAGAAGGATATTCCATGGGCTGGTAATATTATGGATCATCTCAACAAATGGTCTCCAGATGTAGAAATGAGAATTCCAGCTGGTGCTGAATTTGTTGCACCAGTTCCTGAATCTACTAACCATTTCAATTCTGTTTGGGTCTTCTCACCTGTTGCCAAGACCATTCACGTAGATGATACTATTAATTACTTTGATAATCCTTCATTGTTGTTCAAGGTTTTGGGAAAAAAGTCAGGTCAAATGGATTTCCATCCTTCAATGACTAATGGTGGTTTGAATAAGACTGAAACTGCTCCTCAATTATTTAAGGAATGGCTTGAGAATTTGTTACATGATTGGGACTTTGATAATGCTTGTTGTGCCCATGTGGGAGTAAAGATTGGTGGAGCTCATGCTCTCGTGAACGAAACCTTGACCAATGCTCAAGGTGTATTGGATAAATTAGCAAAGAAACATGAAGGAAAGGAAGAAGAGCACACTCACCACTGATTGTGCACAATATAACATTGAAGGAAATGAATGTGGATAAAATTGATTGTAGCAATAAATGTAAATTATTAGCAATGGGAGAAGAATTGTACAATAATTATAAAATTAATCTTAAGGCAAGAAGAAGGGAGATAGTTCAGTGGTAGAACATGGGATTGTGGTTCCTAAGATCAGGGTTCGATTCCCTGTCTTCCTACACCTTTTAACTTTTAATTTTGATTATTTACTTTATTGATTACAATTATACATGTAACCATCAGTGGTGCAAGTATTGATTGGAATCTTTGTTTGCTTAATAATATTATTAGATTGACATGGTTCAGTAGTTGGGGTTGATGCATTGTAAAGAGTTTCAATATAATAACCATTCTTACATTCATAAGTGATTGGAATGTGATTTCTCTCAATACAATCTGCTGCTGGATAGGCTGTAATTTCTTGCAATAAATCATCTTTGCATGTGTTGCCTCCATTTTCAGTATCGTATTGATATTCGATTGCAAGTGGCATGGAATAGTTCTTGAAGAGATCACTCAATTCAGAATAGACACATCTATAATTCATGGTTATATCCCAATGACTGGTGGTGTAACATTGGGTGTTTTGACAGTAAAATTTATTGCTTGAGGTGACTGGCTCAATGGTTATTGATTTCAAATAGTCCATACTTTTGCAATTAAAGTAATCAAAGTATGTTGTGATGAGGAATTGTTCTTTTTGTGAGGTTTTGGAAAGGGTGGAGACAAGTTTTGGCTTGTGGATGGACAATGCAAGAGAAAGTCCAATCCAAGTTAAAAGAATGCAGACGAAAAGGATTCGTTGGAGGATCATTTTTTTTGTGGGAGAAACTATGTGGAAAATCCAAGCGAAAATTTATTTTGCTTGTTAACTCCGTGTAGACTTGCTTTAAATGGGAGGACATGGTTATGGTGGTAACATTTTGAGGAAGTTAGAGGAACTTCATTTATTTTGCTTGTTAACTGACTCCGAAAATAGTCTTGGATAATTCAACCATTGATTCTTTAATTTTGTTTTAACTCATTATTGCTTAGTATCTTTCTCTCTATTTGTAGATTTTAGTGTTGATTAAAATTAAGAATGAACTTTGTGAGCTGTTATATATTGATATTTGAATTTCCCATGAGTAGACACATTAATATTGAACAATTTAAAGAATTGAATGGCTACGGCCATATCACGATGAATGCACCTCATCCCGTCCGATTTGAGAAGTTAAGCATCGTCGAGCCACATCAGTACTGAGGTTGGAGACAACTTGGGAACCTGTGGTGCTGTAGTCTTTTCTTTTTTGATTATTGCCATTAATTAGATACTCCAAAACAAATTGGAATTTGAATCCTGAACAAACAGCAAGTTGATGGATACTGCATAAATCCTCCATGAAAACTATGGTCGTGTAAATCAACACTAATAAGAAGATTACCAAATCGAAAAAACCAAATGTTAATTCATTATTTCACAATTGAAATCTTGCCCGTTTCTGCCATGTACATTAACCCTGTTCTCTCGTCAATGTAAAAACCAGAGCAAGTGACAGAATGTGTTCCAATAAAAGTTCCACAAGTTGTATATGCAGAAATGCTCCATTTGCTCTCACAATATCCACTAAAATAAAGAATACCAGATACTCTATCCATGCCTAATCCATCAATATTACTATGACCGGTAGCAAATGAGGTACATTTCCAATTCCCATTCTCATATTCAAATTTCATCATTTCCTTCATGAAGAGATACAGAGTATTTGGTTTCCTACGATCAGGTTCAAAGCATCCAGAAACAGAGCTCTCCAATTTGATTGTGTACTCCATTAGCTTTGTTCCTGTCTTGGCATCAAGAAAAGTCATACAATTATCCTCATTAAAGATCACAACTTTTTTTCCATCCAAAATCATAGCATTAATTGGTTTGCTAGTAATAGTTATATCTGTCTCAGTACGATAGGTCCAAATGGGTTGACAACTCCCTTCTGTAATTATAAATTGTTTCAAATCATATTTCGAAATAATCCTATTATGATTCATCAACAAGGCATCATTTCCACAATTATCATAATCTTCCTCAAGTTCGAAATATATGCATGCAGTTTCTACTTGTTGCTTGATTTCCAATGTTTCATAATCAATAAAAACAAAACAGTTACTCTTAACAACAACTATCAATGAGCAGGATCTAGAAATCCTAACATCATACACATCATCATCAAATTCAATACTTTTGAATTCTTCAAATTTGTTGGAGAAGGCGATTCGCTTTGGTGATCTAAGTTTTTGTTTCAACATTCCGATCATTGGATCTTGATATGAGTCACTATTGCAACAACTGGAGAAATCAATCAATTCCACTGTACAGCACTCCTCATCTTGATTCAGCAATGACATTTTTTTTGTAATTTTCTTTTTTTTAATATTTAAAAATTGTAAACGATCGGAAAGTATTGAACTTGTTTTAAACAAAATAGAAAATCAAAAAGATTCACTTCCTTTCGAATAGGTAAAAAATAAAATATGAAACGCCCACCGTGGGGGTCGAACCCACGACCACAAGGTTAAGAGCCTTGCGCTCTACCGACTGAGCTAGACGGGCTATATTCTAATTGATTCTTTTATTTACATATTCATTTCTTTCAGAAAATTCATCCATTAGAGAGGATTTGCCATTCACAATGCACATTCTCTTTCACTCCCTTATTAACAATGATACAAAGTTTACAAAATCCAACTACAAGATTTACCGGAAAATTAACAACTTTCAATGCTACAAGAATCCATCAAAGAATCCAAATTAAAAAATTAAATGTAATCAGGAAAATTAAAGCACACAAAAAAAAGATCAACAACAAAACTCTTGCTGATCGTTGTATTTTTACTCAAGTTCGGAAATTGTTTTTTTCAATTCAAACCATCATCAGAATCGAGATTTAAAATGTCTGCATCATCATCATCACAAGCACCAAGAGAGAAGGGAGTTATTCCTGCAGGAACAGTCTTTAGACATCGAGTTACATTGGCAACTAGATGGAGTGATGAAGACAATCAGAAGGTTTTGAATAATGCTATTTATTTGACATTGTTTGAAGAGGCTAGAACTGATTATTTTGGACCAAATACATTGAATTTGTTGGATCCAGAATCATTGACCTATCCTTTCGTATTATTGAAGGTAAGCTAATTCTTCTAATATTATTTGAAACAATTAATGTGTTTAACAGTGTGATATGAGATGTATTGCACCAGGAAAGGGATTTAAACAATGTGATGTATTCATTCGTACCTCACAAGTTGGCAGCTCTTCATTCACTCAACACTATAGAGTTTCCTATGAGGGACAAGTTTGGTGTGAAGCAGAAGCAGGTATGTACATTCAAATGTCCTTCCTCTAACTGAACTCTGTTTCATAATCCACTCATTTTGAAAATTCAAATTAACAGTAATTGTATATTATGATTTTGCAAAGAAAACTAAGGAACCAATTCCAGATTTTTGGAGAGAAGCCATTACTAAATATGAAAGTTATCAATTTCATCCAGTGACTAGTAATGTTACAACTAATAAGACTCTTCCATTGAAGGTTGGAATGTTTGCAGAGATTTCCAAAAAGTACACTCATGAACATGTTAAGAAATTTGCCGAGTTGAGTGAAGATTTCAATCCAATTCACTTGAATGCTGAATTTGCTAGTAAGACAAGATTTAAGAAACCAATTGTTCATGGACAATTGCTGACTTCCCTAATCTCAGGAATTTTGGGAGCTCATCTTCCTGGAGACGGCACAGTTTACCTAGAACAAACTTACAAATACAAACAACCACTTCCAGTTGGAGAGAAAGTCAAAGCTCGTGTTGAAATTGAGGATATTGACCTACAAAGAAAAATTATCACACTCAAGACCAATTGCTACAGAAATGATGAAAAACAAGGAGATATTCTCATTATGCAAGGACAAGCCAAGGTTATGGTTCCTGCCAATCTTGTTGAGGATGGTCAAAAACCAAGCAAATTGTAAATTTCCAATGTACATAATAACAACCTTCATTTTCCACAATTCTCCACAAAATATCCAGGACTCTAAAATCCATCTAGTTGCATATCCAGTAAGGATTCAATGCTCGACTCGATGCAATCTCAATTGACTTCTCTTGATAACAGTACTAACAGTACATACGATATTACAATTCCTTTTAGAGAAACTGGAAATTTTATTCTTTTGGAATCACTAAATTTTTTAATTGTTCTTCGAATGATAATTCAAATATATGAGGATCAGTAGATTTAGAAGCAATTTTGTATCTGTCCAATCTGGTTTTAACTGTACTATACACAGATTCCATAGTTTTCAAGATACGTCCATCATTTTCCAATATTTTCTTAATATTACCTATTATATTTTCTCTGTAAGTGGTGGCAATATCTAATAATCTCTTTTGAGGAGTGCCTAGTTTGGATAGTAACATACCACCTGGATTAGTAAGATTGCCATAGGAGAATAAGGATTGATTATCACCAAGTGGTGAATGCAGTGTTTCATATTCTCCAAATATATCTTGATTAATATCCTCTTCATAATAATTAGGCACATATCTACCAGCTTGTGGTGTAATTGACTTATTAACCATATACGTTCTGTTAGACTTGTACAAATTTTCAGTCATACAATAACAAGAACGGTGCTCTGCTAATTTAGTATACTTCACAACAAGCTTTGAAATGTGGGTGTCATAAAATAGTTGACCATTCTCTTCAGAGGAAGGAATAAATCTGAAATCATACTCTCTATCAAATCGATATCCTTCCCAAGTACCTGCATGGAATTTACTGCTAGATAAGGCCAATATAATCAACCATGAAGGATAAGGTAGTGATCCAGCAACCTTAAAACCCTGAAATTTGCCCATTCCAATATCTTTTTCATCTAATAAAACAGAACCATCACATGAAAAAACTGACAAACATCCATCCAGATCTGACTTCTCAAGTTTGAACATTGATTGATCGTCTTTCATAAATTCACACAGCAGTACTTCCTTCTCTGAAAATCTATCTCTGAGGAAGTCTTCCTTTCTATATCTGATGCTTTCGTATTTTTTCTGATCCATCTCAGAAAGACACAACGACAACAATTGGGGATATTCCAATGTAAATTCGTGCCAATGCTTACTTTCAACAAAATGGGGTACTCTCCAACCTAGAATGCCAATCAATTCATCTCTAATACTTTCTAGAGCTTTCCTAATTGTTTCGTATTGTTCAGTAAAGATTTCAATGGTCTCATTGTTGTATCGAAGTAAATTATTCCTCATCTCTGCGTTTATATTGACATCCGAATTGCCCAGTACATAGGTTTTACATATGGTATTCAATCTATTCTGCTTCACAGAGAGAATTTCATCTGATTCCATAAAATTCTTGATCTCTAATATGCAATCTAAACTTTCTATGGTGTGAGCTTTTACACAGAATTCTTTAAAATGTTGCAAACATTCGTCTACCTCTAGAATTTTGAGGATTTGTGGTCTCAAACCTGAAAGTAAAGATTTACGTTCCTTTTTCATGGTGTTGTATTTTTTTTGAAGGTGGATGTGACATGTTGACAGTGTTGATGAACACGTTGTATCATTTGGAAGCATTGTTACGATTTAAGCTTGATCAAAAACAAAGATACTAGAACTTTGTGTAAAGTTTTTCATCTGTCACGTCAATCTTTCTATTAATTGGAGCCATTTGCTCAAATTCATGACTTGTCATATGAGTTGTGTTTCCAATTTGTAAAGCAATGATTACAAGCTTAACAATTTTCACATTGCTCATACGACAGCTGTTGCCGTAATTCCTTCTTGAACGACATTGAGGAAAATTTTGAATTGTTAGTGCTAATAGTTGTGTTACTAGCTTTGCTTTTTAATTAGAAACATGCACATCATCTTACTTGTTAAAATAGAATCTGAGTTATCAGGACTGTACTTTTGCTTCAAATTAGAAACTTATTTCCATGTCCGATAACAACATTTTTACCCATGCAACAACAATTTTCATATGAAATATTATTCTATATTGAATATATTATTTAATTACATTACTTGATAATAAATTGATAAAGATACCCTCATAAGCAAAATAAATATCGAACAGCTTACCATCACAAGCTCGATTTCCCTTCGGCAATTTGCAAATCATAAAAGTTGTGCTTCTTAATCGAGTAATAAATTCTCACGTCCACTAACGTTGAGAATAAGCATTTGAAAAAATTTCATCTTTGCTGTGATGACGCTGAAGGGTACCCAACGTAAAATCATGCTCTCGCAGCCCGAATCTTTTTGAATTTTATTGAAAAAAACGATCCATTCCCTGGTATCAGCACAAGCAGTACTTTTGTTTAGTTGCAGGAAAGACAATACGATATACTACTAGTAGTGTGTGTGAACTTATTGTCCTTCATCAAGTGTTGTTATTTCACTTTGTGTATTTCTGGAGTGGAAATAGAGTGGAAAGATTTTGCAAGAGTTTCCATTCCACTGTATTGTCTTGTTGAGTCATTTCAATCATCATCAAGAATACAAAATTCTCTCTCTCTACTATCGAGGAGTGTATAATAAGAATATTCACTCAAGTTTTTACTACAATTATATTACTACAAAAAACAACTAGGTAATAAGCTTCTTTGTGGACTTACACATCATCATTCTTGTTATTTATTCATCAATTTATTATATTGAATTAATATCAAAAGATATTTTCACTCTCTTTAAAACAACAACAACAAACCTATATAACAACAACATTGTAACACTATGCCTGGAGGAATACATTTTCTGTTTGGTCTCTTATTATTCTATATATTTCAATGGATAGCCTTCCTGGTGGATGCTACGAGAAGAAGGAAACGATCCCTTTCATCATCGATAGCTATTAACAATAACGCCACCACTACCTCCACTGTCCAACAACAACAACAACAACTTGCCAAGTCCAACTCTAATAGCTCATCTTCATCATCCCTCTCCAAAATTGCCGATTCTTCCATAACCTCAACTGTTGAGAATCCTTCCAAAGTTTGCAAAACCTTGTCCTCATCATTAGAAGTAGACCCTTGTTGTGAGACTAGTATCAAGTCTTCGTCTACCTCTCTTCCTCATCATTCCGAGTGTTGCTATGAAAAAACAGCAGCAAGTACGAGTACGTACGCCTCTAAACCTGCCTTCTCTATTGGAGGAGAAGATGGACTCACACCAATTCTTCATAGAATTTACTATAGAAAGAGCGACCGAGAATGGTTCCAATATGGTCTTCTTGTTGGTTCCATATTACCAGACATTGACTTGTGTGTTGTTATTCTTACAATTATACTTTCTTTCTTATTCTTGGGTTGGGGTCCTGATCAACATAAGGAAGTTGCTGAAACATTACACAGAGGTGCCACTCACTCTCTAGTATTCTTTTTACCACTTTTACTTTACTTTGTCTATTTGTACAATGAGAAGGATAGAAAATTAGTAGCTAAAATGAAGATGCAAACCGAACAAGTGAAAGTTCAAGAGGAAGAGGATGAATCCCTCCCAACAGATTCTGAATTTTCAGCAGCAGCACCACAAAAGAATATTTCACAACAATTATCGGAAGAAAAAACATCGTTGTCATTCTGGGAAAAACTTCAACAGGACCACGAATGGCTTAACATTCCATTTGCAATTGGATTATTGGTTGGTTTTATTTTCCACACTCTATTGGATGTAATCTATATGAAGGGTGTGAAAATGTTCTGGCCAATTTATACTGAAGAAATTTTCGTAGAAGTACCTTGGTTATATCTCTTGGACAATTTCAAGTATCCACCAATGGTACAAAAACTCATCATGACTATTGATCACTCCTCTGAAGTGTTATTCTACTTGGCCATTATTTTCTACAGAAGTTGTACAAAGAGAAATATGGAAAAACAAATGAAGGCCCAAAAAGAAATTAAGGAAGCCAAGCCAATAGATCAAAATTCAAAACAACCAAAGGAAATTGAAGAACCACACAATACTTTTATCAATTTATGGAATCATTTGAAGAATTTATCTCTCAAAGATTTTATATTAGAGTTATGGAATGCCTCTGAAGATGATTGGGATTTGGTATTTAGATATGCCTGTGTTGTCCAGCTCGTTGTCATTTGGTTAGCCTTCTTCTTAATGTACGTCTTCTTCCCTGACATTGATTTTGTTCAATTTGTCATTTACATTTACTTCCCTGGTACAGTTTTTGTTTTATTGTCACTGTTAGCCCCATTCTGTTTCAAGACAACTTTAAGTAGTTGGGATTTTTCCAATGTTTTCAGTTCAACACCAAGACACCCAAGACCAATCATTTCACACCAATACCATTCCTCTTCTTCTTCTTCGCAGCAGCAGCACCATATCAAGTCCTATTAAAAAACCTTAAAATTTTCATTCTTTAATTGACCTTAACTTGAAGTTGATAAATTATTTAAGGAATAAGACAGGTCTCAGCGTAATTTTCAATCACACCCATCGTCAACTTTAAACTATTTTCAAAAAAAACAACCAATCATCATCCATCAGCACAACCTCGACCAAATTTTTCAAAGTGTTGGAAGTTCTGTTTGTTACACTTTTCTGCATCTCTCCCTCAAGAGACAACCACCAATAGAACAAAACATCTCTTTGCTGTTGTAAATTAGTCCATTGTATTATTATTATTTAGTGTATATTTTCTTAGTCATCGTCATCATCAAATAATTATCATCAAGTATGAAATCATTACCAAACAATAATAATGAAGATGACAATGATGATGATAAATCATTCAAGAAGGATCAATTAACTCGTCAATTAATTGCCTCTCTCCGTATCAACAAGACTCGTCATAAAACTTCATCAACTAGGAGAAGAGCAATTCCGATCACTGAATACCGTCCTAAAATCATGAGCATTGCTGAAAAGATTAATAGATTTCGACCAATATTTAGAGATTTGATGGCTGATCTGACGGATTCTTCCTCTGTTTTTGAACATGTTCTGGAACTGATGGTCATTATTCGTAAATTAGTTTCATTCGAAAATAATCCACCTCTTGATGAAGTTGTAAAGGGTGGATTGGTTCCATTCTCATTTCAAATACTCTATTTTGGAATAGTGAGAGAGTATTTGAGAGAATATAAGAATAGACAAGATCCTTTAAAGATTGTGGCATTGTGGCGTAATTTGGTATTTGAATCATCTTGGATTTTAACAAATATAGCATCTGGATCATATGAACACACGATTTCTGTGATATCGTATAAGGATGAAGAAATTACCTCACTCAATGCAGTTCAGACTCTTTTAATGTTACTGCATTGTGAACCTCCAGAAATTAAGCAACAAGCATTGTGGAATTTGGCCAATATTACAGGAGATAATACAGAATCGAGAGATTTAGTATTGCATACCTTGGTGCCAATTACAATGCAAGGAGCCAAGAATTATTTTCCTTGTTTAAAAGAGGATTGTGATAATTTGGACAAAGTTGGAGAAAGTGAAAAGATTTCCTCTCTCAAGCTAATTTATAATGTCTATCAATCAGTCAAGAATAATGGTATCATTTCAATGATTAGAATTATTTCTTGGACTTTTTCTAACTTTTTCAGAGCTAAACCAATTAATATGGATGAGGATTCTCTAGAAATGATTACTGATGTAATGAAGGAATTGGCTCTCACCTCTGAAGATGTCGATGTTTTATCAGACACCTTGTGGGGAATAACATATGGAACCGAGTCAAACATTCCAAAAATATTTGAAAGCTTTTTGGATGATAAATTAATATGCAAACTCATTGATAATGTAATTAACGAAAAGGATGTACGAAATATAGAATTGCCATCTCTGAGAATCTTGGGAAATTTCACAAGAATGGAATATGATGCAGTTACACAACAAGTGATAGACCAACCCGAGTTTTTCAAATGTCTCAGTAGGAGCATGCAATCAGACAAGTTTTCCATGAAAAAGGAAGCTCTCTACGTCATGAGCAATATTGCAGCAGGAACACCAGCTCAATCAGCCAGATTAGTCGATATTGACATTGCCTCAATACTTTTACTAGTTTACAGTGCTGATTTTCATAATAGGAATGGATATTCTCTAAAGAAGGAAGCAACATGGGTCCTATCTAACATGTTATCAACAAAAGACCCAAAAAGCTATGAACATATCATTCAGAGACAGGAATTAATCAAACATCTCTTCCTCTTCACACAAGATGTTCATCTGGAACAGGAAATAGTAGATGCAGCTCTACAACCAATCTTTGAAAATATTGCTAAAATTATGCCTTTTGAAGAGTATGTCCAATTCTATGAACGATATTCGAAAGAATACTGTCACATATTAGTGCAATATCCAAAGTTAATGATTTCACCTCAAGAATTACAACGATCCAATACTACCACTACTAGCAGTACATCTATACAATTTTACAATGCAACTAATCCACAACCTGAATAAAGTTTCTTGTTTCCAATTTTATCAATTATCAAAAATTTCCATAAAAGTACCTTGAAAAATGTTAATTACCAAATTAAAACCCAATTTCTGTCCAATTTTAAATTAAAACAAAATACAAAAAAAAGATGCCACACACTCAACAACATCACCTCCAACACAACACCCAAAGAATCAGCTTGCAAGAATTAGAACAATTAGAACACTTGTTAGAAAAATTGAGTGTCGACCCAAGAGTTAATTGTGATAATACTGTTCCTAATCCATATCAATTTGAAATTGTGAGTGCCATTCTGACAATTAGATCAAAAGCAATCAACAAGTTGAAGGAACATCCGATTGAACCTCTCCATTAAATAAATTAAATTGTATATAAATAGTTATTAATGATGATGATATGATTAATAATATAATATATATCGGAGGAAGGTTCAATTCGATGAATTTGATGATTGCAATAAGTAATTATATTGGATCGGAATTTTTATTGATAAGTAATGGTACTTGAAGTATTGTTATTGTTATGATTATTGGAAGTTGTAGTAGAAGAATTGGCAACACCAAATTGAGTCGAATTGGAGTTGGAGGAGAGGAACATGTGGAATTCCTTGCATTCTATAAAGAATCGAGTGTAGGAATCCAACAAATTGAATAGGATTTCTTCCTTGAGTTGAATCATCAAGTCTCCCAATTCAACTTCAGTGGATTGTTGATGTCTTCCAACGGTGATGTGGAATTCCTTGGCATTGACTGGATTGGAATGGAAAGCTTTCATTAATTCATCAAATCTCTTGATTGTGGATTTGGAAATCCATCTATTCTCACTCTTACTCACCAAGAGAATGGAACGATTCAACAAGTTACTGAAACGAGATTGATTAATATCATTGGAATTGATGAAATTGTAGTAAATGTGGAAGAGCTTTTGTCTCTGCTCGAGAATCTTTTCCTTCTCTTTCAAGATAAAGTATTCATTGACTGCCTTGTAGAGTAGCAAGTTGCTGATTGATAATTCTCTTTGGAGAAATTCTTGGAACAATCGATTGAGTTTCGAATGTTTGAGAATTTGTCTCATAATATTCTCAGTTGGATGATAAATTGATAAATTGTAATGTTGCTCAATGAGAGTATCTTGATTATTGGTGGATTGTTGATGGAAAGTTGATTGAGTCAAGGTTTGATTATTTTCATTTCGTCTAATACTCTTTCTAATATAATCATCTTGATTCTTTACAAAATCATTTTGTAACTTGCTTACATGATATTGTCTCTTCAATGCAAACATTCCCACAAGAAATGGAGTCACCAATACGAAAGGTAATTCAAACAGGAATGAAGCTACAATCTTAATCATGTAAACTCTAATCACCAACTCTTCAGATCTAGTCACATGAACAAGAATGTCAGTTAATGTCAATCCCAAACAAGTGACAATGAAAATCAACACAAATAAGAGTGCCTCCCTCCTGAACCACATCAAATCATGATGAATCCAATAATTTGATAAGAATCTGAAGAAGGCAAACTTGGATTTCTTTTGTGAATTTGGAGAATTGACATTCTTTTTCAATAAGGAATTTTTCTCATTGACCAACATATCAAAGAGAAATAGTCCAATCATAAAGCAGGTACTTAGGATTAACACGCAACTGTACCAAACTCTCTGAACTACATACCAGATGGCATCACAACTGGTGACAGATTGTGGAACTAACATGATTGCTATGAAAACTCCTTGAACGATAGCCCAACTGATGGTTGTGAAACAAAATGTCAAAGCTTGAAAGGTTTTTGGATGATTAATGAAGAAATTGAGAATGAGAATCATCTTTTCATTCTCAAATTGAGATCTTAATTGTCTATTTTCAGTGGATGAAAAAGCAGTTGTTGACAATTGAGTTGACTGATTAGTGACATCATTCATTGGAGTGGTTCTCGATGGAGTCATTGAAAAATTATTCAAAAACTTGGAATCTGTCTGTGAAAGAGTATCACTCTCACCATGAGTTTGCCTTAAATAGGAATGTTTAATAACACTTCCACTTTCCAAGTTGTCTTCAACTGTTGCTCTTGGAGTCATCATTCCAGTAGTGGTGGAAATATACGAAACTTCAGTTCCTCTCGGATTATAATTAGGATTGAACGGGTCCTTTCCATTTCTCGCATTTGGATTTGGCAATTGAGGAGGACCATCATTCGAATCATAATTCGATTGAGGTGGTTTAAGGAAACTTGTACCGAAACTTGACAAATTAGTTGGATCACTTCCATCTGTTTGCACATTTTCAGAAGTATCTGAAGCAGCTGAATCTCTTCTAACTCTTCCAGAATTATTTCCTGGTTGACCAGCATGTTGTGAAACACTTGCAAAGAAAGATGGCTCAGTTGACACACTAGACATGAATCGATGTTCCCTTTGAGAATCACCAAATAAGAAACTTTCTCTCTGTGGAATTGAAGCTTTTCTAGGTTGATCCATCAAAACAATTGAGGAATCACTCTCAGAAATAAATGACCTTTCATCTGTCAATCTTTGACTGGCATATCCTCTCAAAACTCTATTTCCAACATGAATTTCATTCGATTGAGGTGTTAAATTCTCAGAAGAATCTTCCTCTGGCAAACGTTTCAAAAATTCTCGATGTAATTTTTCTTGTTCCTTTTCCAAGAATTTTACCAATCGCAATTTCTTTCTCTCCATGTAAGATCTGATCACATAATTGAAAAAGATAAAGTTTGGGATGCACAAGATCATGAGCCAGTGAAGCAAGGATGTGGTCGAAAGGTGGATGAAACATATGGTTTCGGATAGTAATTCTTGAGGTTGAGATACCCACATGGCTCTTGTTCTCTGGATGAGAGGAATGGTTCTAAGATTGACTTTTGAATAGTCAACTAGAGTTTGATTTGTGGTTGCATTTGTGGCCAATTGAGCAAATTGTTCAAAAGTTTGAATGGGAATTAAAATTAATGGAGAAATGATTTGGTCAACCAAAACCTGTTGATAATCAAATGAAATTTGCCGAGTCGAATTCTTTGTAGAATTAATTGCTGCCACCACTGCTGCTGTCGGATTAAAATCAATTACTCTCGAAGGGATCAAGTCAATTAGCAAAATTCCATTCAAGACAACTAACAAGGAAAAAATCAAAACTCCAAAAGCAAATCCAATTCTATTGAATTTCAAATATTTCGATCTCTTGAATAGAAGAAAGAGAATTAATCCAATGAACAACAAGACGAAAATGACAATTCTCATAATACCGAGAACTGAAATACTTCCAATGGAGGCGTTTAGTCTCAATTCTCTGAGTTGACGATTGTATTCGGTGACTGGTATGCATTTTCGAAGGTGCTTGTTCAAGTCATTGTTGCAAACGAATTCATTGTTTAATGAATCTATCATTTTTTTTTGAATTCTTGTCAAACGCCATTACTATTTTGGTGTATTTGAACTTTTGGACTATGATCGAAAGTGGAATAATGCTGTATTTGATTTTGAAGTGGATTATTGTTGATTCAGAACAAAGGAAGTTTTTGGAGAGGAATGGGAAGGAGAGGAAATTCATTGTTATTTCGTATAATTAAATAAATAAAAGCTGGTAACCAGAGTTTGAAATTATTTCTTGTCTCTTAAATACTGTAAACTCCTACATAAACAGGCTTAATTCTAGAATAAGTAAAAGTCAAAAAGGTGTAGGAAGACAGGGAATCGAACCCTGATCTTAGGAACCACAATCCCATGTTCTACCACTGAACTATCTCCCTTCATGTATTTGCTTGAAAAGTATTGTTCCAGCTATTTGATACATTACTGTTCCAAAGCTCTGGACATATATAAAATTCAGATACTACATTTTGTTTAAGGATTAAATTCAATAAATTTGGAAAAAACAATTATATTTTATTTTTGAAAAATTATTTAATAAATTTAAAAAAATCACTTATGAATTCCCAACCTAATAATATCATTTAGTATTAATTTCACAGGCTTATCACAATAGTTTCCGATCAACCAATCCGATCAACAAAATGCTTCCACAACCATCACATCTTCTCTCTTGTTTAAAGTGTGGCCATGCATTAATTTCCTTCGATTGGATGTGTCTATGCAAGTATAACAATGCCAATCACTGTACACTAACCTATGATCATCAAATTAAATACACTTCCGATGATCAAATTGATACTAATCATTCCAACAATCAAAAATTGATGATTAATATGGATGTTCAAGAATCACCAAAGAAGAAGATTGTTCTCCATACATTACATTGTAGAAAGTGCAATGAAAAGGTCGCAACTGTTATTAAAATTAAAGATGAATTCACCATTGGTACCAAAGTTGTACAATTGAGTGAAGGCTTTGTTTGCTTTAGACCAGAAGCAACTTTTGTGAAAGGCTTGGAAGATCCAACAACTACAATAGCAAAGAAAAAGTGGCCCGATAGGAAACTTCCTTTTCATATGATTTATGAGGATATCAAGAGTTACCTTCCTTCACATAATGATAATAATGATTTGACAAATCAAGTTGTTGAGCCTATTGTGCAGACAGTGTTGCCAAACTTTCTTGATGAGAAGAATCAAGAACAGTACTATCCTCCTTCATTGCTTCATTCCACTCCTAGAGATTATCAAGTGGAGATGTACTTTCAGAGCTTGTTTACAAACTCTCTGATTTGTCTTCCAACAGGATTAGGTAAAACTCTAGTGTCTGTTCTATTGATGAAAAAGATGAGTGTACTCAATCCAGAAAAGTTGGTGGCATTTGTAGTGAACAAAATTCCACTTGCTTTTCAACAATCTGATTATTATATAACAGAGACCGAAGATAAATCCTTGGTATTGTGTAGTCAAACGAGAACTGCAGAGTCGATTGAAAGGTTACGTAAAAGAGAGGTTCAAGTTTGCTTCTTCACTGATGGCTTGTTATTGAACTTGTTCGAAAATAGAATGTTAAGACCTGAAGATTTTTCAATGGTGGTATTTGATGAGATACACCATGGAATTAGTCCAAATAGTAGATATAATTTATTGGGTGCTGCTTTTCGCAATTCACAATCACGTGTTAAAATTACTGGTCTCACAGCATCACCACTAGATTTTCAACAGTTAGAAGTTTCCTTCAAAATTGATTCTGTTTCCTATCCTTTTCTAACAAGAGAAAAGATGCGAGAAATGGAAAATACTGCATCAACTAAAATTAGGAAAACATCAATGAAGCAAGAACAAATACAACTGATCTCTAAATTTAAGGAAGAAGTATGCTTACTGAATGAACAATTACTAGAGTACAAGATTAATAATTTATGGCACTTTGGGAGTTTTATATCAATTATTGGTTATTTAAGACTTCACATACCACCACAATACGAAAGTATTTCACAGAAAATGCTCAAATTTATAGGATTAATGGAAATGACTAATATTCTTGGAACCAAAGAAGCTTTAGAATATCTAGAATCATCAAAAGATTTGGAATATTCAAAAGAAAAGTTTTCAAATATCACCCGTTCATTTTCAGAAAGATTTGGAGTGTTGGAGTCCATCTTAAACAAGACTAAAGATGATTCACGTATTCTAGTTTTTGTAAAAACCAAAGAAATGTCTTTCAGGTTGACAAGAATGTTGGAAAGAAAATTCAAGCAATTTTATCCTCAAAGAATAGTCGGCCAATATGGAGCAGGTGGAATGAATTATGAAAATGAACAAAGAGTCTTGATAGAAGAATTTAAAAATCATGAATGCAAGCTCTTAGTTTCTACTAGTGTTTTAGAAGAAGGTATTGATATTTCTGATTGTAATATTGTTGTTCTCTTTGATGGTAATCTTTCTTTGAGAAGAATTATTCAAGCTAGAGGAAGAGCACGTCAGAAAAAGAGTACCTTCCATTTATTGATTGAAGAAGAAGAACAAAATTACTATGAACAAATTGAAAAGGAAGAGAAGGAAATGATTACAAAAATTTCACTAAAGTAAGTATTCTTTGTGATTTGGAGGAAATCTAATTGTATAGATCTGAGGAAAGCTCAAACAAAATCCAGCCCTTGCTTGAAGATTACTTTGAGTTCAGAAAAACAATTGAGCCTATCAAGACCAAAATTTTATCATTCACCATTCACCACTTTGATAGTATCACTTTAGATGATATTAGGAATACTATGCAAGTGTTTAAACGCTCTTTTAGAATGATTGAATGGGATAAACAGAGTGCCTACATTGAAATTACATTGGAAGAGACCCAATTCGAGAGTGTTCGCAAAATGATTTTCAACACACTTCTCGATAAGCATGCAGCATTGTTTATTGAGCCAACAGAGAGTTTACATTCCTACCATTCCAACAATATCGAAATCTGCCCAGGTGCAATGACTTTTTCTGCTGAAAAAGGATTCGAAATCTACATGGAAGAAGGTGGACCTATTCAGTTATCTCCAGAAATGGATTTCCATAATGAAATCCTGAGGGCAGTTGGTAGATACATATTAATTGATGAGAGGAGTGGTAAATATGTCTTTAATGTGGTTAACAGTGAAGAATTGAACAAGTACTCTTGCATTGGAAATATTGAGCCAGGAACCACTTCCATTCCAAATACGTTTGACGGTTTCAAGGTTTATTTTGTCAAGTTAAATGTTAAAGAACTTATTCCATACGAATCAATCTTCCATGAAAACAGCACGATTTCCTATTACCTGTCGTATATTCAAGATAGACATCCAATGCTTTACATTTCCCCTCAAATAATATCATCTATCAGTGAAAGATTGAAAGCTCTTATCAATAATGACAGCTTTTCATCCAATGCTCTTTCCATGTCGTTATTTACTGCTGAAATATGTAGTTTATTCAAGAAATGCACCTTTGCACCTGAATCAAAAATGTTAGAGTACATTGAGAAATTGAAAATATCTCAGCAATCAAATGATACAAAGGAGAGTAGATTCATTAGATCTGTTACTTACAAACAAAAAATAACCTATGGACTTCCACAACTTATGGATGATAAGAGATTTTTCAGAAAGTTACACCCAGACAACTTTGTAAAAGTGAAAATTATTGATGTAGTTCCCGCCAGTATTGAATGTTGTGGAAAAGAATATCGTCCTGTTGGTGGCTCTTTAAGTATGCTCCGTAGTGACTATGTCTATTTCTTTGACACAACTGCCATGCCAGCGTGTAGCGAAGTCGATGAATTAATGCAAATATTTGGTACATATGACTCGAATCTCAACCCCTTCAAACTTGTTTCCAGACATGCTCTTAATTTTACAACTACAAAAGAAACTTGTACCATCAATAAGTGGAAATGTGTTAAGGATGAATTGGCAATTGATGGTTCTGAAATGACTGATGGAATAGGAAAAATTTCACAAAGTATAGCGCAACAAATTTCCAACCAGTTAGGGCTTGTTTCAGTGCCAACAGCCTTGCAAATCAGATTCTTAGGATTCAAAGGAGTACTGTCAGTACTACCTGATGAAGACTTGGGAGATGGAATGGATGTCATTCTTAGAGAATCAATGTGTAAATTTAATGGAAAAGAGGAGCTTAACAAGATTGAACTGGTTAGTTGCACAACTGCTCGAAAACCAGCATACCTAAATAAGCAAATTATTTTATTGCTTACTACTTTGGGTATTACCAAAGAAACCTTCCTTTCTATATTCTTAGATTATTTCAAAGATCTCTCAGAAAAAATTACGTCTCCTAAATACTTTTTAAAAGTTCTCAAAGAAAATTGTATGGATACTTTACCAGCCATTCAATCTCTGAATGAAATGCCTGACGATGAGTTCCTGCAATATCTGGCAAGATACTTGATTTATGACGAAATCAAGAAAGTACAAACAAAGGCAATGATCCCAATTGAAAAAGCTGTAATTGCTATGAGTATTGTTGATGAGTATAAACAACTGAAGGAGAATGAAGTTATGGTGCAACTTGGCGATGGAAATTATATAGAGGATGGTACGCAGGTATTTATTTGTAGAAATCCCTGTTTGCACCCTTCAGATATTCAAACCTTCACTTGTAGAGATAACAGCTTACTGAGAAGCAAGTACAGACCAAGCAATGCAGCAATTATCTTCCCAACACAAGGATACACATCGATCAAGATTTGTGATTTTGATGGTGATCGAGTTTTTGTTTGTTGGGATTCTAGATTGATACCTGATCAGGTCTCTAATTTGTCTCCCTTGACACATGATAATGAGCCAATGGAGTCTACAACTGAGCACTCAGAAGTTTTGAGCAAAATATTAGAGAACGGAAAATTATTAGGGAAAATAAGTGATGCTTGGGTTGCTATAGTTGATTCTGAAGGTGCTGACTCTGACAGAGCACTAGAATTGGCCGACTTGTTTGTAAAAGCTGTTGATTTCCCAAAAAATGGAAAGCAAATTTCACTACCAAACTGGTTTAAAGATATTATTTATCCAGATTTTATGGAACGTGGATCAATTTCTATCAAATCAAACTCCATTATTGGACGAATCTATGAGAAGTGCACAAGCATTAAATCTGGCATTCCATCAGAATTTAAAGAACCAGAATTTATTATCCAAGATGAAAAGGTTAATGAATGGAATAGAAGATTTTGGCAAATTATTGAATATTTGAAACAAGTTCATTATTGTACATTGTTTGATCTGTTTGTTGGGAATGGGATTGAACGAAAAGAATTCACACATTTAATAGAACAATTCAGAGAAATTGCAAGAGAGGAAAATTGTAAACTAGCCATTCAAAACTTACCAATTGCCAATATTTTCTCATTGACTATTCCTTCAAGAAGAATTACAGAATTCAACAAGTTGGATATTTATAAGAATCTGGCCAAATCTCTCAATAGCTTTGTAGAGCATATGAATTTGGAACAGCTTGAAATCATGGAAAAAAGATTGGAGCAACTTAAGTACAAAACTAATCAAGAATATAGAATTCACATGTTTGGTTCTTTACCAGTCCTCCTTCATAACTCATTTAGTTCGGATTGTGACACCTTTTTCGATTTCAAAGCAGAAAAAGGAGATGAAAATTGTCCACCTGTTTGTTCAGTACTGTCATCTGAGTTTGGATCCAGTGCTACTGATTGGCAAAAATCAGTACCAATGTTCAGGATATTTGCAAAGGTCACCGATCTTCCGTTTATAGAATCGATTGATTTTACCAATTCCAGTAGAGGATTGAGAAAAAAGCACCACTTGAGACTCTATTTGAAACAAAAACCTAAATTAATTGTCCTCCTTAAAGTATTGATTGATCTTCTCAAGAAAATATGCCCTCACATCAAAACTTATCAATTGACATGGAGAATTGTGACATTTTGCCTAGAAAAGAACTACCTTGTACAAGAAAGTCCACCAACTGAGCAGCAAGCATTTGATGGTGAAATGGAGAAAGACTCTGTGTTTATGAAGCAAATTCTAGGTAAATGTTTGAATAGCGAATTCCAACATGAAACCGAGCTGATTGTATTGTTTTTGAAGCGTTTAATATTCAAAGAAAATATGGAGTTCGTGGATAATCTGGATGGGAAAATCACCGCTGTCATTTTGACTATTGAGCAAGTAAGCCATGCCAGGGATTTACTTGATTCTTGTATACTTAATCTTTTCCTTCTTCACGACTTTACCAAATTAAGCATTGAAGAGATGGAGGAATCACAAGTTTATGTACCGAGCCTTCTACGAAAAGTACTTGGAAACTCAATGATAGAGACGGTCCTGAAGTCTGAGCTGGAAAAGAGTTGCAATTGTAAAATTACCAATCTTTTTGAAATGAAAAATGGTAATTATATAATTAATGCCACTGGAGAACATGGAATCAGCTCAAGACTGAAGCGAAAGCTAGCTCTTTGGAATGCAAATTGTAAATATTTCAGAGCCAACAATCATAGATTGTTTTTAGAGGGCTCTACTTTGGCAATTTATGAGGGAGATTCTTTAGACAGTCCAATTGAGTTCAAGCCATATTTAGGAAAATGTAATCCAAAACATGTGCTTGAACCAATAACCAAACACCAACCAAAATTGAAGGTTTACAAGGAAGAAGTTCTTCCAATGTATGATTTTTATCAAAATTTGTTAACACAATTAGAAAAAACGTTAGCAATTGATTTGGACCCAAATCATTTTACATACTCTATCAAATTTGGAACCTATTATTTGATTAATATTGAAAAGTCAATATTTTCTGAGATTATTCCACAAGATTCGAAACACTACAACTCTCTAATGAAAAAGAATCATTTCCACAGTATCGAGGAGGTCAAAAAATACAAAGAAGAAAAGAAACCAGTTGAGACTTCGAATGATTTTGAGAAAGAATGGCCTTTAATTGATTATTTACAACCTAACAAACGTGGCTCTAGCAAATCAAAAAGTAAAGTAGGTTGCCAGAATGAAACTCCAGAAATTATAAAGAAGAAACAAGAAAAGAAGGCACCCTCAGATTCTTTCCTAACCCTTGTAGATTCAGAAGCCATTGCTTTAATATTGAAAGAGCTTGCAGGATGTACCAAGCAAGAATTTACAGAATATAACGTATGTGAGATTGAAAATGTTGAAAGGAAAAACTCAGTTGAATACAAGGTGAAATTGGATGAAAATTTGAAATTGAAACCAGATGGAATATTGAGCCGTCGTACCAGAGTAATGGCTACAACATTTATTGGAAAAACAAGTGATATGAGATTCTACATTAATCATTCTAGATTTCTTCCAGAAGATCACAGTATCAGCAGGTTGGTGAACTCCCTCAATAGAGATCAGTGGATAATCAGAATAGATTCACCTCAACAATTGACCCATCATTCCGAGCTATCACTTGTTAATGTTGTCAGAAAATTAGAAAAGCAAATTTACACTTATGAACATCACAATCAAATGCTCGAAATAACCATACTTAAAGTATCTCTCTTCACCAAGAAGCTCTCCTCTTTGAGTCAAACCCTAGATCTCACCAGCGAACATTACGAACTCAAAATTGCTCTTCCAAAAACTGGCATATTACATTCATCAACACCATGCATGGCTCTTCTCTCATGTGGACTTTACTTTTGGAAAATTATTCAACAATCCAACAAACTCACCACTGCAGACCAATAACAATACAAAAACCTTATTGAAAACTATGTATTTCTAAAACTGTTCTCATTTTGGAATTATTAAGGCACCACAATATTTCATCCCACTAAACGACAGTACGGCTCATCATTACAAAAATTTTGGTTGGAAAATAAGAAGCGCCCCTTAAGTTGTTTAATAAGAAAGTGGATCTTCGCCCTCATGAAATAGAAAAAGACTGAAAAAAATGTTGTTCACTACAACAAACTCTGAGAATATCACTATGGAGAATTCTGCAACCAATCCAGTGCTGATGATATCGAGTAGTGGTAGTGCTTGTTTTGCAATGAGTAGAATAGGTTCACAGGCTGTTGTGGTTGAACAAGGACCACTTTCGCTTAATGATGTCCTTTCGAGAATTGTTCAGAATTGCTCCAATGTAAATAACACATCTGAGATGAAAATTCAACACTTGTTGGATGTGATCATGTGTCTGGATATAGCAGAGGGATGGAGTTGTGATTCCAAGTGGGTTATCGGATCATTGGCTAAAAAGCTATTCTTAATAGAGGGACTCGATGCAATAGATAATGCAAATGATGAGGAAAATCCATTGAATTGCATAGTCATCGATTCGGAAATTATAGAAGTACTCATTCTCACCTTCAAATTCTATAAGAGTTTGAGAAAGTCTTTGGAACCTCTTTTGGATTGTATTCATTTACTAAGCAGTGCCTTAGGATTTCAAATTTCATATCATCATCTTGTTTTAATATTCGGTGTTGTGGATCAATTGAAAAAGTATGCTATCGGAACAGAGGAAAGACATGGAGCTTTAAGAAGTTATATGTGGTCCTATTTTAATGTACTATGTGATGTTTTAAATCATTTTCAGTTGAGGTAAGCCTTATTTAATACTTTAATTTTTTAATATTTAATGTTTAATTAATACAGTAAATCAAAGTTTGAAATTAAATTGGAAAAGAATGTTGATCCGATCATGCTTAAAATCGAAGGAGAATTAAGGACACAAAATGGGACAACCTTCCTTCTCTTGGAAGAAATCAAACATTCCTATCTAACTTCATCATCTTCATGGGAGAATACATCAACACTGAAAATGATTTTATCACTAAAGAGTTTACTACGAAGAAATATTTCAACAGCAATGAATAATGAAGAGGAATTCCATAGAAGTTCAACTGTTATTGGAGTGAGTTACTCAAAGCAATTGATTCACATGTTTATTTTGAGAGGTTTTCTCAAAGAACGCAACTCGGAGGAAGAAGTGGACAATAGCATTAATATTTCAATGAAACTGTATTATAAAAAGTATAGAGTCAAGTCAGAAGTGGATTTGTTGATATTGTGGGTGGATATTCTGAACTTTTCAAAGATATTCCTTTCCTCCTATAATGTTCAGAGTGCAGTGTCGATAATGAAGGAAATACCACAGCATCAGAATTTAAGTTATTGGAATTTGAAACCCTTTATAGATTCAAGAAGTGATGAAGATGATGTTCTATTCAAGATTCAGAATCAGATCAAGAAATTGTGTCTTGTTCCGAATATGGCAATTAATAAGAGAATCATTTCAGAGGCAAAGAATGAGATTGGATACAGTTGTAAAATTCAAAACACAACATTTGTAAAGAGGATTGAGAAGGAGGAAAAGTATATTGTTTCAAAATTATTGGAATCTAGAAATATTTCCCGATGTCTTCCACAAGTGATGAATATTTATAATTCCTTTATTGAGTATGAAGAGTTATTACCACTCTCTAATAGATTGATGGAATGTGAGCTGTATAGTCTGTGTTTGGATATTTGCCATGCTCTTGAATGTTTGCATTCCTTAAATATTATTCATAGAGATGTAAAGATGCAAAATATCATGATAAGAAATCCAGACAATAATCCAACATTACAAAGATTTGTACTGATTGACTTTAGTATGAGTTTCCATTTTGAAAAAACAGACAGTGGATACATAGACACCTTCACTCGAGTTCTTGCTAATGAAAATTATGGAACCAACTCTTATAAGGCACCAGAGGTTTTAACAGGAGATTGTTATGATGAGAAAATTGATGTGTTTTCGCTGGGAGCATCAATATTGTGTTGTCTTGATAGAAAGAGATTTGTTTGTTCAAAGAAGGAAGATTTGCAAAAGATGGTTGACCGTCTAGAATGGAAAAACACGCAATTCAAACAAGTAATTCGTATGATGGTGAATAAGGATCCATCAGAGAGACCAACACCAAGGCAAATACAAGATATTTTGAATCAGGTTCAAACAATCCCATTGGAAGCTGAATCCCTTCAAAAAGATTTGATTGTTTCTTCATCGAGAGCATATAGTCCAAGTCAGGGTGGTTTTGGATGTGGTGTGGGCAAGGTTCAGGAAGATTCTGTGAGACAAAGTTGTTTAGCAACAAACTCTTCACAACAATCGCTTGTGGATGAAACTCTGCTGTTGAGAGATGAAGAGCCTTTCAAGTTCTACACTCCTAGCAAGAGAGATTCTGATAGCGACGATGAAGATTATGATAGTGATGATTCCCTTAGTCCAATTTATAGTACACGAACACCAATTGTAGAAAGGAGCGACTTTGAGTTTGATTAAACTATTGTATTTTCTTTTCTTCCTCGTCATGTAAGAAGTTAAATCCTGTATTAATCCAATTAAAAGACGTAGAAGATAGAAAAATTCCCCTAATCATTTATTCAAATTGAGTGGTCGAAACACAATACAAGTCCTTCTGTTCGTGGAATAGCTAACATGCTGTGGAGTTATTTCTCCACCTCCTGTAAGGAAATATACCAAGCAAAATTGAAAACGAAATTCTTTTGAATGTTCCATGTAAGTTTGGAACAAAAGAAAACTAGCCTAAAAATAACCTTTAAAAAAAGACGAAGACGTCACTACGCAATTTTTGCAACCTAACACCCAAAAGTTTGATTGGTTTCTTCTTGCTGATCCTGTTATCCACATTTTTGTTATTAGTCATTATTATTGAACAAGATAACAATCATCATAATAGGAACATCAACATTGAAAATCAATATTTTACCCAAATATTTAACGTGCTAAAACAAAACTTTCCATCACAAATTCTTTTCATCAGGAATTTGTTAAAATCTACAACTCATCAACAACACACAATACAAAACAACACACAAAAAAGAATGTTCCGTTTCTTTGGTTCCTCTGCTTTGCCAGAAGATGATACAACAAGCCTCGATAATTACAATTTTTACATTAACAAACTTCGTTCTCGTCCACAAGGAGATTTAATTGAAAATATTCACAAGAATTGGTTTGGTGATTGGGATTTGTTGGAAGAACATCACGCCTATATTCAATACTTGTTCCCAATTAGATTACAAGGAATGAATGCTTCCTCTCAACCACTCACTAAACATGAAGCCTCCTTGTTGAGATCCGATGCTGCTGTCAAGGCTCGTATCATTCAATCCTATAGATTAATGCTCGATTTTTATGGTTTAGTTTTGGAAGATGAAGTCAGTGGAAAGATCAGTAGAAATCCAGTCACATACAAGAAGAGATATAGTCATTTGAATAGTTCCTTCCACAATTATTTGAGAATTACTCGTATTATGAAGTGTTTGGGTGTTACTGGTTTCGAACATTACAAACCACACTTTTTGAATCATATGGTTGTTGAAATGTTCAAGTACAATAATTTGCAAAATGCTCGTGACTCTTTAATCAAGTTTTGGCTTCCAACTTTGAGAAAAGAGGAACATTTACAATATTTCGACAATCTTGTTGATGAACTCTCTCAAGGAAAGAGAAAGGTCAATAGAGAAGGAAGAGATGGTTATGGTGATGAAGTGAATGATCAAAGTTGGCAAACCGAATACTATGATAGTAATTTCAATGTTGACTTTGCTGATCCATACTTTGCTAATAAGGATGTTCTCACTCATGCCAATGATCCATACGCATCTAATCAACACAGATAAATCTATTTAAATTATTACAATTATTACAAGTTTAAATTTACATCACATCAAACAACATGTAAGTTATAGAGTTCTGCTTCAATATCAAAACACCAAACAATTGGCAAATCAAGTCTGCCTGATGTTGAAGGAAGGTGAAGTGTTTATTTGGCGCCTCAAAAAATTCAATCCAACAACAAAAAAATCCCCTAACAAACTCCACTACCCTTCTTCGTCACTGTATCCCTCTGAGGTGTCCTTAGTAAATGTCTATGAATTTCTCAGAATTTGATTCAACCGACTCGGAACGTTCTATGGACGAGTCGTTGGATAAGGAACAACTTAAAAAGGCTTTACAAAGTGGAGAGGAAAGACTTCAACAAACCAATCTCTTATTGGAGAGAGCAAAGGAAACCATCAAATCATTACAAAATGGGTAGGTTTTTTCATCACGATTGTTATTGGACTATTATTTAATCAGTGTCGGAACATCACCAATAAGATCAGCAAGAAGAGGGTTAGAGGCTAGCTCCTTGACAAGCTCCTTTGCCGACTCTTCTGTGAGTGGGGATAGTAGTATGAGCGCAATACAAAACCAATTGAATTTTATTACATCACAAATGCAGAATTTACCTCCAAAACAAAATACTCAATTCATCAAGTTAAAGGAAAGAAATACTCTAATTGAGAAACAACTAAGCGAGCTCCAGGAAGAATTCCAAATTAAAAATCAAGATTATGAGAGACTTGAATTGGAATACAGACAGCTCAAAACCATGATGGGAACCACCGATTCTGAAAATCAAATTCTCAAGGATAATATCAGAAGGCTTCAAGATCAAGTCGCTGGCTATCAAAAGACAGTGAATGATCTCTCCAATGAAAATAACTCCCTTTCTGAAAGAATTGATGAATTGGAAGAAAAGGAAAGAAGCGAACTAAGTAGCAAACTAGGACAAGTAAATCAATTGAAAAAGGAAATAGACAAACTCAATGTGCTAAAACTTGATTTGGAAAACAAATTAACTTCACAACAATCTGATTTTGAACTCAAGTTCAATACTGCTAAAAAATCATTTGATATTGAAAAAGTGGAACTAAAGTCTGACTATGATAAAAGACTCTCCAACATCAAAGTAGAGAATAGTAATGTTATCAAAATGTTACAGGATGAAATTGATGGACTCCAAGAAGAAAAGAAGCAAATGATTCAAAGCTTTAACTCTGAAAAGATGGAACTGTCTCAGAAATTCAATGAAGAAAAGAAGCAATTGCTAGAAAAACAAAATGAAGAAAGAAAGCAATTGTTTGAAAAATCCTCTGTTGATAAGCATTCTGTTTTGGAGCAACTCAATGCAGAAAAGATCAAGATTATGCAAGATGCCATCAGTGATAAGAATGGAATGATTGAAAGACATAAGGCTGATATGGAAACCCTCGTTGAAAAGCATAGAAAAGAAATTGAACAGTACGTTGAAAGGATGAGGATTGACAGAGAAAAGTTCAATGAAGAGAAGGACACCCTCCTCGATAAACATGCAAAGGAGAAAGAAACCCTCATAGAAAAGATTACTGCCTCCATGAAGGAAAAGGAAGATCTTATCAAGGAAAAGGAACGTCTCGTTTACAAGTATAACAATGAGCTGAACAATAATAGTGATACCTTCAAGGGAGAAATTGACCTCTTGAAATCATCCTTTGAAAAAACAAAGCAACTTCTCCTCCAAGAATTTGAAGCTGAAAAGAAGGAAATCAAAACTCTTCACCAAGAAGAAATCAATACCCTCAAGTCTCGTTACGAAAAACAAACAGAAATTCTGCAACTCAAGTCTTCATCAGAGAAGGAAGATGAAAAGACCAAAATTGTTAATGATTTCAACAAGTTAATAGAACTAGAAGTCGAAAAGAGGGAAACTGAAAAGCAATCCTTTGAACATGAAAGAAAACAACTCATGTCTAACTTTGAGAAGGAGTTGAATACTCAAAAGAAACACATGGAACTTTTACTTGAAGAAAAGGAAAAGTCCATTAAGGAAAAGACCTCCACCATTCAAAAATTAGAACAAGCAATCAAGGAAAGAGATGAAGAAATCATGCACAAGGAATTGGAAAAGTCAAAAGTTGCAAATGATGTTGAAAAGCACAGAGATAGCAATGAAATTCTCAAACAAGCACACCAAAGAGAAATTGATGCCATAGAAGTCAAGTATTCTAAAATTATTGATGGTATCAAGCATGAAAATGATATTACAGTCATGAAGCTCAAGGAATCATTCGAAAAGGAGAAGGCTGCTTTGAAGATTGAAAGTGTCAAATATGAAGGTGATATTCAAAACATGAAGGAGCAACATGAATACTCTAAGAGAGTACAACAACTCAAGTTTGAGGATGACCTCAAGAGAGCAACAGAGGACTTCCAAGAGCAAATGAATGATCTCAACTCGGAAATGGAAAGACAATCCAGAGAATTGAAGGATCAAGTGTCTGGTGAGAGGAGACAAAAGTCAATTTTGGAAGCTCAATATGAAAAATTATTATCTGAGAATCAACAATTGACCAAAAAGCTCGTCTCTGACAATACTCAAAGCAAGTTCTTTGAAAAGAATGAAAGTAACACAAAGAAGCAAATGATGAAGATTCACAAGGATCACCTCAATTCATTGGAAAGCTTGAAGAGTTCTTTAAGATTTTCAAGTGGAGACGAATCAGATGTGAGATACATTAGAGATATCTTCTTCAAAGAACTTGATCGTTTAAAGAAGGTTGTTGAGCATTCAGAGGAATCAAACTATATCCATACTGCTGAAGATATGAAGGGTCTAAAGGAATATTGTGTCCACTTGGAAGGAGAAATCACCACTCTGGTAGAGCAAAATAGACAACTCTGTGGTAAGGTGAGAAATATTACCAAATCCTTGGTCACTGAAGAACCTTCAAAGAGTCTCAGAAGAGAATTCAATGACAGTATTTCAACTAACAACAGTGAAGATGATAGAGCTGGTCTCGATCAATCCATTATTAACCAAAATACATTCGATGAACAAATGGAACTTCTCAACAAGGTCAACTCTGAAACACTTCAAGATAGTGACGAAAAGATTGTACAATTCCTTCAAAATGTTTTTGTTCCTTCCGATAAACATGAAGACATGATTGAAAGTTTAAAGAAGAAGCATACCCAAATGAAAAAGATTCTTCAAATGGAATACTGGACCAATGTAAGAAAACTGAGACTTAAACCAAATAGTTCTGTCTCAAAGGTTCCAAAAGCAAAGAAGGCATTCTCAAATGCCATTGATAGAATGGATGTTCATTTCATGTCTCAAGTCTCAACTTTGACTATGTCTGAAGATACTAGAGATTTCAATGTTAAGGATCTCGAAAAGATGTACGAAGGAGAAGTTTCACGTGCTCGCTCATTTGTGTCTACAATTACAAGCGATTCGAACGATCGTCTCCTCACTCAACAAGAATTTGCCATCGAATCAACCAAGGAATATGTACAAGAACAAGAAAGACAACTTTCCTCCCTCTCAGATGCCGTTAGGCGTATTGATTTACAGAGCGATAAGCAAAATGAAAAGAACTTACTCAAGCAATGCCTCCTCCAAATCGAATCTCTCTACAAGGAAGATAAGAATACCATTAGATCAAAGATGTTCAAGGCTATTAATGAGTCAAATAATAGCTCCGGTGATGTTTCCAAATTGGCTGAATTGGTTTTTATGAGAGAAGAGCAATTGTCCAAGTTTTTGGATATTCAATCTTCACTGCTCTCAACATCCCTCTCCAACTTGATGAATTCAAGAGAAGAAAAGATTCTTGAAAAGTTACAAGCTAGATTGAAAGATTTCTGCAAAGTTGTTGGTCAATCTGATGAAATACCAAAATCAGAAAACGACTTGATGAAGAAATTGAAAGAATTGGTTGATACAACAGAATCTAGAATTAAATCTCTGGAGGGAGAACTCAAATCCAAGAAGATTCATGCCTCCAGACAAGTTAATGATCAACTTCCAATGTCAATTCAAAGATGGATGAATGGAGATGATGATTCAGAGAGTGATGGAGATCTTACTCCAAGAAAGAGAGGATCAAGAGGTGTAGATGTTGCCAGTCCAATCAAGCCTTCGAAGAATAGTGATGATAATTGGACACCTCATCCACTTCGCCACAAGACTGTTGGCTTTGATGATCCAAACTTTTACTTTGTTTCCAATAATGATGAAAGAATTTCTCTCGATATCGATGATAAGGAAGAACGGTTTATCAGCTCTCCTCTAGCCAAGAAACTCGAAACTAGATACAAGGCAATTTTGACAGCTCTCAGAGATGACATTTTGAGAGTCAAGAGCATTAGTGATGTAATACCTAAGGTTAGAAGCATTCTCGAACACAATGCTCAAATGTACTCTTTCATCTTTTCACTCATCAATGTTACAAATTATAGTGGCGATAAGAAGTTTGGCTATTTCTTGCTCGATGGAGAAAAGGTAATTGATTTGGATGGACTCTATTTGGATATCATATGGTACAGAAGATTATATGAAAAGTTAAAGAAGGAATTGGTCACGGCAGAAGAGACTGAACAAAGCCCTCTCTACTTTAAGATGAAGGCTGCCATTGTTGAATTGAAAAAACAAACTAAGGTATTTGGTAACAATCATGAAGCCAACGAAGAACGTGAAGTAATTTCAAAACTGAAAAGGACACTTAATGTTCAATTTACCCACCAAATTGTGGAAGAATGTGAAACCATTGTTTCTCAATTGGAGAAATATGTACGAATCTTCCCAAAGTTCCAAAGTCTCATCAACGAGCTTTGCATTGGCTTGAATGTTAAACGAATTGAGGATGTCATTCCTTCTGTAAAGAGATTGGTCAAAATGTCCAAGAATGTCAACTTACTTTTGTAAAAATTGTAAATAAATTAACAATTTTCAATATATCAAATAGTTTCCACAGCCAACATCAATACCAATATCAAAAACATCATCTCCGATTTTGCGAATTCAATCAAAAAACCAATTCATTTTTTAAAAGAAAAAAAAATATCCATCATCATACACAACCCGCCTGTTGCTGCTTTTTCTCTCTCGGATTGAATAATTCTCTACTACCACTTGCCAAGAGAATAACAACAACAATAACAACACTTTCTTAGGATATATTTTTCTTCATCTTTAACAACAATAATATAAATAATCATCAACAAGATTAATAAGAATGGAAAAGCAACCTTGTCCACACCGTATTTATGATGACTTGGGAACTGGTTATGCCCTCGGTGGTGTTATGGGATCGATATGGCATTTCGGTAAAGGTGCCAGAAATGCTCCACGTGGAGAACGTTTTGCAGGAGCCATTCAAACTTTAAAAGCTAAAGGACCAGTGCTTGGTGGTAACTTTGCCATGTGGTCTGGATTGTTTTCATCATTTGAATGTTGTTTCTTATATTATAGAGGAAAGGAAGATTTTATTAATTCAGTAGCTTCGGGAGCTTTAACAGGTGGTGCTTTGGCTTTGAGAGGTGGCTGGAAAGCTGTCATGAGAAGTTCTCTATTTGGTGGTATTTTCTTGGGTATGATTGAAGGTGTTAACATTTTGGTTTCAAAGACAATGATGGCTCAACAACAAGGAGCTGTTGAACCAGGTGAAGTTTTGGACCCACCTCAATTCGGTTTTCCAAAATACAATGTCAAGGAAGTGGATACTGAATTTGATTTTATTCCAAGACATGAACGTACTCAGTCAATGTAATATTAGAAATGATTTTACAATGATGTTTTTCACACGCTCCAATATTTCAAATTCTCAAACAATAGTAACATTCCATTCCCTATCCTTTTCTTACCTCCAACTAAATCCTTCCTCTTTTTTTAACTACTTTCAACATTAAAAACAAGAAAATTTCTAATTTCAACTCACTGTACTATTACTTGTAGTGTACAGCTCCTATTTTACCGTGTTACTCCACTCGTTTATGAATTCGATTGTTATCTCCTACCAAATTACAATGAAAGATTGAGAAAAATCAAAAAAAATGTCTAGCAATCTGATTGCACAATTGTTTACGGCACTCTTTGTTGTCATTATTTGTTTATCTTTAACAGTTCACTCTTTGCCAATACCAGTCATTACTCGTCAACGAGCAAGTGAAATCTGGAAGACCTTCAAGGGACCACCAAATCCAAGAAGAGCCATCTCAACAAACAATTCCACAACATTGAGTCCATTGATTCTATTGGGAGGATTTGGTGGATCAGCTCTCAATGCACAAAGAACCAATGCAAAGGAACCACACTTTTGGTGTGAAAGTACAACGAGTGAGCCATTTCAAGTGTGGGCCAATTTGAATGAATTAATTCCACATGTAACAGAGGAATGTACAGTGCATGATTTGACATTGGATTTGAGGGGACAACCGAGAAAATTACATCCATTAGATGCAGGTGTTTCCATCACTGGAAAGGATGTTGGTGGTCTGAGTGGAGTGAATTACATTACTAATTATGAATTTATTAATCAGGCAGTCTATATGGAATTGTTAACTTCCTATTTAATTAAACATGGTGGATATATTGGAGGAAAAACATTGAGAGCAATGACCTATGATTGGAGAACTGGTCCAATTGAGTGGAAATCAAAAAGAATGAATAATACTGGAGGAGATTATGATATTCTTCAAAAACTCGTTGAAGATACCTACTATCTCAACAATGGAACTCAAGTGAGCTTACTTGGACATAGCTTGGGAGCTCCATTCACTCAACTCTTTCTTGCCACTCATGTTTCTAAGGAATGGAAACAAAAATTCATCAAACAATTCATTAGTGTTTCAGGATCATACGATGGTGAAATTCAAAGTCCAATTCTTCACATGACAGGCGATACTTATGGATTATTCTTCCTTAGTAGAGAACAATTCAAAAAGATGGTTCGTACATTTGGCAGTCCTTCATACATGTATCCACTCAAAACCCCATTCACCAATTATCCAATGTTCCAATATACCAATAATCAAACCAATCAGAAAGCCAACTATTTTGCAACAGTTGAAAGTTATGGTCAATTCATGAAAGATGCTTCAATGACCAATGGTTGGGAATTATTCATGCAAGAATCTCAATCCATTCTCGATATTAAATTTGCAGCTCCAGGTGTTCCAACACAATGTATCTATGGTTCCAATAATTGGACTCCAACTCAATATTCCTATACTGGTCCAAAGAGAATGGAAGAGTTGACCTCTGCAGATATTCAAGCTTCGAGATGGGAACGTGGTGATGATACTTTGCCTGATTATTGCTTGGAGATGTGTTCACAATTTAAGCAGGAGGAGAAGATTGAAACTACAGTGTTACCGGGTGCTCATCACATTGGTATCATGATGGAGGAACGTTTCTTTATCAAATTGTTGGAAATATTATAAGTATTAATATGATGATATTAAAATTGTGAATAATTAATTTTAAATTGTTCATTCCGATAAGTAAGCCAGAGGGTAATTGTATTGTTTTTTAAATATTAATAATAAGAAAGAACAATTTGATAATAATACAATCATGTTGGAAGAAAAATTCAAATAGTTTACTTGAAGATCTTACCAGAAGCATAAGTGTAACCGCCGAAAGCACCCTTATCTTCATTCCAGATCATGTAGTTGATAATCGTGGTCTTATCTTCTTCAGATTCAGCAGGCTTCAATTGAGTCAAGTTGAAACCATCACCAATCTTGGATCCAGCAATATCATCAGAAGTGAATTCCTTTGGAACAGTTTGGGTTGGGACCAACCAGACCATGGAGATTCTTTGAGCACCTTCGTCGTTAGTGAGGACCAAAGCAGAAGCGAAACAATTCTTCTTCAAACCTTCAATGTTTCTGAAGTAACCTTCAACCAAGTTGTTTTGCATCCAAGCAGGACCAGTCAAAAGATCAGGTTGATTGTATTCAGCCAACCAGAAAGAATAAGTTTCTGGAGCAGCAGCAATCTTTTCAAAAGCCCATTCCATAACAGCCTTGGTGTCGCTTTCGTTGGAGTACTTTCTCTTGAATTCGTTAATATCCATTGTGATGATTTGTTGTTGAATTTTTTTTTCAGCAAGGAAATAAATTTTAATATTTATTTAAAAAATTTTCGTTGTAAATTTTATCTCTCTGTGGTGACCTCGACAACACTTTTCCGAGCTTGTTTATCATCATTCAGTCAAAAACGAGACTTTTCAAAGTTGCAGCTAGCTTTTCACGATATTGAAAATTGAGAAAGAAGAATGAACAAGGCAATGTTCATTGATAAAAGTGCATTGATGGATATGAAGTGAACAAGTTGGAGTTTGCATTTTAATATGTGAACATTATGATGTAGAAAATTAAAATTGAATATATTAATAATAACCACCAATTGGTGGACAAGGAAGAGAAATTAAATATTATTAAGTTGTTTTTTCGGAAGAGGAAAATACTTTACAAAATATTATAAGGCAAGATAGACAATTACCACTCATCACACTCGAAAGAAATTAAATTTGGTGCAAATTTGTACAAGGCATCTTCATCAATTTCTAACTTCCCTACATTGAGATGTTTGAGATTAGGTAAGATTCCTTCACCTCCACCAAATACAATCTCTTCAATTTGAGGAATTCTATACGAATTATAGGCATGTACATCAAGTTCTAAATATTCCAACTTTTGAAATTCTCCAATATTTGCAAAAATTGACCCATTAATGTTGATGCAAGGACTGATTTTCAAATATTTCAATTTTGGTTGAGATTTCATGAATTCATATACTTGAGAATCTGTTATAATGCTTTCTAAAGGAGTGCTTCCACTATCTGACAGGAAAGTTACATTTGTAAGATTGGTACAATATTGTGGAATCTTTTGTAATAAATACTTATCTAATCGGGTAAGGAAGCAAAAGTAAACAGTCTCTAAATTTGGGCAACATTTCAAGATGTTCAATAATGTTGATTCACGTGGAAGTAAGCGAGAGTATCTCAATTCAAATTTCTTCATTGATTTCAAAGTAGGAATGAAAAAACAATGTTCTTCATATTCCTCTGTAATTTTGGTTGATTCTTCTTCATCTTCTTCCTTGTAACGTCTCATTGATAAATAAAAATCAGAGATTATCAAACTTTCTAATTGATTACATTTAGAAAGAATTAAAAACAATTCATTAAATGAAACATTAGCAAGTGTTAACTCTTTAAGCGTATACCCAATAGGTATTCCAATAATTTTCACCAATTGAAAACTTTTAGAATTATCTTCAATTGGTTCTCTCATCCATTCTTCCTCATCAAATGAGTAGGGATCGAATTCATAGAGTAATTCTTCAATTAAAACGCAATTGACAATCATTTCCTCATGATAGAAATCTCCAAGAATATCCTCTTGATTATTTGAATATTCCTTTCTATAGGAATGCTTCATTAGACGACAATCCATCAAGTCAAATACTTCTTCAAAAGTAACCTTTCTATCAAATTTCAAATGATGAGTAAAATCACTCAAAGTCCCATTCCTATCACAAATATCCTCAATAATATCCAAAACAGATTCATAATTCTTATCATCAACTCTAAATAATTCTCTATTCTTCAATGCTTTCAGAATTTTCTCATCCTCCCTAACATGATCAATAGCTATTGTTGTATCATTATCAATGTGGTTCGTACCATCTTGATTGATGATGGAATATTTACACAAATATTCAAGTACATTATTCTTGATCAAATGTTGCATCGATTTACATGTTCGGGAGAGTGAGAGAATACTCTCCGATTCTAAAGAGTATAAAATACATAGGAATTCATCATTGGAAATTGTAGAGAAGAAATGGGAAGTACTACTTGTCGTGGTTGATTCATGTTTTGCCTTTTTGCATTCTTGTACGTCATCGTGTTGTGAGGGAGAAGTTGTTTCTTTTCTTTTCATTTTGTTTTTCCAACATTTTTAAGAAATCAATTTACACAAAATGTAAAGTTTCAGTGGAATTACTTAGCAGTCATTCCTACTTTTGGCTTAATTCAATGTGAAGCCGTCATAGCTCAGTTGGATAGAGCACAGGACTTCTAATCCTGGGGTCGTGGGTTCGAGCCCCATTGTCGGTAAATGTTTTTGGTTGTTCTTTTTAGAAATTTTAAATCATTCACAAATATTTTAGGTAATTATTGAAAAGGAACCAAATATTTATGAATATTTTCCAGTGGAATAGGGAAATTCTCATGACTGCCATTGGAAAGAGTGGTGCAAACTCATCTTGCCTTACAAAGAGACGTCTACATGACTGCCATTCAGTCCAACAAGTGATCAATTTGCTTATCAATTTTATTAATACAGGCATATCTGATAGCAGTAGAGACTTGTACATTCAACAGCATTCATAATATAATCGTGACTGATAAAATATTCTAAACCACATGAAGGCAAGGCAATCTTGACAAGTTTTGGATCATTTCTCATTGCTAAGTTGCTTTGGTAACTCTAAATCAAAGTGGAAAATCATTCGTTTATCTTTCAAAGGAATTACAACAAGATTCAGATGTCAAACTCTCACTTGCTCGTAAGAATCAGCTACTATCCTCAAACTCGCCTCTGATGATTTGAAGAGTGATTCCAGGTTTGTAATCGATTGTTTCAAGAAGAATTGAAATTCCCTAAAGCATGCCAGTGAAACCCTCAAACAAGACAGAGAATTTTCACTCTAATTACCACTAATGATCTCGCCTTGGGATATTTGGCGATTCCATTCAGAAGTGATTATGAAATTGTTCAAAAGGCAGTTTCAGTAAATGATCGTGCCTTAAAGTTTGCCTCTGCTGATTTGCAAAACAGCAAGCAAATTGTTTTGGATGGTGTCAAGAATTGTGGATTGGCTGTCAGGTTTGCTTCATCAGAATTGAAGAAGGATTTGGAAATTGTCAAGATATCACTCAAGACAAGTAATGGTAAATCATTCGAATTTTGGGACGAATATTTGAGAAACGATGATGAATTTATTAGAAAGTCTGTCAAGAGATATGTAGATTGTTGGAATATCTTCCAACAGAATATACCTATGATAAGGAACTCGTTACCGTTGCCACTAATCAATGTGGGAATTCCATTCGTTATGCTTCAATATTCCACAGATCTGACATTGAACTTATGACCCCTATTATCAAGAAGAATCCATTCCTCATCGAACATGCCAACCGTATCAGTGAAGATATGGTAAAGGTTGCTGTCTCTATAAATGGACTTGTCTTGAGAAGACTTGCTGACAGATTTATCAACAAGACTGTTCATATTGCCATTTCACAAAATAAACATGCCATTGGACATGTGAAGGATTGAAGCCTGTCACTAGTATTTCAACCATGTAATTAATAACTGAAATTTCCTTTTTCAAAATAATTATTGAAATTTGTTGAAATTGAAATAATCAGTTTAGAGTGAACTAAATAATTCACAAATATAATAATTTAATAATTTAATAATTTATCTATTCAATTTTAATTAATTCCTTCAAACGTTCCATCAAGTCATTCACTTCATTTGTCACTATCAAATATTCATCCGTATTCTTTCCCAATAATTTAATTTGTTCAATCATGTGATTGAAAAATCCTTCAAAATTATACAATAAAATCTTGACACTCCTAATCTTGTTATTATTCATTGCCATCACATCAAACAATTCACTAATCGTTCCAATTCCTCCTGGCAAACAAATCACCAACTCACTATTCTCAATCAATCTCCTCTGTCTCTCCTGCAGTGTATCATACAGAAAATTCTCACCATAACACTCATCCAATCCATTATTAGCCTCCTTTGTATTGATCGAAATCACCCTTCCTCCTCTCTCATGAAAATACTTTGGAACAATACTCATCACTCCCTTCTTTCCACCTCCGTATACAACGAGGTGTTGTTCCGTATTGATCAGTGAGGCGAGAACCTTCAATTCTTCCTCTAGAACTGGAGTCAGACGAGTGGTGTTACATCCGCCGAAAATACCAATTTTCATTTTGTGGCTTTTTTTTTTGAAATGTTTTGTTTTATTTTTAGAATTTTCCATTTGGTGGTTGCACTTGCCAGATTCTTGAAGAAATTGTAAAGTTTCAGGAAGATGCACTGTAGATTTGGCAATGATGCTAAATATTAAACATTGTGGTTGAATCTTAATTGGCAAGCATTGTAAAGACAAATATAAAATTTTGGATC